ACAGATAGACACGTCAGCCCTTTAATTCTGGAACGTATTCTCTCTACTTCATCTACATATATATATATATCGATCTAACTTTACTCCTCTCCCACTGCTTCTTCACTACTTCTTATTCTTCTTCTCAAGTAGAATAAACATCCAAGAGATAAGGCAGATCTTTTTCTGCTTGTTTATTTTGCGTTTAGTATTTTTTTATTATTCAATGAGATTAATTTTTGTTATATTGATTCGCACAGTAATATGTACTCGTTCTCCTTAGTGTATTTGTGTAAATCTGATACAAGTTCTTGGCGGATCGGTGGAAGAAAGCTCATCAGTCGTTTTTTGTAGGTGCAGCACCATTAAGATTCACATGGAAATTAAAAAAAAAATCCTAATTTTATATTAGTTAGGGTTTTGATATGTATATGAGAATCTTGATGATGCTGCATCAACAACCGACGGCTACCAAATACCTAAAGCTGCCAAAAGAAAGGAAGTCTGGATCTTCGGTAAGAAACTGGGAGTAACTATATTTCTCTCACTTTTATATCTTCCTTTTTTGTGTGTTATGTTATCTATTTTTTCTTTGACGGATTAGGGGTTGATTACAATGAAATGAAAGGTATTTTGTATTTGATATTGACTTGTCTAATGATGAATTAATGTATGAAGTTATGCGATATCTGAACTTGATTTTCAGGATTGCGTCCTTATAGGTATTATTGCCATGATCAAGAACAACACGACATTGACCACAAATCGAATACTTGTGTTATTTAATTTTTTAAATATCTATTATACACTTAATTAATTCGTCTCCAGACATTTTATAGTCTCAGTTTCACAACACTATGGTAGTACCATTTATTTAATAGTGTTGTAACTTCTATTTCTGAGTTATCACTTGATCTTAATTCTCTGTTATTGTTTTAATTTTGTGGTATTAGAAATATGGTTTGTATGCCAAATCAAATCAAACATTATGGAGTGTTGTACATTGTACCAGAACTTTGTTTTCAAGTGGCTCAACTTGAGAAAGAGTTGTCCCTTTGCTTTTGTTTTAAATATCACTAAAAGAAAATAAGAAGAGAGCATGTGAACTTATTTTCTTATAAAATTTTAATGTTGTGTGAAAAAAAAAGTTTTGGACCAAAAGGATTCGAGTAAGTCAGTACATCAAAATCGGTAGATTCATCAACAAGAGAGGTATATGTACACGCCATACATTATCTCATATATAGACTCTTCTAATCTCTAATACTTCAATGAAAATGAGAATTTAGTTGAAACATATACACTTATATAGTTATATACCTTGTGATGCATCAATTTTACATTTTAAATGATTGATGCTATCCCACGTATACATGGATACTATTACATATGATAGCTAATCATCAGTAAACTTTGAAAAGAGACACACCACAACTTGATGTATGCAACGTATCAAAACATTAATGGAATGAATATTGGTTCCAAATTCAAAGAAATTAAGTGCAGAAAAATGTGATTGCCCCCACAAAAGGCCATTGGAGAAATGGAGGGGATCTAAAGATATTGTGTCAGGTAGGGCATGCAATTAAGGACGATTTTGAGTTGGTTTGTCTTTTTGGCATAACTGATGAAAGGGAAATTAAATTGCTAGAGTAAAGAGTCAAAAGAGTTGGTGATGATTTGGGATCACGATACGTAGTTACTCTATGTATATGTCACCAAAAGGCCCAAAAACAAATATTATATCATGCACAAGTATTTTATTATCAATTGTTTTGTTCCACAAAAACCAAAGAACAAGTAATATGTTAGTCAATATGAAATAAGTGGAGATTAAGTGTAGACGGTACAGAACAGTTGACACACACACGCCAACGCCCAGTTATCTATGGCTTATGGTGTTTACATTATTCTATGTTTCTTTACGTAAATATATTCCATTGGTTACATGACAATGAAAAGAAGTAGGAATTAGTCTTTTTTTAAAACCAAGTAGGAGTTAGTCTTATCACATTTTAAAGTTAGTTTCAGTCTCAATCGCTGCCTGACAATATATAACACAAGACCAACACTGACTCTAATCTTAAACTAATAAGCACATTTTCCTTCTTCTATATGTGAAGGACAACAGGTCGGTTTTCTATCAATCGATCTGTAGTCAAGTCTTCATATACAGTGGAATCTAATGCAGAAATAATTTTGTTGATAAAAATTGACTAAATCTAAAAGTCTTGTCTCAAGAAAGTGAAGTCATGCGAATGCAATATTTTCTTGTGTATAGATGGAGAGATTTTCAGGATTTATAAACATTTATACACACAGTAAAAAATGAAAAGAGTATTTTGGTTCAATCTGAGTTTCACTTGAGATTTTGCAACCCATGCACATTCACAAATGTAGTTATTTGTATGTTTTACATTAGGCTAGGGGTTATTTGCAAAAAAAAACATTAGGCTAAGGGAACCCTGTTTAGGGTTTACTCTTTTCTGCATACGAATGACAATTTGCAACTTAAATGCTCTCGAATATTTGATTTTTTTCTAAAGCATTTAGCATAAACTAGGAAATAAAATTTTAGAAATCTATGTACTCGATTGATCGGTGGAATCTTTATAAACAAATATTGATTGGTCGATATGAACATTTAATATCAATGGTTAACCATCATTAAACTTAACAAATAGTGAGATAGAATAAGACACGTAGAACACATACCATACCAATAAATGTAAGGGACACCAATCACATGGTGGACAATGAACTTATGGTAGCAATCCATTCATAGTACAATCTTCATCAAGTTATTTGTACTATATGCGTCGTCATATATACAATGTATACCCCTATTTCGAATTCTTCTGACGTATTTAATTGATTGTGACTAATATTATTTAATAAAATCACACATAACACATTTAAACTCCGAAAAACCATAAGAAACGTCATCTCTTCCCTAATTGATGACGTATATGCTTCTTACTCATTGTTACAAATGAGGTGGTGTGGACCCAAATTTAGGCCCAATGACTCAGAGTGAAGCCCATTAACGAAACTACTAAACATTTCTGATGGGCTTCGTTTCGACTACGAATCACATACCGCCACGTGTTAGTTTCTTCTAAATTTGACTGAGTATTCTTTGAACATAACCGGTGGTGAGATTGCGAGCGACGGAGAGATCTTGGCGATGATGAGTTGCCGGAGATTCTTCTCAATCCCGGTCCTTTCGGTGATTTTTGTGATGGGTTTGGTGTATTACGTCACACTCTTCGTCTTCATCGATGATTGGATTGGTTTACAAAGCTCAGCTGGGAAGCTAAACTCGTTGATCTTCAGCTTCTTGGCGTGTCTCTGTCTCGTTTCCCTCTCAATTTGCGTTCTTGTAGATCCAGGTCGTGTCCCCTCATCTTATGCTCCTGATGTTGAAGGTTCTAGCTGGTCCGGTAGTAATAACGTAAGCAAGCTTAGGCCCCTGTGTTAATCCTCTGTATTTGTATTGAAAGTTAAATGTGTGTTTGGTTTAGGGTTTTGGAATATGATAAAGCTTGGGTCTTTGTGTGTTTTGATGCTCTTAGAATCATAAATTTCTAATCTTTTTGGGAAGATTTTTATATTAGAAGGTTAATTGATGATGATTAGTAGCTTATAATTGATAAAATTTAATTGATGTTGTTTGGATGGAACTTAATATTTAGGGTACAGAAGCAAGGAAATGTGATAAGTGTTTTGCTTATAAGCCTCTTCGGACTCACCATTGTCGAGTTTGCAGAAGATGTGTCTTGAAGATGGTAGGTTACACTTTTCCATCGAGTTAAGAATGTACCGGAAGATTCCTTTTTTCTTAGACGTTTCTATTAATGTGTGTACTACAGGACCACCATTGCGTATGGATAAATAACTGTGTTGGCTATGCAAACTATAAGGCTTTCTTTCTGCTTGTGTTTTATGCAACTGTTGCTTGCATCCACTCCACTGTACGTGATAATTCCAATCCTTGTTTTTTTTTTTTGAGGTGAGACTATCCTCTTATGTGTATGAATGTTATTATAGGTGCTGCTGGTTTGCTGTGTTTTCAAGAACAGGGACTCATACGCAGGAAATGTTCCACTAAAAACTTTCATGGTAAGTAGTAATACCTATCGGGAAATCTTTTTTTTTTTTGAGAGAGTGGAGCTTTATCATGCTTATATGCTAACGATGAAGAAGAACATGTTACTTGTCTATAGTCTTACTCTTATCAGTGTTTTGTTAACTTTATAGGTTGCTTGTGGGGTCTTTATGATTGGACTGAGCATAACACTCGGGACTCTCCTTGGTTGGCATATCTACCTGATCGCACACAATATGACCACCATTGAGGTATACATTCTTCTTTTCTTTGCCCATGTTCTTCAAGATACGACATGTAATAGATTAATTGACAATGCATAAATGGTCAAATCTTTTTATGTAGCATTATGATTCAAAGCGGGCCTTGTGGTTAGCTAGAAAATCTGGACAAAGCTTTAGGCATCAATTCGATCTTGGCGTTTACAAAAACATCACCTCGGTAACCTTTCTTTACAATCAAACTCTCTCTTATGTTTTGTATTGTTCTTCCAATCAAGAACTTGTCTATAAAAAGTTTCATGTTTGTTTCACAGGTGTTAGGGTCCAACATAATCAAATGGCTATGCCCCACATTCACTAGGAATACTGAAGATGCTATAAACTTCTCTGCGTCCAGAGACAGCTAAAAAAGTTCATTCACCAGTCAATTGTATACGCTTACTTGTACATCTCTTGAATCAAAATTTTGAAACAAAGTTCGTTGTCTTAAAACATTATCTGCTGTAATATGAATAGCCTTAAAGAACACTCATGGTCGTCTGAATATTGGGTTTTATTGTCTGATACAAAAGTATTGGTGCTAATCTGATACTTCCACTAAAACATGGGGGGCTTTTTGTTGACGAGTATAGTTAGTGACCATTTTATTATTAATGCTAAACTTGTTGAAACTCTTTTGGAGTGAAAAGAGAATGTCTGAAATTGTAAACTTGTCGCCGTCTCTGAGATCTTTAAACCCAAAGGTCTCACCTTTGGTTCCTCCTCGCTCTTTCTATCAACACCCGAGATTAAAGTTTCTATCTTTTCCCGAGAAAATCAGCTTGGTAACGAAGAGAATCCGAGCAATCGATGCACAGAAGCAAGGGATAGATGACTCCCCTGTCTCGATCGAGCTAGGTCCGATAAGTAGCGAGAGCCAATTCGATGAGGTGATGGAGGAAGCTCAGAAGGTCGGTGAATCAGTTGTAATCGTCTGGTAAGGACTTGTCTTTGATTGCTTGATTCTGAATCTTTACAGAAAGCTCATGTCTTGATGCTCTGTTTTCAAGATGTTGATTGTGTCTTTGTATATGAATGGATGTTTTGTAGGATGGCAGCTTGGTGCAGGAAATGTATATACTTGAGGCCCAAACTCGAAAAGCTTGCTGCTGAGTTCTATCCAAGGTTTTGTTTAGCTTTTGTTCTTCATTTGTAATGCTGTGATAGGATTTGGATCTTTTAACAGCCTCTAACAGTTTTGATTAGCTTTAAACATTTATACCTTTCTTCCAGGTTGCGGTTTTATCATGTTGATGTCAACGCTGTGCCATACAGACTTGTTTCTCGTGCAGGAGTTACGGTAAGCAAGCCTCTATTATATGAAAATGAATCTTCTTATTTATTGTTGATCTAATAACTACTTAATGAACTTTTTTGTTTGGAACACTTACGCAGAAAATGCCAACGATTCAGGTGATTTTTTATCTGTTTCTTCCTGTCTCGAAAAGATTTGGATCTTGATTCTGAGAAAGGAACTCTCTAACTCCATATTTTGTTCTTCACTCTGCAGCTATGGAGAAATAACCAGAAGCAAGCTGAAGTTATCGGTGGCCACAAAGCGCATTTTGTGGTTAACGAAGTGCGGGATATGATAGAGAACGATTCAATCAGTTGCTAACGGTCTCGAGACTCTGCCCTTTTTTCCCCCTTTGAGTGTTCTTAGTATTGGAGGGTCCCTCCTGGTTTTGAAGGATCATGATACTGAAGTATATTGCAATATCAAACGCTTTTGGCATCATCTTTTTTTTGTTTTCATTTTCACGTGTAGTTCAGCAACTGTAATTACAAACTGAGACTGGAACCAAGAACTGTAACCTTCCTTTATCGATTTATTCCAACATATATAAAAAAGTACAGCTTTTTTTGAGCACACTATGAGTCTATGGTATGGGATTATGTTCAGTATATACAAAGATCATATTGCTCTATAGATTCTAAGTTACATTGGTAAAAAGAATAAACGTGATGATGTATTCAGAGCTCAGAAAACCCAAAATTTCTTCTTTTTCTTCTTTCCCTCCGGTACTGGCAGCTCTACACAAAAGTTCCAACAACAGAGGAATCATAAAACTACTTGTATCTAAACATTTGATTCATTATATATACCTAATATTTAGTTCAACATAATCCATGGAATGTTTTATATCATACAACAAAGTAGCACATACCTCCTTCAGGATAGATTGAATTGTAATGAACCTCAGCCCAGAAGCTTAAACATATAACTGATTCACAAGCCAACACATGAATTATTATTGTAGAAGAAAAAAGGACTTTTAATGAGTAGAACCTTGAAACTGTAGACAACTTACGGCGATTGGACTTCTGGAAATGAGGCAAGATCTCAATGTAACATGTATCCTTGAATGAAGTTATCACAAACATCCGAACACCAAACTGCCAATAACATCATTTTCCATATGTCAAGTCCTCAAAATATTGTTTCTTCTTACAAGCAAACATTGTACAAACTACAAAGAGCTGAGGTTGTATAATTTACCCAGTCTGCAGCAGCCTGAAGAGTAACATGATCACCCCATTCTCCATTCCTATGTTCATAAACAAATCACGTTTAATATATCAGTGGAAAGAACTGAGAAACAAAGAGAGTTGCAGACCGTTTCATTGTTTTAAGATAGTCGTTATACGCCATTGGAACATAACCTTCATACATCTCTCGATTATACGCAAGCTGAAACAACATACGAGAATGTCAAAATCATCACTGAGATAATGGGAATTAGATTTGTTTTCTTGGTACTATATCTCAACCTGGTTAACAACTTGTTCTCTAACAGCATTATGGTGCTCTTGAGAACGGTAAAGCTGGTCTGATAGTGCTCGAAACTGAGAAAAGATATACAAACAAGTGAAACACTGATAGAAGTTACATCTGCAAAAACTGTAACCAGAAACGAGAAGAAAAGAGAAATAAACCTGGCAGTTTCCATCTCCTTGAATCTTGTTCTCCACCAAGCCATAAAGCTGTAATCTGCAGTGTACAATTACCATTCAGAAGAAAAGTTTTCTCACCACCCATTCAAATAAATCTATAGAACTAAATACCGTTTAGATTCTTAGCACTAACTAGCAAGAAGCCTGATGAGACTTAACACCACAAACGTAATTAAGACAATGATCATTTACAACAGCTAACAGGTTACAGCAGAACCATAACCAGACTTTATCTACAACATAGATACCTCTGAGATAGCCGTTCATGATCAGATATCTGTTCGTCCTCTGATGGTAACTCTCCATTGATTTTCGGCACATGCTGCAACACCCTCATGAATTTAAACTAACTTTTACATAGGCTTCTTAAGAGTTTATCTAGAGCCATGAGAAATAGAAGATGTACTTACAGCAACAGGAATCATGTGGTTGAGTCGCTTCCCAAACTCAGACCAAGATTCTTCTTCTACCTCAACAGAACAAACTGAATCATCATCATCACGACCTGGTGAACTTTGCTCCCCTTGATTCCCAAACCTTGCTGCAACGTCCTTATCTTCCATATCACCCTTCTGTCTACAAAGATTATCACTTTCACGAGAAATATCAATGGCTTCACCTTGATGAGGTTGAGGAGACCATTCTTGTTGAACAACTGAAGTTCGACTAGGATCAAATGCTTCGTTCCGGTCAACTCTGGACAACTCATCTTGGTAAAACTGAGCAATGACAGCATCATTGTCTACATAATCACTCAAAGGCTGCTGGTTGTTGTAACCTTCTCTAACATAGCCTTGAGCAACACCACCACCATCCGTAGTCTCAAAACGCGTAACGCTGCTGCAAGAGCCAGCGTTTGTAAGTGTACAAACTTCAAGATCGTGTAGACCCCAACGAAGAGCATCTGGATCAGGCTGATGATACCCCATTAATAAAGTATCCAACTTTATTTATAATCACAACAAACCAACAAAAAAAGATGAGTTTTTGGAATTGGGATTTGCTGTTGCGTGTAGTATAGGTTTCCTGCAAAAGAGAGGGTAACGCATGATCCCAAGAAGGTGAAAGAAACCGCATTGTTCAATGGTAACATGATGATCATAGCGCTTCCTAACAAGAATTTAATTCGTGAAAAATCTCCAAAATAATATAAACCAAAAAAAGATTATCGATTTACATAGTTTTGCCGCCAAAGTCACCAACAATTAATCACTAACCTCCTGAAGATGCCTGAAAACTTTGATAAATGAAAAAAAGGAAAGAGAGAGAGAGATGAGAGAACCTATGAAGATGGGTTTGGTCGCGGAGAGAGAGAGAGAGAGAATCGCAGCCGTTGAAATGTAAAAAAAATGAAAGGAGTGATCGGAAAGACGGCAGAGATATTTAAAAGCCGTTTCACACACCGTCTTCGTTGTTGTTTGTTTGTTTGTTTATCCTAAAACCCCGCTCTTTTTCCCATAACCCCTTACGATTCGTCCACGTGTCGCTTTTTCAATTAGATGTAATTAAAATGAGAATCTGAAATTACTTTTATGTTTTTCCTGATTTATGTTTTAGAGAATCTGGATTAAAAATCATTTTCTGTGTATATACTAGTTAATTAATAAGTTGTAAATAAAGAGAATCTGGTATTACTTACTTGGTAACATAAAATAATGTATTTATTATCAAAATTTTAAATGTTTTTTTAATAAGTGTGAAAATTTTAAAATATGGATAATTTAGGAAGAGAGGGAGTAAATCATTAACAAATGAAATTACATCTCATTTTGTAAGATGCGTAATCGCTTTCGCTAAGATATTCGAATTCTTTATGGAACTGCAAACCCCAACCTTCATATATAAAAATGGGTGGATAATGTAATGGTGTGAACTCACGTGTACGTAATAAACATCATCTGACATATATTCCAAGCTCATACACGTGTTCCCTCATATCCAACTACACATCGATTCTCACTTACGGCTTTACCCTAATATAACATTATACTCACAATTAAGGAAACACCTGACATAGATTCCAAGTTTATAAGTTATGTTTCCAATATAAAATACATAACCTGTAAGAAGACATTTGCTAACTGGGAGAAAACGAGAATCATTCATTCATATTAACAACATTTTTAAAAGCCAATGGTGACTAGTTAAAACAACAACAAAGCAAAACAAGAGAGTGTGAGGGCACCTTCATGAAAAGTAGTCAGATCTACAGAAAGAGAGACATCATCAAGTGTCGTCTTGAAACACTAGAAAAAAAAAAAAACAACAACGAGAACTAAAGTTTACAACAATTCCACAGAGCGGTTCTTTCACCTTTCTCTCTGGCCAACCATCTTTGCATCTCCACTATCTATGTCACATAATGTCCCGTCTTCCGTCTGTGGCGGCTATAGTCCGACACAAACCTAAACGACAGTCCACACCCATCCACCTTGCATTTGTATGGTCTTTCTCCAGTGTGCAAACGCAAATGCTCCGTCCTGGCCCATTGCCATTTGAAACTCATGGTACACCCTTCCCAAGTGCACACGAATGGTCTTTCATCGTTGTGAACACGTTGGTGAAGCACCAGATATTTGTGAGCCCTGAATTTCTTCCCACACCCTTCGTGTGTGCAACGGTTTCTCTTGTGAGTTGCTAAGTCTGCTTTAGTCTTAAATGTCATCTTGCATCCCTCTAGGTAACAACGGTTGTGATGAGTTGTCGTTGAGTCAGTATTTGGAGTTTTCTTGAGCCTTTTAGCAGTGGGTTTCTTCTCTTCATCGCTCGCTTCGTTGGGATTGAATGAAGTTTCTTCACATGTCACTTTCCTCTTACCCCTTGACCTCAACCCTTCACAAGGACTCTTTATGAAACCAATGCTACTCTCTGGGTTATCATTCGTCTCTAATTCTATTTTCCGCTTCTTCTTTGCTTCTCCCATATTAGAAGAATTTGGGGTCTCGATAACCTCGGCATTTCCTGAGCTTCCAACCACGCTCTCCATGCTATTTTCATTATCTGCAGCTTGCAAGTCATTTGAAGAAGCTTGATCACCGTTGTTTACCAGAGGTTCATCATCACAGACCACGTCCACAACTATGTTCTCACTGGCAATGTTAGTTTCATGAACTTCTAAACCCAATCGAGCTGAAGAATGTGTTTGCTCTTCTTGTTGCTCAGTGTGCATAATATCTTCAGATACAGCTTCTCTATTGGTAGGTAGCACGACCTGTGATTGCTCTTCCTCCTCAATGTTAGCGTTAGTAGACCTAGGTTCTTTGAACTCTTGGTCGCTCAGTTCAGCCGCTTCATCAGCATCACGTGCAGGCACATTACTACATACGTACCCACCACACATCTTTGTCGGGCCATTATGATTATCGACTGTAGAAGCATCCACAACATGACTATCTGAATCGAGGCCACTGTTATTACTGGACATAGAGTGTCCCTGGTGCTCTCTGGTTACGGTAGTTAGATCAGCAGAGTCTCCAACTTCATTGTTCATCTCAGAATGAACTGCCCTATCATGACGTGACCTCTTGGCATTGGGATTCAACTTTTTCTTTCTCGAGTACTGGATTATCTTTTCTTCCTTTCTTCCGTCTTCTTTCTCGGGTACTGGCTGATCTTTTCTTCCTTTCTCCCCTAGTTTCCTGTCTGCTTTTACTCCAATATGTTCACGAGGTGTGAAACCTGAGGTAGAGCATGGTTTAGCTTTTGAGCGTGATTTTCGCTGTAGCCATCTCATAGTTGACATATCTAGCATGTGACTTGTGTCGGAGAACAAGCCACCTAGTGACAGCGCATGCTGAATCTTATTACTAGGTGAATTTTTCCTCACTTTAACACAGTACCGTAAATTGATGCCAAGTTTTGAGGTCCAGTCTGCGCCGTGTTCGTTGTTTTCTTCACCTTCAATTGCAAGATCAATTAGACTCAACTCTTCTTTAGACGCACTCTCTAACAAAACATCATCATATCTGAAAGGGACTTTCACTTCCTCTGCCACAATAGCCGCATGCGCCTTAAATTTTTGAAAGTCTGCAACAATTCCAAAAAGAATGATCAACAATCATCGGAATTATACACAATTTTATAGCAAATGATGCGTACTTACCTTTATGGCAAATTACAAGGAACTTAAGTCCACCTCTTGACTGCAGCAGTCTCTGAAGTTCAATAGTGTGTTCAAGGCAGAAAATGCGAGGTCTTATATATCTGGAAGACGTATTCCATTCACAATCAGACTTTTCTGATGACAGTTCTGTAATTTCCTGAGCATCTGTAAAATTAATAGAAGCACAATTAACAGGCTGCAAATGGCTATAACATAGATACTGTAGTTCATGATTTGGATAAAAAAATGACGGTCTGTTTACCTATCTCTCCTTGTCTCTCGGACTGATCATTTAACGCATTTTCAGAAGGCTGTACCACAGACATAAAGGGGAAGCCAAGAACGCCACACGCCACGCATGGCAAGGTTCCAGAATCGATTTGGAAATCATTAAGCTGACCATCATCATCGTCGTAGTACACATCTTTCAGCTTCTCCATGAACAAGCTCAATTCCTCTAAAAGAGTAGGGTTCTCTTTATTCTGCGTTTCAGAATGACCGTTCTCAAGTTCACTTTTTGCCTCTGCTGGACATGAGACAGTAGAAGTAGCATCAACCCCAGTAGCTGCAAGAGCCAGTACACTATGACGTGGAAGTAAATCAGGGTCCCACATCACCAAACGAGAGCCCGGTTCTCCAAGTAGAACAGATAAATTCTTGTTTTCGTTCAATATATCTTCTACAAAAGCTTTTTTCACAAGGAACTCCCTTCCTTCTCTCTGTCGATCTCTCAGTCGGGAGCTACGACCACCTGGTAGCAACGATCGTGGCACTCTGGAAAAGTTGATATTTACATTAATTAGAGAACAGACATGGTAGAGCGAAACTTAACGGTTTCTATGTACAAGGGACAACAGAAATTTGCCTTGAAACAAAGGACATTGTCAAGAGATATAGAAGCTGCTGATGGGACAACATGGGGAGATAATTCATTGCTGCCCGACGCACAGCAGCTTCCTTAGCTACGTTGAGCCACTGTGGAGTTCCAAAATTAGCGGCTTCCCCACAGTTAAAACCTAGAAAACGTTTGATTAAATCTGCTTAGTTAAGGATTTTTAAAAAATTAGCAATATGTAATCCTAATCTAAGTCAAACTATCAACGTGTACTATCTGATGTAACTACTTAATAGATATATGGTTCTTCATTCCCCTGATTAGAAGACCAATCCTCACCTCATGCTATGACGCAAAACACCCCTTTTCTCCACAGCTTTATTCAAATTTTTTCATTTTCCCAAACCCTTTGAAGAGTGCAAAATATAGACTGCAACCACTAAGACTTGAAAGAATGTCTACGGAAAAAACATTTTACCGTGGCTGAATCCTACATGATAAGACCTTGGGAATGTCACAACAAATTCACCAGGATTTTGTACCAACCTACGTAGGAAAACAAACATAGATTAACATAGATAAAACCGAGCATGAAAATAAAAGAAAACACATACTGCCTCACATCAAATCTCCACATAACAGAAGTGAAAGGTCAAATAAATTAAAAGGCCTACCTACAGCAGGGAATGTCTGATGAAACTATCATCTCAGGTGATACAAGAGTTGTCTTTTCGCCTAGTTGGGTGAGAGCAGCTGACAGTTACAAAGAATAGAAAATAGTTAACGACAAACAGAAGTATCTAGCATAAAGTTAAAGCAATAAGACCTTAAGGTAAAAACAGGTGCTAGTATAGAAAAATTCTATGCGATAATCGTTCTAGGAAATCTCACTTCTCACATGTACACGTCTCTGTAATTACAGGAACAGTATATCATCTTTAGCAGAAGACGTACCAAGTTGATCAAGGTTACTGCCATAAGAATTCTTGCGGATAACCTCTTCAAAGTCGAGCGCATAATCACCAGGGACAGCGTACCAAGTCTTTGGTGAGCCAATGTGAAGATAATTCATACTGTGAAGCTCATGGTCCTCAACATGCCAAGCAAACCAGCTAAACAACATACCAATATAAACCATGGGAGATGTAACACCAGGTATATCATCCGGCATAAAGCGTGTAACAGAGCCAGGTGAACGCGCGATCATCTGAAGGTTCCACGAACTATTGGAAAGCTTCCACCCTGCAGTCCCTTCCATTTCATCAACACAATCCACATTCTTCTTCTTGGACGGATCTTGAGATAACAAACTTGGAGAAGCAAGAGATGCCGCCTTTGCCACCTCATTCAATGATTCTTGACCATCAGTTCCCTCCTTCCTCTGATAAAACCCTCTCCCTCTCCTCTTCCTCTGCCGGAAATGCCTGAAATGACCCTCCGGCTCACCAAAAGCCGAGCCAGGGACATCGTTAGCATACTCTATATACATAGGCTTCTCAGAAGCCGCTTTCCAAAACAACGCCTCAACCAAAACCGGCGCCACTTCCTTAACCGTCCCTAACTGACTTTTATAAAAAGCCTTCGACTTTGACTCAAACTGCTCCAATGTATACACCCCACCACTCTGCCACACCTGCTTAACACCCTCTCCTACTCCTCTATTCCTTTTCCTACCCTGCCCTAACTCCTGCTGCCTTGTAGTAAACACAGCTCTATCCTCTAGACAAAGCTTCGAAACGTCTACACCAGAAGCCAACTCAGGACACCTCAAAAGAGACTTGTTCAAGTTGCAAAACACATACTTTCTCGATGGTTTGGGTATAGGAGGGATGATCTTACAGATCCCAAAGGCACTAGCTTCTTTCTCTATCTTAGATATGTAAGCAATGGGATCTGCGAACTCTGTGTCTGTAGGTCTAAAGACAGGTGCTAAAGGCATGGCCTTTAGCCAATTGGGAATCTCAACATTACCCATTCTCAATGCCAATTTTCAAACCCCTAAAATCATGGAATCTAAAAGCCCTAGATTCGAGATTCCGTTACTGATTTTAACAAAAAAAAAAAAGAGATTATCTTTTCTTATCGATTCCTTTTCTAATTGACAAACCAAATCAACACTATGAAACCGTTGGTAAGTGATACAATTGATAACGGCGAAATCGTTTTTTGGGGAAAAGAAAGGAGAGTGAAACGATATGAAACTGTGCGGTTGCGCAACGACGGAGAGACACGGACAAGGAGGAGTAGAAGAGGAGAGAGAAAGTAATGTTAAAAATATTGAAATTTTTTTGCTAAAATTAATTTAAACTTTCGCCGTCGGTGCATGTTAGCGTAGGATTACTGAACTTTTACGAGTGTGCGCGCGTCAAATTGCTACTAACCGGTGCTGTTTCTTGGACCGGACTTGTTTTTTTTTTCTTTATTAATCATGTACAAATAGCCCATTGCAAAATGGCCTTATCCAACAATTTTTTTTTTATAGAGGAAAGTAAACTAATAAGATGCTTAACATTCATGACATTCGAATGTATATAAGCATGGGCTCCGATTGGTATTCTGGCTTTATAGGATTTAAAGTTTTTAAAATCACTAAAGTCAAAATTTCGTGTAAAGCCTCCAAAAGTAATTTTTGAAAAGATTCTTCTATTTTGTTCATATTTTTCTAAAGCCACAATTTCAGACTTTAAACAAAATCTAAAGTTTTAAAAACCAAAATCTCTACAGCCCAAAACCTAAAGCCACAGTCTAAAACAACAGTGCATACCAATCGGAACCCAAATATTTCGAAAATTTTGTTAGCTTTAAAAAATAATAATGGTATAATATACATTTGTACAACTCAAAGAGATAATATGAATAGTGACTTCAAACTAGAAAACATGTTTGAAACTAAAATTGGAAAAATTAAGGATAGTGTAAGTGTATGAAGATGACATTGTGGAGATTAAGACAAAGGGAGATGTTAGACTATAATTTTATCAAAAATGATGATGATAATGACGTCAGACGAGTTGAAGAATGCAGCGTCAAAAGCATTATATTATTGGCCATGTAAAAAACGTTTTAGCAGATTGGAGCCGGAGCTCCGTTCCGTTCTTTGAAACACTCAACAAACAAAGGATCAACGAGTTTGCCTTCAGAAGCGATATCCAATTATACATTTATACGCATTATTTTGGGAGATAACATTTATGTTCCATTTTAGCCATATAAAAAACTTTAGCATCTTTCTCATTCGAATAAAGTGCTTTCTGACAGCTTTTTTAGAAAGCTTGATTAAAAGTGTACTAGTTGATCATATTGTTAAGAAAAATGTTACCGAATGGATTGAGTCAAAACTTTGGCTACTTGGCTTAAGAAGCTAAATTGCAGGTACAATAACTTTTCGAGCAACAATATCTAAAGAAACGGAATTAGCTAGATATTCAAAGAACAAGTTTCATAATATCCTTTTACAAAACTACTAGAAATCTAGATGTTGTTCCCAACCGAAAACAAAAATTAAGAGTGATGTAGACAAATATAATTTGAAGATTTTAAAACATGGAGTGGCCTGTGTGAGAAGTTTATATACCCACCCAAGTTGTGAAAGCAGTCCAACCAGAGTTTATCACTGACACCACAAATGGCAGAAATATATGATATCTGCCTTCAACTCGGCTGAAGTGAATCCATAATCTTGTTTTTACTTTTAGTTAATTCATAAAAAAGAGACTATAGCTCTAAAGTATCTGAGGTTTAACCAGTGTTTTTAAAACCGGACCAAAAGCTAAACCAGAAATATTTTGGATCACGGTTCAATATGATTCGACTGGGTCAAACCTGGTTCAGCAATCTGGTTTAATATATTTTTAGTATATAAATTTTAAAATAAAGTTACTAAATATGATACATAATTAAAATATAAATAAATTTTAAACGTAAAACAATTAAATATAAACTAGTTTTATGTTCATATATAATATTTTATAGATTTTTAATAGTTTTAACGGTTTTTATTAGTTAAATAACATTTTTTTAATAAGAAAAAAATAATAAATAAGAATGGATTGCACCGTTTATCATGGTCTAAAGCCTCTAGGGTTTCGTTCCTCTTAAGCTCTCTATATATGAAACTATTCTAGGGTTTGTAAAATCCATCCGCGGTGAAAAATATGGAAGAGCAGTTCTCGGAGAATCTAACATCAGCAACCCCCTCTAGCTAGACTTGAAGCACTATCTTCGAAGTCGGTAAGAGAATACTCAGTCCCACAAATCCCAGACGATCTGCTTATCAGTATATTCTCTCTTGTCACGGGAAAGTCTCTAGCAAGGTTTCGTTGTGTTTCGAAACACTGGGCATCCCTACTTCGCCGTTCTGATTTCACTGAGTTGTTTTGGACTAAGTCTTTGACTCGTCCACGTCTCCTTTTCACCATAAACTTTAAGGGCAAGTTGTTCTTCTACTCTGCACCTCAGCCTCATAATCCAGATGATAACTCTTGTCTTGTAGCCACCCCGTATCAAACGTGTTCATTGCCACAACATCTTTCTGTTGATATATCTAAACCACTCTGTGGATTGGCATTGCTCCTGCAAGTGCCGGTTATTTGTAACCCTGCCACTGGAGAGTTACTAACCTTACCCAATGTTCTTCTAGAAGAAAAAAACTTACCCAACCCCAAGGAGATTTCAAAAATTTATCACTTAGGATATGATCCGGTCGGAAAACAGTTCAAAGTGTTGTGTATGACCTTTTCATCACATGATGAAAGAGTAACCACTCATCTGGTTTTGACGCTAGACTCTCGAAAGCCTTTATGGAGAAAGGTGGAACGCAAATTCCGTTTTGTGAGAAACCGTAGAATGTTATCTGGTTCTATATGCATAAATGGTGTTTTGTATTTCGGAGCTGAGTTCGGGAAATCTACTGTTATGGTTTGCTTCGACGTTAGGTCTGAGAAGTTCCGCTTTATAAACACAGATGAAGTCATGGAACAAGAGAGTTATCCTTCTTTTGGTTGTTTTGAACTTTTCAACTACAAAGGTAAATTAGTCATGCATCGTAACAGTTATGAGAGATATGAGAATAGATTTGTGTTGTGGGTTCTAGAAGATGCTGGAAATCATAAATGGCTCAAGCATGTCTTGGAATTGTCTCCTTACGAGGAAAAGATGGTCGAGAATAACAAGATTGTTGGAATGACTGGTACAGGTGAGATTGTATTCGGTACGTTCCCGTACCTCCCAGTCAGCTGTTGTCGCCTTGTCTTCTACAATATGGAAAGAAAGACTTTTACAAGAGTCAAAATTGAGGGATTTGAAGTTGAAGAGGCTAGGGTGAAATTTTATATAAATACATTCATAGACTATGCAGAGACTGTGGAGTTCATATAAGGCTTTCCTATATCATTACTTGATAGTTGGTACGTTATATTTCTCCTCTTCAAGTTGTTTGGATTTCAACTTCTTTTTTTTTGCATGCATGCATGCTTTATTATTTTCTCAAAGTTTTGTCTTACGTTATTACTTCTTTTATTTCTCTATTTGCTTCCTCGAGATCTTTATCTTCTCTCTCTCTCACTCTAGGCCCATTCTTGTTTGACTGGATTCAAGAAGTAGAACCAGAAACACACAAAGAAGAGACTATAGCCTAATATCCGAGGTTAAACTTTTTAAAATAATGATATATTATAAATTTGTACAACTTTAAGAAATAATATCAATAATGACTTCAAACTGGAAAAACATGTTTGAAATTAAAATTGGAAAAATTAAGGATAGTGTATGAAGATGACATTGTGGAGATTAAGACAAAAGGAAGACGTTAGATTAGACTATCTAGAATGATGTCACACGAGTTGAACAATGCAGCGTCAAAAGCATTAAGATTATTGTCCATGTAAAAAACGTTTTGGCAGATTGGAGCCGGAGCTCTGTTCCGTTCTTTGAGACACACTCTAACAAAGGATCGACGAGATCGAATATCCAAATGAAGTCCAGATACATTTATACGTATTATATTGTAAGATAACTTTTCGAGCAAAAATATCTAAGGATACGGAAAGCTAAGTCTAGCTAGATATTCCTAGAACAGGTTTCATAGTATCCTTTTGCAAAACAAAATTACTAGTGGAAATCTACAGTTGTTGTTTCCAACCGCAAAAAAAGATTAAGAGTGATTTTGACAGATAGAAAAGTTGAAAATAAAAAATATGGTGTTGCAACTTGAAAGTACACTCAAGATTTTTGAACAAAACAACATAATAATTAAAAGACCACAGAGTCGGTAAGATAAGACAAATGTCAGATTCGAGAAAGAAAAAAACAAGTTTTCAAAATTCATATGTAGATCGTAATGTCACAAATCCTGAACGATATTTGTTGTGGGAAGACAAGTAGCCTAGTGGCTGCTCTTGGCTCTCGTGTACATGACAGCTTGTGGTGGTTTTTCATCTCTCAAGGTGTGTATTGTATGGTAATTTTCTGGGTAAGTAGAGTCTTAGATGGTTTGGACAGATAATGAATATGTCTAAAACTGTAGTGAAAATAATACTATTTAAATTATTTTTATAGACTATTTAGATTCTTGAACATATCATTTGCTTAGTGTTGAATTTTTTTATATCATTTTCGTTAATTACAAAATATTTTGAATAAATTGTTTTAGTCAGACATCAACTGATATTTTGTATAAAAAGCTTTTGGCTATAGAACATGATAATGTAGTTTTAAATGTTTGAGATGCTACCAAAAGAGCTCATAGAACAAATCAGAGGACGTATATAATACCCTTTTTTTTTTAACAACGACGTATATAATACTTTATACGTCGAAGGTATCATGATTCGCGTGTTTGGAATGAAAATAATGTATGAATAAATCAATTCAAATGCAACACATTTTACTAGAATATACTATCAAACGTTTTTTCAGATTTCGTGGTAGAGTTTCTGTCTTTTTTCACAATTTTCCTTTGATTTGCACATTCTCATTATCATAAGACACTTTAGTTTTTAGTATTTAGTTATCGTTTGGTTTGAAAAAAAAAACATTAATATTCTATTTTAGCTACTAAAAGTAACATAACATCTTCTCACTCGAATAAAGTGCTTTCTGACAACTTTTTTAAAAGATTCATTAAAAGTACTAGTTGAAACGTTGCCTACTTGGCTTAAGAAGCAGATCTGGTGGTAGCCTGGTACAATCCCGAGCAAAAATATCTAAAGATACGGACAGCTAGATATCCAGCGAACAAGTTTCAAAATATCCTTTCACAAAACAAAACTACTAGAAATCTACAGTTGTTGTTTCCAACCGAAAAGAAAATTAAGAGTGATGTTCACAAATATAAAAATTGAAAATAAAGAAATATGATGTCGCTATTTTTGTTTTGTTTTTGATGTTGCAACTTGAAAGTACATTCAAGATTTTTTGAACAACAACAAAATAATTGAATGACCACCAGTAGGTAAGATTTGACAAATGTCAGATTCTAGAGAAAAAAACAACTTTTCAAAACATATATAGATCGCAATTACATAAATCCTGAACCATGATATTTGTTGTGGGAAGACAAGTAGCCTAGTGGTGGTGGCTCTTGCTCTCGTGTACATGACAGCTTGTGGTGGTTTCTAATCGCTCAAGATATTATATTGTATGGGTCTTGGATAAATAGAGAGTCTTAGATGGTTTTTACCATTAATGAATATGTCTAAAATTATAGTGAGAAATACTATTTAAATTATTTTCATAGACTATTTAGATTTTGACGATATCATTTGCTTAGTGGTCAAGCCATCTAGACTCTCAATCTTCATAGACTATTTATATGTTAGAAGTATCATGATTCGCGTGTTTGAAATGAAGATAACGTTTGAATGGATCAATTTAAATGCAACACATTTTATTTGAATATAGAAAGATTGTAGTGACCTTTTCCTTTCTTTGTTTTCGTATCGTTAGTTTCTTTCTTTGTTAGTTCTGTCTTTCGTTCTGAAAGGATTTGTTTACCTGAAAAAATTTCTATCATGTCTTTACTAGCTTTGTTTAAAATTTTGTTCAAATTATGATCAATCTACTAGATGACAAAAAAGAATTGTAATGTCAAATGTTTTTTCAGGTTTCGTGAGAGAACCTGTCTCTATATTTTGTTTATATGTTCTAAGTTTCTGTCTTTTTCATGATTTTCCCATGATTTGCATATTCTCATTATCATGAGTTGTTAGTATTTTTGTTATTACTTTGAAATATGACAAACATTTCTGTTAATGGATGTTGGAAACAAAATATTTAAGATTCAAATATTAATGTTCGAGGATATTATTTTTGTTTTGCTACAAAATATTTAACTAAAATACTAGTAAGAGAAGGAAAAAAATTACTACAAGCTATGACGTTTTATTCATATACTTCTGGAAACAAATCATAGAGAAGACAAGTAAACAAGTGTTCTAGAAAATTGTCATTGTCTTAGAATTAATGTATCCAGATAATAAGATAGATAACACACGCAACACTTGAAGGCAACGTTATGCATCCAGATAATGCCTACAAGGTTTATCAACTTCGTTTGAATTTTCAGATAATGCCTACGAATTAATTTCAACTTTATTTATTTATTTATTTTTAAATTGAATCTTATACCCAATTTTTTAATATTTAACCATTTTAGTATTTAGAAACAAATCCATAATAATGTAAGGACATAATAAATCAATTTTCTATGAATTATTTCAATATCATAATAAATGATTAAAAGGTGTCATAGTCACCCAATCAATTCGTATTCATTCCTATCGTCAAACAAGTTTTTATTTGGGACCATAAAGTAGTAATTAATATTCGTAATCTTCTACTTAAGCTAAAAATCAAAGTTTAATTAGGCCAACCAACAAAGAAGACTAAGGGTAGTCACGTAACTTCCCACAACTCTTCGTTTAATGTCATCTCGTGATTTGTTGATTCTATAAAAAGAAAAAAAAAAAAAAAATCGGAAACTCTTGTCACGAAATAAAATTGGCGGTTTGAATCAGAACGTTGTTGTTGTTGTTCTCTTCGTTACCGTTTTGGACCAGATTCCTTCTCCTCTGTCTCTCTTACTACCATTTACATATATTAACTCTTTCTTCGTTTTCATCGCTTGTCCGAAAAAAACTCATCGAGAAAAACAAAAAAAAAAAGAAAAAAGATGGGATTTTTCGGCAGTGTGCTTGGGATCCTCGGTTTCGCAATCGGAATCCCTGTCGGACTCATCGTTGGATTCTTCGTCTTCATCTATTCTCAGCCTTCACACGAAGAGGTAAAGTACATAAAAATCGCATCTTTTTGTTTGATTCTGTTGTTTTCACCATCTGGGTTTGTAGCTTAAAGGTTGTTACTTTAACGTGTGTGGTGAATTGGAATCTGAGGAGGGTTTTGATAGTATGTGACACTGTTTGAACATTTTGCAGTATCCACCAGCGAGGCCATTAGTTGAGACTAGCATCACTCTCCTTCTTGATCTTCTCCCAGATATCCCACTATGGATGAAGAATCCTGACTATGAACGAGTAAGTTTTAATCACTCTTACCTTGTTAATTACTTTGACACTGATAACACTCTTATAATTTTATTGTGTTTGCTACATGCATTCAGGTGGACTGGTTTAATAGGTTTCTCGCATACATGTGGCCCTACCTCGACAAGGTTCTTTTCTTCTTACTATAATTAAGCTTATTATCAAATTCTGCTTCTGTATATAAGCTTTAATTTTTCTTCTCTTGTTTATAGGCTATTTGCGAGATTATCAAGAGCTCTGCACAACCTATATTTGCAGATTATATAGGGACTTTCTGTATAGAATCTATAGAGTTTGAAACACTGAGCCTTGGATCACTTCCCCCAACAGTTCATGGCAAGTCTTCTATTTTTTATCCTTCTTGTCACATATTTAGGTTGTGCTAATGCTTAATCTTGTGCAGGTGTTAAGTTCTATGAGACAAACGAGAAGGAGCTTTTGTTTGAACCATCAATCAAGTGGGCAGGCAATCCTAATATAGTTTTGGTTATAAAGCTCATGTCTTTACGGATTAAAGTTCAGGTAAGTAAGAGAAACTTTACCACTCTTCTTAGTTCTATAACATCTTGACTGTTTAAATATTTATTTACTTCTGCAGCTCGTAGATCTCCAAGTTTTTGGTATAGTGCGAGTAGCTCTGAAGCCTCTTTTACCTACCTTCCCTTGTTTCGGAACGGTTGTAGTTTCATTGATGGAAAAGGTAGTTACATTTTATAATAGATTTTGAAAGTTGTCTGTTTTACCAAAACTATGAGAAAATGTGATGATTCTCTTTTGCAGCCGCATGTTGATTTTGGATTGAAAGTGCTTGGTGGAGATCTCATGTCCATACCGGGTCTCTACAGATATGTTCAGGTGCTACATTGATGACCCTCCCTCCTTTTGGTAGGGGTTGGGAACTATGCTGTTCATTGTTATTTTATTTTTCCAGAGGATTTATCTAATAATAATGACTTTGCAGGAAACTATTAAAAGACAAGTTTCAAGCATGTACCATTGGCCACAAGTTCTTGAGATACCTATTCTTGATGCTTCAACGTAAGTGCTGTCTTTAATATAAGTCACGAGATTTATCTCTTTCTTTCCTCTGAGGCTCTGATTCATAAATGTGTATAGAGCTTCCGTGAAGAAGCCTGTAGGATTACTACATGTGAACATCATTAGAGCTCACAATCTCCTCAAGAAAGATTTGCTTGGAACATCTGACCCTTATGTCAAGCTTAGCTTGACCGGAGAAAAGCTTCCGGCAAAGAAAACCACCATAAAGAAGAGGAACTTAAACCCGGAGTGGAATGAACACTTCAAGCTCATTGTGAAGGATCCATTATCACAAGTTCTTCAACTAGAAGTCTTTGACTGGGACAAGGTCTCATCATAATCACATTCCCACTTCAATATTCTGGTAATTCCTTACTAAACATGCTCTCTTTGGCAGGTTGGTGGGCATGATAGATTGGGAATGCAGATGATCCCCTTGAAAAAAATTAACCCTGGGGAGAAGAAGGCGTTTAACCTGGATTTGATCAAGAATTCAAATATTGTTATGGATGTACCAGAGAAGAAACAGAGAGGAAAATTAGAGTTAGACCTCAGGTATGTGCCATTCAGAGATGGAAGTATGAAGTATAGAAACGATGTTCAGGATGAGCACCAGAGCAGAGATGAGAAATCATCAGAGGAAGATGATTTTCTCAGCAATGCTGGTCTACTCTCGGTTGCAATCCAATCAGCTAAAGATGTTGAGGGAAAGAAGAAATATACAAATCCTTATGCTCTTGTTCTCTTCAGAGGAGAAAAGAAGAGAACAAAGGTATAAATCATAATCTATTTGGCTCACAATTAGATTATTTCAAGTGCATCATGAGCTATGTTTACTTGATCAGATGTTGAGGAAGACAAGAGACCCGTTATGGAACGACGAGTTCCAGTTCACACTAGAAGAGCCGCCATTGAAAGATAGTATACGCGTGGAGGTTATGAGTAAAGGAACCGGTTTGCACTTTCGTTCCAAGGTAACGATCTTATGCCTTGACTTGAGCTTGGTAGAGATCCTGTTTTAACGCTTGATTTTGGCTTCAACTCTTTGATCTCTATGCAGGAGGAACTGGGACATGTAGACATAAATCTAGACGATGTTGTTGCAAATGGAAGGATTAACCAGAAATATCATCTTATCAATTCAAGAAATGGTGTTATTCACATTGAAATCCGTTGGACCACTAGTTAAATTGTATATTTTTATGCATATGATATAGTTCATCAACAAATATAATAATATTATTATTATTCTTCAATTTTCTAAAAATTGGTACAGACAGCAAATTAGACCTAAACAAAACGACTTTTTAGTTAAAAAAGTTGGTCTATATGCATGTTTAATCAATAATTCTTTATAAAACGACTATAAAAATCTGAACATTGTTATTATTGTTTAATTTTTTGAAAATACACATTCAAATAAAAAAACGACATATAATAGCATGAGTCACATCAAGGTTGAGACAGGAACGTGGCGTCAGCGTTCTGATCACTGCAGTAGAGACAAGGGTGTTGCTGAAACCCTAGTTTCTCAAGCACTTCCCTAGCCATCATCACTAGTTCCTTGTTCTTCAAGGCACCTCCGTTTTCCTTCAGCACCTTCTGAATCGCGTTGCTAAACGCTCCATACGCCTTCCCGCCTCCACCACCGCCTACGTCAGCAGACGTTTCATCCGCCTGACACCCGCTCAACAATATCCCTGAGTCAACGTGTCTTCCACGCAACGTCATACTCTCCAAAAGTTCCATCAAGTCTATCGTCGGTAGCCGGAACTTTAGACCAGCGTCGCCACCAAAGAGCTCGAGTAGGTGTGTAGCAATGTCTGAAGTTAAGATTCCAGTAAGGGAACTCAAATGGTCTAGGACTTCCTTGAAGGGCAAGGCACGTGATGTTGTTGTTGTTGTGGTTGTCTCCATGTCCGGAGATTTATCACCAGAGGAGAATGGTCCGATTTGTTCTTTCTCCTTGTCAATGAGACCACCACTATGGCAAGAATCCGAGATCATGGTAAAGCTTGTTCCCTTAGGAAGTTGGTTGACTAACTCTCTGAAATCAACATCTGTGATGAGGTTGAAATCACAAGGAACTATAGCTTCGTCTTGTTTAAAAGGATGAGCAGGTTTAACCGATGGGATCCTAGTTCCATGGCCACTGTAATGGAAGAACAAGACGTCTCCAGTTCCATTTTGAGCTTTCTCTACCATCCTACGTAAAGCAGCCTTGATGTTGGCTCCGGTGGGTTTTAACTTTGACTCTGGCTCGTCAGTTAGTACTTCCATGTCTTCTTGTTTGAATCCGAAACGGGTTATAAGAGTTTCTTTCATGGCTAAAACATCGTTGACGCAGCCGTGTAGCTCGTTCCTTGTGTTGGGATAGTTGCAGCCTACGAGAACGGCTAGTCTTCTGTTCACAACTCCTTGTTGATCCATGTGAGTTTTTAGGGTTTAGAGGGGGAGTTTAAACAACTTTAATCTATTTGCAGTTTCTTTGTTTATAATTAGCTTTTCATGTGAAGTGTTATTGTTTTGGAGCCAATATGTGTATTTATGATTGAGGTTTCTTGTAGTGAAGGTCAAGTTACATAGAATATTTTCTTTTGTTGTTTGCTTTGAAGCTTTGGAACTTTTTTTTAAAAATGAAGTCTTGGCTGTATTATTAATGCCTTAAAGCAAGAAACTATACCTAAAACCATACTTTTGAGATAGACATAAGTAATCTACTAATTTTGAGTCATGGACTCATAGTCCAACCAAACCTTCATATATAATCCAAGGATTATAAAAAAGTAAAGGAATTGGTTAACTTGGAATTATATATAACCATTTAGCCATCAAGGCAAGAAACAAGTTACGTTTTATATTTATGTGATATGAATGTGTATTACGTAGATAATGTGTTGGAGTATAAATTAACAGTTGACCATATTTAATTTACGTTGGTTTTGTTAACCTCATAAAATTAAATACACATGTTTGAAAAAAGAAAAAAAAAACAGAGCAATTTCACATGATGGGAAGCACATACAAAACACCAATAGAATGTAGTAGTTAAACCGGTCCTAAACCAGAAACGACGGTTTATTATCCACCACTGCTCTACTGGTCACACTTAATTTAGAACTACCATTGTTGCACAACACCTTTTGCATGACATCATCCTGAACGCTAACGCTCTTTAGCGGCTGAACCAAACGCTGACCGTCACTAACCAGGGACGGTTGCGACAAACCGATTCTTGAGAAGTTATTCGCCATTCTCGAAACCGGTTCTGCGGTTGTAACGCTCCAAGTGACACTTGCTTCGCTCGGCTCGTAACCGTACTCAGTCACCGTCTCGTCTATCGAGTTTCTGACGCTATCAGCTGCTGGTGGAGCAAACGGACGAGCTATGTGTTGAGTAGAGAAGCTCTCTATCTCGAAGAGGTCGGAGCTTGCGTCACTCGCGGCTTCTTCGTCTGTAGTAGTAACTCCCTTGGGACTTGTAGGACTCAAAACCGGTTTAATCGGATGCAGAACCGGTTCGATTGGATTCAAAGCCGGTTTAATCGGTTCGGTTAGAGTCGGGAAGGTGAAGTTACTAACGTGACCTCTAGATTCTCTGTTTGAAGGGATCGTTAATCTAATTGGATCAGAAGATGATATCCTCTGATGATTATGATGAATAACTCGGTTGGATATGGTTCGGTCTGAACCGGTTATGGACTCTGCAATTCTTGGTTTGGTTTCTTGGACCTGGACCGACTTGGAGCTAGAACAGGGACAAGTCCTGCGTCTGAAAAACCATCTGTGGCCTTTCTTGCTACTTCCACGTCCGTCACGGTCCGATTTTTGTCGGTTGTTATTGTTGTTACGGAGCAAACCGGTTTGGCTGTTCCAGCTAGCTTCAGATGATGCCGTGTGTCCCACGGTAAAAGAAGACACTTTTGCAGATGAAGCCGTAGAGAATCTTGGACCACTAAGATTCGTCGTTCCGCTTTCGTTAAAGTATCTTCGAGCTTCGAATATGCTTATCTCAGCCTCTTCTTGCTCCTTTTGTTCGTTGTTGTCTGGCTTGAGGTATGAGGAGAAGGAGACATCGATGTCGAGTGATCGACTTTGGATGATCTTGATGTAAGGGTCTAGAGCATCGCGTTTGGTTGCAACGACAGTTACAGTAGTTTCAGCCATTGGACTTAGCTCTGTTTTTGTTTTTTAAGCTGAAAAAAGAGTTTCAAGTAGCTATTTAGCTCTGTGTGACTGTGTGTATATATACACTTGAGGTTTGAGGGAAGTGTCAGAAGTTAGTTATGTCCGAGAAAGTTCTATCTTTCTTGTTTAATCATGTCATCATGACGTTCTTACATGTAAGTTGTTAACCATTTTTTTTTTCAAGTGTAATAGAATTGTTTTTTAGATGGCACGAACAAATAATTTAATGATAGGGTTTTGGTATGTTTTAATTTAAGATTCCCTATGATTACTAAACTAATTCGAGTATAGTGCTTACTTGATATGATGATTGAAAGTTATGGATCCACCACAATTATTTTCAATTAGTACTAGATTCTTGTTATGGTCTTCTTTTTATAAGAAAAGTATAGACTAAAGGTTCAAAACTCCTAATTATAAAAGAAGATTTAGTTGAACTATCTATTTTAAAGTTTGATCACTATCAGTTTCTATTGAAAAAACACAAATCCTGAAATATGAAAAGAAACATAAAGTTTTTAATGTATAAACATAAAGTTGTGTGCGCCCTATCTCCAAATTCGGGAACGTGAGTGTTTCCCTAGGCCATAATCGGTTCCATGTGGCTTCTCCATTATTATGTTCTTCTTTACACTGCTTTTGAGCAACAAGACAAAGATAACTCCAAACAAGGTGACAAATCTCTATAGTGATTACTTCCTATTGGACAATAGACAGATCAAAAGAGAGGATAAGAATCATCATAGTAATGATAATTGGGTCCATTCTTTTTACAATACTATTTGATTTTTTGACATTTAACGAACATATGCTCTGAACATGATTAGGGTACATAGGCTGTCAATTATATAGTGTTTTCCACTTTAGCCTGATCATTTTCAAAGTAAAAACGTAAGTGTAGTATAACCGTACGTTTTTATGAAGTTGAAAATTTTATGTTGATGGACGTGATTAAAACCTAAACTAAACTGTCTCTTGAAGATTTAATTCCAACACAAACTTCTTGAAATGGAGTGATTTGACTTAAAACTAGACAACACTCGCTCAATAATAGGTCTCTTCCAAAGGTATGAGAGCCATAACCTCAAATTTTAACAATTTAAAAAGAATCGCATTTTAAAATAGAAACGAGTGCAAAAGCCAATTTCCAACCTTAGAATTACTAAGGTTTTTAGAAGATTTAAATTATTTGTGGCCAATAAATTTCTATGCAAGATATTAAAAATGGAAGAAAAAAATTCAAACTATTTACAATACAATAATTTGGAGAAGAAGAAGAGAAAACAAAAGATGAACAACATTATTATCCTATTTGTGACATTTCTTGCTCTTTCTTCTTCATCTCTAGCAGCAGGTAGAATAAGTTCACAATGTATCCTATGATGCAATGGTTGTGTTAAGCTTTGGAGCATTTTGTATGATATGACTTTGACTCTCTCATCTTCATGCAGAGGAGACAGAGACTGCGTTTCATTACAAAAAAGGAGCACAAGCAGATCCATCGAAATGGAGCATGACCAAGAAAGAATGGAAAATTTGCGGGACGGGGAAGAGGCAATCACCAATTGATCTTTCTCCAAAAATAGCTCGCCTAGTTCATAATTCTACAAAGCTTATTCAGACATATTACAAACCAGTAGATGCTACTCTTAAAAACCGTGGATATGATATCATGGTACATAATTATTCAACCTTAAAAAAAAAACTAGCATACTTTTTTTTCTCTCTTGCCAATTAGTATACATAATTAGCATACATAATTATTCAACCTTGAAAAGACCTAGCATACTTTTTTTTTCTATTACCTCTGCATGACCGATATGTTGTGACTTGTGTGCATCAGGTTTCATGGGATGATGACGCAGGGAAGATTGTGATCAATAATACTGACTATCAATTGGTTCAAAGCCATTGGCACGCACCTTCAGAGCATTTCCTCAATGGAGAAAGGTAGGGAGAAATGAACATATTGACATTATTTGTGATTTTAAAAACCATAAACATTTATTAAGAACTTTAATATAAGCAATTTCTCATAATTTAGAGGTTAATTATGTCTATGTAAATAATATATATCATAAAATCTGAATAATTTTTTTTAAGGTTGGCCATGGAACTTCACATGGTACATAAAAGTGAAGAAGGACATTTAGCAGTTATAGGAGTTCTTTTCCGAGAAGGTGCACCGAATGCTTTCATTTCAAGGGTAACTAATTTATTATGTACTGTGGAGTGTGGATATGGACAAGAACCAATGCTTTATCATTGTATTGTTTGACAAAAATCGACAGATAATGGGAAAAATTAATATGATCGCAAACATTCAAGATGGTGTGGCGACGATAGGAAGGCTACATCCAAAAGATTTCGGATGGGATCTAACAAAATTCTATGAATACAGTGGATCTCTCACGACTCCTCCTTGCACGGAAGATGTCATCTGGACCATCATCAGCAAGGTATATATATCCAGTTTCAAAACCGTTATTGTAGTAATTAAATAAAACTCAAGAGAATCCAAGAATCTAAATATAACAATGGACTTTTTTCTTTTCTTATCTAAATGCAGGTGGGGACTGTTTCACGTGAGCAAATTAAAGTATTAGTCGATGCTCGCCGCGGTGTAAGAACATTAAAACACTCTCACATATAAACATTTGCTAAGAACGTCTTTGAACTTTGTCCTTACATAACTAATAAAACATGTTTTGATGATAATATATATTAGGGTTTTGAGGAAAACGCAAGGCCGGCTCAACCGCTGAATAATCGTGTGGTTTATCTAAACGAACAAAGCATCAGATCAACTCCAAGCTCCCAAGGACAAATTAATATAAATTAGTTTTGAAGATGTTCGTGGATTGGCTTCATTACTAATTATATTTTACAGCATGTCAAGATGTATATTAAAAGTTAAAAACATAAGTAAAGTGCTATATGCATGTAATTTATGTATTAACAACAAACAATATGTAATACTCAACCATAACATGAGTTGTTTTATTCTTTTTACTTTGTGAAATGCGGTCGTACAGCCATAACCCAGCAATGAATACTTTTTTTCCAGAGACAGTTTCTTATATGTCACTCTAACGTTCACTCTCACGATGGTTGATCACATTGATACTCTTAATGAATTAAAAATAGTTAAAGATAGTATAGTTAATTCTTTATCTGCAACCAATGGAGAACGGGATAGAAGATTCAGGGTGAAGATTGATCTTTAATAGTTTCTTTCTTCTCTGAGCTATTTACTTAAAATCGTTGAGATAATACTGCTTGCAGATTGAGCATGCGCAACATTTGGCACCAGGATCTTCTGATCGGTTTGGTCAACACCGATCAGTGCAGGTTAGTCACTTCCCACCCAGCATCGGCCCATTTGAACTTCAGACTTATATGCTTGATCTAACATATATATAAGCCTTGTGAACGGCCGGATCATTTGGTTGATGATGCTGATACTGCTCCAAAGAAGCTCGGTTTTGAGAGCTGAAAAGGAGTCTTATCTATTTCATTTCAATCTCTCTTATATAAATGGCAATGCACTTGTGTCAACAAATTCGTGGGATGAGTTCTCAAAAGACGGTTCTGCTTCGATTTTGGCAACGTATGTTAGGAGGAAAACAAGTGTATCCGTAAACAAGGTTTGTTTGTCTATGATGAGATGCCTTGTGAATATATGTATGGATTTTTCACAGAATCATCAGATGTTATATTAATGGTACACCATACACTAGGCTACTCCTACTCCTCCTATTTGTAAGCTTCTATGGGAATAACTCTATTAGTCACCAATTACAAACCCTCTCTCTCTCTCTCTCATTCTCCCTCTTGCCGCAATAGCAAGATCAGTTCTATGGTGGAGAAAGCAGCAGTCACTAGAACCATAAACTGCGACTATCCACGGCCTTCATGAGAGTGTGTGTATATGACATACTTTTGTTTTGGCATTAATGAAAGTGGAATGACTAAAAAGCCCTCATCTTCTACCTACCTTCTTCTGCGATTTCTTTAAGCCGTCTTTGATTTTTTTTTCTTCACCATTTTCGGAAGCTATTTTTGTTGTATTCACTTAAGATCCATGGCATAAAATCTGGTTTCGAACTAGAACTGATACCTCCTTCATCATCACCTTGGAACTCGAAAACAAATCGATGGCGAGTCATATTGTGGAAACTCTGTTGGTGTTGTCAGTCATCATATTCCTCCAACTCCAAACCACCAAGGGGGAAGAAGAAGGAGACACTCCAATCGGTCGGTTCCAGCAATACCTAAGATTCAAAACGGCTCATCCAAACCCTAACTACACGGCACCCGTCTCATTTCTCGTTCACCAAGCCCAATCAATCGGTCTAACAACTCGAACCCTAGAATACGTAAAAGGAAAGCCAGTTCTCGTGGTGACGTGGCTCGGCTCCAAACCCCAACTCCCTTCCATTCTCCTCAACTCCCATCTCGATTCCGTCCCCGCCGAAGCTGACAAATGGATTCACCCGCCCTTCTCTGCTCACCGAACCCTCGACGGTGGTGGTCTTATCTACGCACGAGGCGCGCAGGACGATAAGTGCATCGGAGTTCAGTATCTGGAGTCTATCCGGAACTTGAAATCCACAGGCTTCCTTCCTATCCGCACCCTCCACATCTCTTACGTCCCCGACGAAGAGATCGGAGGGTTCGACGGGATGGCCAAGTTCGCGGCCTCCTCTGATTTCCGGGACCTCAATGTTGGATTCGCCTTGGACGAAGGGCAGGCGAATCCGGGAGATGAGTTTAGGGTCTTCTTCGCTGACCGGACTCCCTGGGAGCTGGTGATTACAGCTCGTGGCGTCCCGGGCCATGGTGCTAAGCTCTACGACAATGGAGCGATGGAGAATCTGATGAAGAGTGTTGAGTTGATCTCCAGGTTTAGGGAGACGCAATTCGATTTCGTTAAAGCTGGCAAAGCTGCCAACTCCGAGGTTATCTCTGTCAATCCAGTTTATCTCAAAGCTGGGACTCCTTCCAACACTGTAAGCAAAGCTTTAAGAACGGAACCAACAATCATCTTTGATTCCTGTTTTGTTTGTTAGAGGCAGCTTTTGTGTGTGTGTGTGTGTTTCTTTTCAGGGATTTGTGATGAATATGCAGCCTTCAGAGGCAGAAGCTGGATATGATCTAAGGCTGCCTCCAATGGATGATCCTCATCTTATCAAGAAAAGGATTGCTGAGGAATGGGCTCCTTCTATTAGGAACATGACCTACACGGTAAATATGAAATATTTCCCTTTAACCTTATTACTCTTTAGCTATTATGTTGCTATGCAATTCCAACTCTTTGTCGTTATACAGAATCCTTTCTTTTGAATTCCGTTGCCTTTTTCAGTTTATCAAATTTCTTTGTTTTTGTTTTCATCCTTGGTACAACATAAAGATTATTTAGCTTCTTTCTTATGGAGCTTTCACATTTGTTTTTGTGAATAACCCATGATACCTTGAATAGTTATCTCTTTTGTTGATCATGAAATGTTTTGTATTACCACACCTCCCTCTTTTTTAGTTGCCTTTAATACAACAAAACAAGGATTTAAGATTTCCTAAGCAAAGCTTTAGGTGAATAGGAATTGTTGGTTAAATATTATTTGGCTTTTCCACATTAGTTTTGTGGAAATGAGGATATTAGCTGCCCATGATACCACATTAGTACTGTTATCAGAGGAAACGAAGTGGACAAAACTAACTTCACCTTTGTTGTACCAGATAAAAGAGAAAGGAAAGTTAAGAGACCATTTAGGACGACCGATAATGACTGCTACTAATGGTTCGAATCCTTGGTGGTCTGTCTTCAAGCAAGCTGTTGAAGCAACTGGTGGAAAACTCGCAAAGCCTGAAATTTTGGCTTCAACCACAGATGCACGCTATATTCGCACTTTGGGAATTCCACTTCTGGGTTTCTCACCCATGATCAATACTCCTATCCTATTGCATGACCATAACGAGGTATTGGAGCGATGGTAATATCTTTGAGTTAAATATTATGAATCACAACACTGATTGATATAAACACTTTTTCTCTTACAGTTTCTTAAAGATACCGTATTCTTGAAAGGAATACAAGTATATGAATCGGTTATCAGCGCTTTAAGTTCCTTTGAGGGAGTATCTGCTCAAATGATCTGAAAGCATGTTTGTATTCGAGCAATTGTTACATCCCACTTGTAGATGATCAGGTTTCACAAATTGCTATGTTCAACAAGTGTATGTCGATGTTTCACTCATTTTCTTGGAAATATGTTTCGATTGACATTCACTCGGGTCCTGTGACCCTGAGTGGCTGGTAATAATATCAGACATTTGATTTGCCTGCATAAAATCTCGAAACTCTAAAGAGAAATGTCACTGGTACTTTGTGCATATGACTTCACTAACTGTTGATCGTTCAGCTTTAATATCCTGGAAATATAAACTTTACAAACCTAAGACATTGCCCACATGTAACTTCAAATCTCTAACCATATAAGTACGTTAACATATCTCATCTATTACTATATCCTATCAATATACCTCTTTTCATAAACATGGAACCATACCAAGATTATGCTCTTTTACTTGAATTCGAAACACATCATGCAACCTCAGATGCAATAAGAAATCTCACGATCAATATACAACGTTGGCATACTAATAATAACATCATTTCCATCCCTCTTGAATTTGCAACTACAGATGTTGGATCTCTTACTGATTCAACCTTTACAATCCTTCAATATATGTTCACATGCCAGAACATGAGCCTGAGTATATACATAACATTTTATATATATATGTAAAAACAAACAAGATGTAATAATAATACTCAGCCATAACACGAGTTGTTTGATTCTTTTATACCACAAGGTTTTTTACATTTTGTCTTAAACTTTGGAATCCATGTAAACCGGTAAAGCAACTTGTAACAATAGCATTCACACATCGAGGAACATACAACAACAACATAAGAAACCTTATGCGATGAGGAAAGGGAGGACAGTGAGCATGAAGGATTCGTAAGTGAATGTAGCTGAGCCTGAGTATCCAGTGTCCTTCTCCTTGAACTTCTCTGTTAGTCCCTGCAAAATTCACATCATCAAAGTAAAATCAAAACAACTAACTTGTAAAAAAAAAAGAATCTCAGTTGATGACCAGGAAGACAAATCAATGAACAACACATATCTGCTTCTGATCCCCCAAGAGAAGCGAGATATTTTTGAGTTTAACTAGAAAGATCTTCAGTCAAATCTACGCTAAGCACTTGTTTATAAGCTGTCTGAATGAGACAGAAACAGAGTAAATGATAGGCGTACCTTAACAGTGAGACAGCACCTGCATCAAAAACACAAAGCAGAATGAATAACCAGCAACAAATCAAATCAAGGCTACAAGAAGAGAGGGTATGGAACGAATAACTTACTCAATGAAATTGTCATATTCAATGGCCCTGTTCTTGCCACCACTTTTATCGAATTTGGAAACAAGAAGATCCAGAATCACAGGAGAAACTGAAAACCCGAGGCTCAAAAGTGCATCTCTCAGCTCACTTATATCTATTCTCCCGCTCCTGTCCTTATCAGACCTCTCAAAAATGGACTGAACCAAATCACATGAGTGTCAACTTCACAAACCAATCTTCCTATCCAACTAAATCATAAAACAATCAAAAACTCAAAACTTACCCTCCAATTCTGAAGACTGTAGAAAAGTGCAGTAAACTCCTTAGGTCCTATAACATAGAGATTGCATAAGATTCATTACAGGACAGAGAGATAGAAAGAAAAAAAAGAATGCAACTTTGAATGTTTGTTTATATGATCTCAACTAGAACTATAATAATGCAACCAAAATAACTCTCTTGCACGTAATTATCATAAGTCTACTTTGTTCTTTTACTCCAACATGGTAATATAAAAATCCTTGACGATATAACCCAATTAGCATGTACAACAAAGATTAGATTTTTAAATCTTCCTAAAGTACCAAACTTAATACACAGATAATGCAATAAAGACTGAACAAGAACAGATCATAAAGGATACATAAAGCTGACCTATTTTCATGGCATTGCTGTTGGTGAAAAGATACATAAGAAGATGAACAGTTCTCATACTGAACCTCTGCTGATAAGAAGACAGAGCTCCTTGAAGCTCCTTATCATCAATGAACCCACTTCCGTCCTGATCAGCAGCTTGAAAGCAAGCCACAATATTCGGATCCGTCCCCGGAGCAAAACCTGACGGAATCAGAGAAGCAAAGGGACTTCCATAAGCTCCATAGCCTCCGTATCCGCCGTGTCCTGAAGAAGCTGGACGAGGCGGAGCAGCACCGTAACAACCGCCGTATTCTTGCGGCGGAGCAGCTCCGTATCCACCGTAAGGACGCGGCGGAGCACCACCGTAACCGCCGTATTCTTGCGGCGTAGAAGCTCCGTAACCTCCGTGACCGGACTGTACCGGACGGGGAGGAGCAGCACCGTAAGGTCCGGGCGGTGGTGAAGCTCCGTAACCGGCGAAAGGCTTCTCCTTTGGAGGAGGGTTGAAGTCTGCTGGAGAAGGAGGAGCGTAGGGTGCAGAAGGAGGAGGTGCGCCGTAGGAAGAAGATTGGGGTTTTGATGATGAGCCGTAGGGAGCAGCGTAAGGAGATGAGGTTGGTGATGATCCGTACGGAGGAGGGTTGTTTCCGGAGGAGGAGTAAGGTGGTTGAGGAGGAGGAGGTTGATTTCCACCGCCGTAGCTGTAACCGTAGCCTTGGCTCGTCGGAGGGTAGCCTGACATCGCTGGAAAGGTTTAGAGAAAGAAAACGAACTTTTTGTTTGATTAAAAGAGAGATCGAAGACGAAGAAGAAAGAAAGAAAAGGTTTTTGACATTTTAGCCGTGTCAAACAGATGAGGATAGTCTTGTCATTTCGGCTTTTTGTTCTGAAGTATTTACAAGTTATGCCATTGGGATCGGATCTAACCGACAATCATGATTAGTGGTTTACTAAAGAGTTCGGTTCAAATTAATCTAATTTGGTAATTTTTTTTTCTGTTTCGAATTATTTTTAAATAAAAATCTTCTTCAATGAATCATACATTAAATTAAGATCTTAAGTAGTATATACCCATAAGTTTTAATATGATACTAAATCAAATATCAATTCCAGCCAAAATTTGTTTAATCGATCCAGTTTAAACTAAACCAAACTAAAATTTGTCTAGTTTATTTGACTTGAAATACTGTAAATAAATCAATGTTAAAGAAATTGTTTACAATAAATGTTTTATGTAAAATAATTGGTTATAATAATTAATTTTTTGAGTTTAGATTATTTCTTTTTTTAAAATTTTTTTTATTTAAATCTGATTTATCGATTAGACAAAAGATTAAACCGATTTTAGAATAATGGTAAATGTCCTACAGTTAATTTTGGTTTCTGTTTTTTTTTTTCTCTATGCAAAAATGCAATACTCTTTCTCTAAAATATATACAAAAAAAATAATATATACACTCTATGATTACTACGTTACATAAAAGAAAAAAACAATTTACATATTTAGCAGAAAAAATCAAAAAATAAAAAGGTTGCGACAAAAGGAAAAAGGAAGACATATCTTAAGGCTTTTTGTCCTTGCCGTTCCATGCTCAAAAGTGAGGACCTGATTTCTCTCGTTTCTCTTTCTCTCTCAACAGATCTCGATCTCGCCGAGGAAGACGAAGAAGAAGAAGACCAAACCCAGATCAACAGAACAATGTCGTCTTCCTCAAAGAAACAAACCCTATTCATATCAACACTCATCATCTCATGGTACTCCTCCAACATCGGCGTCCTCCTCCTCAACAAGTTCCTCCTCTCAAATTACGGATTCAAGTTCCCTATCTTCCTCACAATGTGTCACATGTCCGCCTGCGCCATCCTCAGCTACATCTCCATCGTCTTCCTCAAGCTCGTCCCTCTCCAACACCTCAAATCTCGCTCCCAGTTCCTCAAGGTCGCCACTCTCAGCATCGTCTTCTGTGCCTCCGTTGTCGGTGGTAACATCTCCCTTCGTTACCTCCCTGTCTCTTTTAATCAAGCCGTCGGTGCTACGACGCCGTTTTTCACAGCTTTGTTCGCTTATCTTATGACCCTTAAGAGAGAGGCTTGGGTTACCTATGGGGCTCTCGTCCCTGTTGTTGCAGGTGTTGTCATTGCTAGTGGGGTAAAAGCTTTTATCTTTATTCTTTTTTTGTTTCCTCTGTTTTTTGATTCTGTTAAAAATAGTAATAATGCCAATGTTTGGATGTTTGATTTGAATCTTGGGGGGTTTTTCTTTGTAATGTTTAGTATAAAGATGATAGCTTTAAAGAGATTGTATATGTTCTGTGATAAAGGCTAAAACTTTGAATTGAGATCTTGAGACCTGAGTCTTGTGTTGTCTAAAAAGGTTTTAATCAGGTCTAGAATTTGGTAATAACATCATTTGGGATCTAATGACCTTTGTTCTTTCCTTTTTTCACCTACAAGGTGATGTCTTTTTAACTGTCTGTTAATTGTATTTATAGGAGGTTATCAAGTGGTTATATTATATCCTTGTTTTGGTTTTTGGATTTGTTTTTTTTTTTTGTTGTTGTTTGATCATTGATCTATTCATTGCAGGGTGAGCCAGGGTTTCACTGGTTTGGTTTCATTATGTGCATTAGTGCTACGGCGGCAAGAGCCTTTAAATCTGTTCTTCAAGGCATATTACTTTCTTCAGAAGGGTAAATCATTTTAACTAAATGGATCTTAATTTACATTCTGCAAGCAGTTATATGATCTAATCAGGAAACTTTTTGTTACCTAAACAAGAGATCTCATAAATGATTAGTTTGGTAGGATGTTGTATTATCAGGTTTAAGATCTTTAATTCAGATAATTAAATCTCTCACCAACCAACCAATGATTGGTGCATGTGACATATGTAATAGTATCTCTGTTTTTTTTTTTGCTTTGTTCAGGGAAAAATTGAACTCGATGAATTTGATGTTGTATATGTCTCCTATAGCTGTGGTTGCTCTTCTTCCAGTGACGCTAGTTATGGAACCAGACGTGATTAGTTTGACCTTGACGCTTGCAAAGCAACATCAGTACATGTGGATACTTCTTCTGGTTAACTCTGTGATGGCTTATTCAGCCAATTTGTTGAATTTTCTGGTTACAAAACACACAAGCGCCCTCACTCTCCAGGTACATAAACCTATGTTGTATGTGCCTCTTACCGATCTTGGAGATAACAATGTTGATTGTGTTTCACTATTAATGTGCAGGTTCTTGGGAATGCTAAAGGAGCAGTTGCAGTGGTGATATCCATCTTGATCTTTCAAAACCCGGTTACGGTTATGGGAATTGGCGGGTACTCCATAACGGTGCTTGGAGTGGTTGCTTACGGAGAGACAAAACGCAGATTTAGATGAACTTTTATATACATTCAGCAACACAGCGCTTCACACTCCCTATGTTTGGTTCTTCATATGTTTCATCAAGACTCGTTAATTAGTGATTTTTATTTTTTTTGTAACTATTCTTCTTAATATAAGCACTATATTAGAATATATGTATCAGAGACTCTGTGATGAGAAGCTATTGTTGTTCGTCTTCACACAACCACCCCTGTCTTTTTCTTTATTTATTTTTCGAAATTATATAATAAGAATCACTGAATTCATTTAGCAGAGACAAGAACAGAAGCAGAGTATAAGACTTGAAAACCAGATGAGAAAGTATCATCAAGTTTGAAAACAGCATCGGACCATTCGACCTTACCCCAAATCTCTCCTGCCACACGTTGTAAAGAAATCTCGGCAGACCAAAGCAGTCTCGGGGAAACCTTCCAGAAGATGACAATGTTGCCAGCAGAGTTGGTGCAGAGTCTGCATATCTGAATAGCACAATACGCTTCCAAACCCTCGACTTGTTTCCAACGGAACTCATGATACGCGTCCACACCATTGACTTGTATCCAATGGAAGTCGTGAGGATCACACCATAGTATTCTCCCGGCAGGAGCACGACAGAATAAAACCTTCCTTGTAGCACACCAATCCTCCCTGGTTCCTGAAAAAGGGTCTCTTCTCACACCCCATGTCCCTTCCCATTTCTTACTTGGGCACATGTAGTAACCTTCACCCTCCTTGTTAACCGCGTAAACCGTCTTCTCCTCCTCGATCACCGCACTCTGGTGGAAACTGCTTCTTGTCATCTTAGGGGAAAAACAGGTACCCCAGGTTTGACTCTTTAGATCGAAAACATCCACCCAGTGTGTGGCAATAGCTTCCTCTTCTCTACACCCACCACAAACGTATATCTTCCCGTCGATGAGGTTCGCCGACGCGGAAGCACGAGGCTTCTTCATCGACGGGGCACGGTTCCACGTGTGAGTGGAACAATCTAGGAACCATACATCACTGGTGCGACGCCCGTTTATGAGTCCACCCAAAACGTAGATACCTCCATCCACCACCACGAAAGAGGATAGTTCCGGAGCCTGACTTGGGTTCCAAGGGATGATAGGGTTCAGGCGACGGTGGTGAGGGTTTAGGACGAACCAGCGTGGGTTACCAGAGATTTGCAAGCATACGTAGAGACACGGCTCCATGCAACCCATCCGCCGTCTCTGTTCCAAGAGCTTTGGGGAAGATACGAGAGCGCGGTGGCTCTTTGAGGACATAGCCAAGACCGCTAGGTCAAATCTCGAGACCTTAGCCAGGCAGTTGATTGCCACGTCTTCTGGCAGCGAACATAAACCAGACGACGCAGACACGTTCATGTTCAACTTTCAAGCTTTAGTTCTAGCTAGGTCAAAGATAACTTCAATCCTAATCCTAAGTTAAATCTCTACACATTTATATATTATGTAGAGAAATTATTTTTTCCAATATTAATTAGGATCTTATTCTTTTTTTTTTGTCTAATATATTAATTAGGATCTCTGGATGAGCTGCTGCCCATATTGGTTGTGTATTAAAAATTTAGGGGGTTGTGTCTGTAGATACTTTAGAAAGCTAAAATTTAGTTTAGAGCCATATATGTTAACCAATCATGCTCTTTTTTCTTTTTAAAAGCTAGAGCAAAAATATCTATAGAAAATAAAAAAATGGCTGTAGAAAACTTTATTTCTAAAACAAAAAAAATAGTCCTTTATTAAAGCAAATAAATCTAAAGCTACTATTATAAAGCCAAAAATAAAAGTTACAGCATTTACCAATCACTCCTTTTTATTTGTCACAAACCAATCACCCCCCTTAAAATACTACAAACTTTATTTAATGAAGAAAATATTGCAAGTTTTATGGAATTTTGCATGGCAGTTGAATGCAGTTATTTAACTGAATAACTGTACATCTTATAGCAAATCATGGTACTGTTAAGATCACAGGACAATAAGAAAATATTGTCACACACATTTGATCTGTGAATGATAATGATTCTCTCTATTTGCCCTCCGTACGTAGCCCACCATTGGATGTATCATCAAATCCTTGTGTTTCGACTGCAACCATCTCCTCCTCTATGCCGATTGAAATGTGACTTCACCCGTGGCTGTTCTTACATAAGCAGCAGAAGCTTCAGGAGTGTCTTCCTCGCTTGGTGGAACCAGTTGCCAGAAGAGAGGTAGATACTTCTCCCATTCTTTCAGGATCGTCTCTCCTTTGCTGCTTCCAGTTTTTTCCTTAACAAAAGAGAGAGAGTTTTAATTTACTTATGAATGAAGTCATCAAAAGACAAGTCACTACTCTTGGAAGCTGGTCTAAGGACTTACCACATGGGCTTCGATTAAGCTCTTCAGCTGCAATTCCCCTGCAGGTGCAGTTACTCTCTGGATCTTCACTATCTCTCGGTTAATCTGTTAAATAAGCTCAGTCAAAATGTCTAAAGAAGGAATATAAACTTAACCATGAATGCAAAGAAAGAAAGAAAGAAACCTTGGGAAGAAGAGTGTCATCTTCATCAAGAAGATAAGCTAACCCTCCTGTCATACCTGCAGCTACGTTTCTTCCCACTCTGTATTCAATGCATAACATTGTCAGTTTACAAATCTCATCGACTAGTTTTGACTTATGTACAGTTTTTACTCACTTTCCAAGCACGACAACACAGCCACCAGTCATGTACTCACAGCAATGGTCACCAGTGCCTTCAACTACTGCTTCAGCAAGTGAGTTTCTAACCGCAAATCTCTCTCCAGCTTTGCCTCTAGCGAATATCTGACCACCCGTTGCACCATACAAGCAAGTGTTCCCAACTATGGTTGCTTCTTCAGGCACAAATCCAATTTTATCCACAGGAGTTACTACTATTTCACCACCAGCCATTCCCTTCAAAAAAAACCAACCAAAAACACTTAGCTGATTTTGATAACTTTTGATGCAAGCAACTGATATAAATGCTAATTTTTACCTTTCCTACGTAGTCATTGGCCTCTCCTACGAGTCTGATATTCATACCAGGAATCAAGAAGCATCCAAAGGACTGTCCTGCACTCCCAAGGAAGCTGCAGACAAGACAAAGAGTTTTAAAGCTTGTTTTAGCTATATTACCTGAAGACTTATACAAAGTTTTAGTAGTAATCTTGTTTCTCACGTTAGGTTCACTTGTCCAGCAAAACCAGTGTCTCCATACTTCTTTGCGATGACACCAGCAACGCGACCACAAGCTGCACGGTCTATGTTGCATATCTTGACAGTTTTATCAACCACTTTTTCATTCTCTATCGCATCTTTCACCTGGAGAGAGAGATTAAAACTGTTGGCAACTAGAAAACCTGGTGAGAAAGAGCAGTAAAAGAGTTGTGTTATACCAATGGATCTTCAAGAATATCATCATCTAGAACAGGTCCATTTGTATGAACTTCCTGCTTCCTGATCTCAGTACTGCTCATTGAAGGTGTTCCAACAGACTGAAACAGTGAAAAAAATGAGAAAAGTTTAGATGTTTCGCTTCATGTAGAAAAGAAATAGAGTCAAGTAGATATACCGAGAGAAGATAGCTCAGATCAAGATGCTGAGTTTTCACTAGAGAGATGTCTCTTGGTTTCAGTAACTCTGTTCTTCCAATGATGTCATCTAAACTGTTGTATCCTAATTGCGCTAAGATACCTCTCACCTGCAGAGAAGAGATTCTTCTTTTAGATGAGATTAGGATAAGAAAAGTCTTAGTGATTGAGATAGTAACCTCTTCTGCTACGTATAAGAAGTAATTGACTAGATCACCAGGAACACCAGGAAATCTTGCACGCAGTTCTTCTCTCTGAGACCATTCATAAGTGGTTTTAGTGAAACTTAAGAGAAGATGAATAAGAAGCCACTTGTTAGTGTTTTACCTGACTTGCAACACCCACAGGGCAGTTATTAGTGTGGCAAATACGAGCCATAACACAACCAGTAGCAATCATAGCCAGTGAACCAAATCCATATTCATCAGCACCCATTGCTGCAGCCATTAGAACATCAACACCGCTCTTCAACCCTCCATCTACTCTTAAAATGACTCTCTCCCTAAGCCCATTCTCAATAAGAGTCTTCAAAAAGAGAATAAAGCAAGTACAAGAAATGAGTTTTTTTTTAATCTAAACCTCCAAGAGAGTTAAGTTAATGTATCACATGGTGTACAAAAGGTTTACTTGGTGAGTTTCTGTTAGTCCAAGTTCCCATGGGCCACCAGCGTGTTTTATGGAGCTTATAGGACTAGCACCGGTTCCACCATCATGCCCTGATATCTGGATAATATCAGCGTTACCCTTTGCAACACCAGAAGCAACTGTTCCAATACCAGCTTCTGCTACCAGCTTGACTGATACTTTTGCATTTGGATTAATCTGTTTTTTTCAGGTGAAAGTTATATTACATGGAGAATCTTTATTGTTTATCTCAACTGTTTATTGCATTCTTGATAAAAAGATAGATCACCTGATGTAGATCAAAGATCAACTGAGCAAGGTCCTCTATGGAGTAAATGTCATGGTGAGGAGGTGGAGATATAAGAGGAACACCAGGTTTAGAGCTTCTTAGCCTTGCTATATAAGCACTGACTTTCTTTCCAGGAAGCTGACCACCTTCTCCAGGTTTAGCACCTTGTGCAACTTTGATTTCCAGCTGATCTGCATTCACCAAGAACGTTGGTGTGACTCCAAAACGCCCTGAAGCAACCTGAGAGAAGAATACAAAAACGCATTCAATGAAGATTTTCTATAAGCTGCAAAAAGGTGAAGTAGAGTGTTCTTTGAAAGTACAAGACCTGCTTGATAGCACTTGTTGCAATGTCTCCGTTTTGAAGACCTTTGAGATGTGGTAGTGTTGGTGAGTATCCATCAACCACATCTGTAAGTGGTTTCCAGCGGATAGGATCCTACAAAGAGAGACAACTTAGATTTTGATTTTTTAACTAGAAGGTGTGCCATTTGAATATACTTACCTCTCCTCCTTCTCCAGAGTTTGATTTACCACCAATCCTATTCATTGCAATAGCAATAGCTTCATGAGTTTCTCTTGAGATAGCACCAAGCGACATTCCACCAGTACAGAATCTCTGAACAATAGAGACAGCAGGTTCTACTTTCCCCACTGGGATCGGTGCACGGTCACTCTTGAACTCAAGCAGATCACGCAGGACCTATAAAGAGATTGAAATATAAGTGGAACTTCATTCAAGCTTTTGATAAAGACTTAACTATATATACACTCACATTAACAGGGCGGTTAGCGAGATGCTGTTGATAGACAGCATATGCAGTTTCACTCTTTTCACGGACAGCTTTGTGTAGCAACTTTGACATCTCCGGGTTGTTTGAATGATACTCACCTAAAAGCACACACACAAGAGTTGTGTAAAATATAATGCATAGAATGACTTTAATCAAGAAGTGAACATGGTTTAAGGTTGTGTTTACCTCCAGGCCTAAATTGAATAAACCCAAAGTTTTCTAATCTCTTAGTTGTATCCTCAGAAAAGGCCTTCACCCAGAAGGACAAGGTCTCTCTTGCCAACTGCAAGTAGATAGCATTTTCTTTGAAAACATGTTTGATTTGATCAATAGTGTGATGAAAAAAAAAACTATGTGATGTATTCGTCACCTCATCAAAGGTGAGTCCACTGATTTTAGACACACTACCAGTGAATGCAAGATCAACAACATCCTTCCCCAAACCATATATCTCAAATATCTGAGCACCACAATAACTAAAAAAAAAAGGAAAATGATAAGTCAGAAGTTGTAGAAAATGAACATTAGCATAAGTAGTAGATAAGAAAATATTAAATAGAACCTTGAAAGTAATGAGATGCCCATCTTAGACAAAATCTTAAGAAGCCCTGCATTAACCGCCTGCAAGATAAAATAAATCAGAATCCATTATATAATATGTTTTAACAGCTAAAAGATGTAGTGAAATCCTCACCTTGGTATAGTTCTTCTGAGCTTGCTCAATAGTTACAGTGGGGATTTTACCGTTACGCATTAAGGCCACAGTTTTGTTACTTAAGCGCCATTGTCTACATGTCTCCAGTGCCAAGTATGGGCATACAGCACTGTGGTAAAATTTGCACACTTGTCAGGAAACATTTAATAATATTCAGAACAAAAAAAAAACAAAGAGACCAAAACCAACCTTGCACCATAACCAATCAAACAAGCAAACTGATGTGTACTGAAACACTGAGCCGTATCAGCAACAATGGAAGCTGACATCCTCAAGCCGTTCTGAATAAGATGTTGATGGACAGCTCCAACAGCTAACATTATCGGAATTGCAGGTCTGGTTGGTTCCTGAAAGAGCCAAAGATTGAGAGATTAGCAGACATATCATAAAGTTGCTCTGAGGAAACTGTATGACAATTTTTTTTTACCAGGGTATCGATTCGGTCTGAGAGTATGAGCAGTTGAGAGCCACTTCTGACAGCATCATCAGCTGCTTCACAAAGAGAATATAGAGCCTTTTGCAAGGAACCTTCAACTCCTTTTCTTATATCGAAAAATGTGGACAGAACCTTGGGTTTCAAGTATGTATCCTTCATTAACTCTTCAATCCCTCCTTCGTTCAACACAGGGTTTGAAAGAATGACCTGAGAAGCGTTCTCAGGCCCAAGCTCCAATATGTTTCCACGTTTGCCAATGTTTACTTCAAGAGACATAACCAAGCCTTCTCTAAGAGGATCAATGGCAGGGTTTGTAACCTGAAACCAAGACATGTGCAAATGAGATAATAATATACTAAATGGATGCAGTAACATAGGTTCCTATGACATTTATGTACCTGAGCAAATCTTTGTTTGAAATAATCGTAAAGCATGTGTGGCCTTTGAGACAATCCAGCAAGTGGAATATCATCTCCCATGCAGAAGGTTGGTTCTTTTCCTTGGGAAGCCATAGACTCAATAACCATTTGCACATCCTCACTTGAGTAACCAAATGCCCTGATAAGATGTGATTTTGTAAGGACTAGCTTCTGAATGAATTAAAGAAACAAAAGTTGAAAGTTCATGAAAATGCTTACTGTTGGGTTCTTAAAATTTCTTCATTTTCCATGACGGTTGAGGATTTGAAGTTCACAGGCTTCAAGAACCGGAGGTTTTCTTTAATCCATTTTCCATATGGATTCAGTGAAGATACTCTTTTCTTGACCTCTGTATTCTCATATACCTATAAGTTGGATGAGTTCTATTATGAGTCAGCTAAAGAGTAAGAATCTGTTTTAAAAAGAGTAACCAAGACTTGGCATGGCCATGTTACCAACCTGGCCATTCACTAGGTCAGCAGCAATCATCATTCCAGGTCCTAGACGTCCTTTCATGGTGACTTTGGCCTCATCAACTGGTACTACTCCGACCTAAACATGAGAGTCACAAGATAAGTTTCTCAGTTAAGTAAATAAGTCAAGAACTTATGAAAAAAAGGTTGTAGCTAGGCACCATAAAGTGCATTTTTACTAGTATAGGTTAATGGACATTATATGTAATACCTCAGATGCAACATAGACGAAATTGTCACTAGTCTTCCAATAACGAGCAGGACGAAGACCATTGCGGTCAAGACAAGCCCCAACTGTTTTTCCATCACTAAGTGAAGAATTCAAGTAGCAAGTGTCAGATAAACCTGAGGAGAAGCCGGAAAAAATAATGGAGAAACTCCAAGGAGTATAGGCTTGAGCTCATACCCAACAGGCAAATAACAACAATGCAGTGACTCACTCAACCCAATGGCATAAGATGACCTTTTTTAAAAATATTTACCTGAACAAAAGCAATGCAGGACCATCCCAAGCCTCCATTTGTCCTTTGTAGTAGTCATAGAAATCTAAAACCTGCAGTGTAAAAAAAAAAAGAAGAAGAAAAATCAACTCAAGCGTTTTGTTGCATACCTAATAAGTCTAGAAGTAAGATCAAGATTTACCTCAGGATATTTGATAGATAAAGTTGGATGGTTTTTGTATGCCTCAGGGACAAGAATCATTAGAGCTTCCTCTGGTGTTCTGCCACTTCTTATTAATATCTGATGTTCATAACAAGTTATTAAGAGAATATTTTAACATAAGTAAATACACTATACACAAGAAGGTAACACCACTTACCTCTGCAGCACTGTCAAGGTTAGCAGAGTCTGAACCTCTGGGATTACCAAATGGTCGAATCTCATTTTCACGGCCATTCCAAACAGAAGACTTCAATGAAGCTTCTCTAGACTGCATCCAGTTTAAGTTCCCCTGCACAAATTCAAATAAAGAATCTTCTTAACTTAGACACTGTTGTAAAATTACAATGATGAGTGCATAACAAACTTCTAGAAATGTTTCAAACCTGTATGGTATTGATCTCTCCGTTATGTCCAAGAAACCTCATAGGCTGAGCAAGAGGCCACCTAGGACTAGTGTTTGTGCTGTACCTTCTATGATAAATAGCAAAGGGAGATGTATAGAGCTCATTCTGAAGGTCTAGATAAAACAATCCAAGAACTTCTGATCTAAGCATGCCCTTGTACACTATGGTTTGATTGGACAGTGAACAGAAATAGAGCTCGTTGCCCCAAGTCTCAGCAGCCACTGCCCTTTCAATCAGCTTCCGACAGATGTAAAGCTCTCTTTCAATGTCATCAGTACTATCATCCTTTGCGATTTTCACAAACACTTGTTGTATGTTAGGCATTGTCTCTCTAGCGTTCTTGCCAACTATGGGAGCGTTTACAGGAACATCTCTCCATCCAAGAACCTCTAGCCCTTCTTTCTCAAATATGTTTTCAATAACTACAAAAAAAAAACAAATATTTCAGTAACATATTGTCTCCATCTACTATTTAAAAAACAATATTCTAAAAATCGGTAAATTGGTCTCAACTAAACAATTATTTAATCCGCTTTTTCAATAAATCGGTCTAGACATTCAAAAAATCGGTAAATACCGCCTAGTGAATTTTTGAACATTGATAACAGATTTAGGATTCACCTTATTTGGCTTCTTGCATGAAGGTAAAAATAGTGTTTTAAAAACCCGGTAAATATGATCAAAACAATTTTTTCAATCCAATTTTTTTAAAAGTTGGTCTAGACGTTCAAAAAATTGGTCAATCTTCTATAAGGCGCCTAACCACCACCTAACGATTTTTTTAACATTGATAAGAGATTTAGGAATCACCTTGTTTGGCTTCTTGCATAAAGGTATCTTGTTGTGGAAGAAAGATCATTCCAACACCAGTATGTAACTTATCAAAAGGAGCAAGACCCTGTTCCTTGGCCCATACGTTAAAGAAATCCCAAGGGATGGAAGACATAAGACCAGACCCATCACCAGAATCATTGTCAGCTCCACATCCTCCACGATGTTCCATACACCCAAGAGCAATAAGAGCATCCTTGACGACTCCATGTGAAGGAATGTTATCTAAGTTTGCTATAAACCCAACTCCACAAGCTCCTCTCTCAGACAATATATCCTCCAAGTTAGCAACCTGTTTTAAAAACATACAATCAAGTTAGATATCTCAAAGCAAAACCTATCATCTAGAGCTCTTTGTGGACCCACCTGAGGTTTTAAGTAGGAAGGAGAAGAGAGATCTTTGTCATGAACACGTTCAAGGTCGATGACGGCACGAACAGAGGAGAGACGAGAGAGAGGAGAAGCGCGTGAGGTGGAAGAGGAAGAGTCTCCACGAAGTCTGCGTCTGGTTCTCTTGGACTTACAGTAAAGACCAACGAAATCAACAAAGAAGAAGTTCTTGTCGGAAGAGAGAACAGAGCTTGGTGTTGTGGAGAGAAGAAGCTTAGGAACAGGGGAAAGAGATTTCATCGCCATTGTAAGGAAGAATGAGAGGCGTGTGTGGAAAATAAGATAAATGGGTTTAACATTAAAACCATATAATAAATAAAAGAAAATAAAGATAAATGGAGGAAAAAAATAAGAAGACAGAAGATGATTGAAGAGGAAGGATAACAGATGAGTGATGAGAGCTTACTTGAGCCTCTTCTTTTTTCTTCCTCTGTTTTTTTTCTTTTTCGTATTTATTCGTTTTTACAAGAATCACTAAGGATATTTTGGGAATATATAGTAAGTGCACAATATCGAATTTTCTTTTTGAAGAAAAAATACAAGTGTTTTTGAGTGGTAACGGTCGGGAATCTGGGACCGCCATTTTCTAGTGCTTTTTAACCGGTTTGATACGGCAACATTTGTTCATTAAACCGGATTCAGACATAAATACGCGGGTAAACTAACTGTAATTTTTGGTAGTTGAGAGATGGTGACAAAATTATAATTCAAAAAAAAATAGGATAGTATAATATGTTTTGAAATGTTGTTATTTATGGGTAGAATAAAAAAGAAAAACTATGATATATATATACGATTTTTCAGTGGAGATTATTGACTTTATAAATGAAAATGTACATATCATTTTGGAATAGATTCACACTGTTTAGTTTGGTCAACTTTGAGAGTTTGGTGTGTTTGATACAAGAGAAAGATGTGAATTTACGAAAAGCCACGTAATAAGGTGTGGGTTGAGATGAAGGGTGTGTGGCTGAAATGGACTTTGAGCTCTTAAAGAAGCCAATGGGATAATGAAACGACCTTAAAGTTGTTCTAAAAGCCATCCTCTCTCTACTGTATCATTCCCGTTGTCTAGCTCTCTCTCCCTCTCTCGTTTTTTTGATAAGATAAGAGCTACAACTTATCGTCAGTTGGCAAAAATCACGAGACCAACACCCAAAAAGGAAGGGAACACAAGCACCAATCTGAACAGGTATGAGTCGACACTTGCCTGAAAGATCAAAGATAACAGGGAGTTTGCTAAAAAATATATATATATATTTCTTGTTGTTTAAATCCACCAATACTTTTAGTTAGTACAATAGTCATTAAATGTCACTTTTACAAGATCAAGTTGTAAAATAAATCTATTAATACTATAAGTAGAGACATGGACATGTGATAATAGTTTTTTTTTTGGTAAAACATGTGATAATAGTTAAAGTGAGTGTATGAAATAAGTAGAGATATCTACTATAATTATTTATATAAAATTTTGGAAATTTGAAGATCCATATTAATCAATCAATTATTACAAATAACAAGATATAAAATTTTACAGAAGGAGACATCGATCTCATCAATGGAAACACATCTTTGCAAATGAAAAAAAAAAAAGACAATCAGAAAAGATCAAAGAAGTACATTATAGGATATAGAAATATCTCTTTTGATCAACATAAGAACATGAGAGATGATGATAGTTTCTCTAGGCCTTGGCGTCTCCATCAAATCCACGTTGGAGAAATCCAACGGAGGAGAGATGTGAAACATCGCTCCACGAATCAATAATCCATTTCTCCTCACTGTAGTGAACGACATTCACCGAAGCATTTAGGAGTTTTCCAGCAGATGAAGCTTTAGTGATCATCAAGTAAATTGCCCTTAACACTCCTCCATGAGTCACCACTATCACTCTCTCTCCTTTAGTTCCACACATGCACATACATCAAAGTTGTTTTTTACTTTAGATATCCAATAAACATGAATTATTTTCAACTTAACTGATTTTTTTTTTACCATCCCAATGTTATATAATGTATAGATAGAGATGTATATACCTTTGTGCTTCTTGGCAATTTGCTCAAGAGCATTCATGGATCTCTCACAAAGTTGGTCAAAGCTCTCTCCTCCTCCCTATTAGTTTGTAGAGTAGACATGTGTGAGAAATATGACCATATTCCACACACTGAGTATAAGTTATAGTTAAGCAAATGAATTAAGCTTACAGGAATTTCAAGGTCATTTTGGGAAGAAAAGAAAGCAGAGTAAGCTTCAGGTTCTTTCTCTGCTCCTTCTGTCCAATACAACCCTTGAAGACTACCTACATGCCTCTCCTTTAAGTCAGGTACTTCAGTCACCTGTATAAATAAATTTTAATTAGACTATACATCTTCAAGAAAAAATATAACCACAAAATATAATTAGTGTCCTGGTGTTTTTAAAAACAAAATATAATTTTATATTATTAGTAATATATATTCATGTTATATGATTTCTTATAAGGTAGATAAATATATTTTACAGACCTTGGAACAAAAACAAGATTCTGCGATCATCAGAGCAGTGTCTTTGGCTCGCTTGAGGTCTGATGAATACACAGCAATGGGCTTTTCCTCTTTTCCCAATCTCTCAGCGATCTAATGATTATTTAAACAAAAGAGAATTGATCATGCATGTGTCAGTAAAATAGATAAGTCAGGAACATAAATAATATAATATATCTCGAAGGAGAAAGACTTGAAAGGAGTTGATCTTAACTGCAACAGCTTGCTTTTGTCCAATTTCGTTAAGGTCTGACTCCATCTGTCCCTGGATTCTCCCAGCAGCATTCCAAGTGGTTTCTCCATGGCGAACAAGAACAATCTCAGTCACTCCACTTTTGACATCGTCACCAAATTTGAACTCCTTTGATGCATCGATACTACATATTCAAATATTCTATTAGTCACACATCAAAAAATACAATGCAATATATTTTGCATGTATCCGAACTCTCACATCAACTAATCATATGATCAATGCGCTAAAAATGTGTTGTTTGAATGTTTGATTATGGACTTTTCATCTTAATTAGTGGAGCATTAAAAATAGTAAAACTGAACATTTTATCATAATGAAGATGTATTTATGCTGAAAATAGTTATAGTAGATTAACTAAGGAATCTGAATCAGCTATATTTTCAAGATATTGATCATAATACATAACAGAATAATATCTACTAGCTATGATTTAAATGTTTTAGTTAATGTATGTTATGTACGAATAATAAATAAGTGGTGAAACCATCTGAATCTAATTAAGAATGAAAAAGTACCATTCATGACCCATGCTATTAGCCTTTTGTCGATCGAAAAGTGAAACGAAATGCAAAAGTTTGAGGTCTGAGAAGAAGAAGAAGAGAGAAAGATGTGTGTTTGTACTTATGACAAGTCGATTTGGGCTCTGCTTTTATAGCCTTTTTCCCTTTAAGAGAAAAAAAAAACATTTTTTTTGGTTTATAACTTTCATCATACTTAGAGGGATCAAATATTGAAAATAATTAAATTTCGGGCAGCTCATCGATTGATAATGTTGGCCATGTTTGTTAATTACTAAAATACTCAATTATATCGTTTTATATAGAAATAATTTGATCGATAGGCATTGGTAACCACGTGTGATGTCGATATTTCAATATTTTTTCAGATCGGAATCTCTTACGAGATTAAGGGAAAATACGTAGGGAATCTCCTAGAAATTAGAATATAACTACTACATGATTATAATTAATATTAGTGTATATAGAGTACCGGTTTAGTGTAACTGATTAGTTAACCGGTTTACCATTATTTTGTGATGTATATAAAGAATTCCTTGTACATTGTTTATGATTAATGAGAATATCAATGTTTACTCATATGGTATCAGAGCGAATCTTTCTCATTCCGTAACAAACTTTCCGTAACAAACTTTTCCGTCGGATTCTCACCGGAATCTCGCCGGATTCTGTTCACCGATCATCGTTTCCTCGCCGATTTACATCTCTCCTCGTTCTCCTGTGCGATTCAAGCTCTCTTTTCGCTGAATCGATCATCAATGGGAAAGCGAAACTGTAAATCGAAGTATCGTTCTACTCATCCCGATTCGCCGGTCGAAGGTTCTCCGATCTCTCCGCTGAATCGTGGTGAAGCGTCTCACTCAAATCCAGCTCGTCAACCATCGGAGTCTCTATCTCCAAAATTCGGTGATGCTGCTCGATTCGTCAACAATCGATCCAATGTGATCTCTTCCGCTACGCGTTTTGAGGTATCCAATAGCCCTGACAACATTCATTCGCCGTATTATCTACATAATTCCGATCACCCTGGCCTAGTCTTAGTCTCAGAACCGTTAGATGGGAACAACTATGGAATCTGGTTGATTGCTATGACTACTAGTCTTGAAGCTAAGAATAAGCTAGGTTTCTTGGATGGATCGATTCCTAAACCTCCGGAGAATGATCAATACTTTAGGATTTGGTGTCGTTGCAATAGCATGATCAAATCTTGGTTGCTAAATAGTGTTTCTAAGAAGATCTACACTAGCATCCTTTACATCAAACATGCTGCTGATATCTGGAAAGATTTGCACACTCGTTTTCACAAATCAAATCTTCCACGGCTATACAAACTTCGTCACCAGATTCATTCATTACGTCAAGGGAGTCTGGATCTATCCTCATACCACACACAAACGCAGGCTCTATGGGAGGAATTAATCAGTATTCAACCACCTGCATCTACAGTTGAAGAGTTCTTAGCTGAAAAAGAGACTAACCGTGTCATTGATTTTCTTATGGGATTGAATGAAAGCTTTGAGAGTATTCGCAGCAGGATCTTAATGAAGAAAAGTCTTCCTTCTTTATCAGAGGTGTTTAATCTTCTTGACCAAGAAGATAGTCAGAGAGATGCTTCTGCTCAACCATCTCCGGATCTCTCTACTACAGCCTTTCATGTTTCTCAAACCTCAGAACACGGTACTCTCTCTCAATCTCAGACTTTGTCTTCAACTTCTAGTGGACCATCTGGGGGATATATCAGGAAGGATAGACCGTTCTGTACTCATTGCCGTCGTCCTGGACATGTAGTTGATAAGTGCTATAAAAAGCATGGCTATCCTAACAGCTTCAAGCCAAATCAGAGGAATGATAAGATTTCTGTTCCCGTCACTGCTAATGTAACGGTTGATGAAGCTGTTTCAGATGATTTGTCTCCTACTCAGATCCAACAACTCGTGTCCTTTCTCAGCAGCAAACTTCAGAGTCCTATGGATCATCCTAAACCCGAGGTTCACTCTGTCTCTGTTTCCGTGCCTTCTTCATCAAACACTTGCCCAATTTCCGGTACTTTCATTCCTTCTATCCTTTGTTCTTTTTCCGGAATTGATAGGCCTTACATTTGTTCAACAAACACTCATGTTACTGCCATTAACGCTTGGGTGATAGATTCAGGAGCAACTAATCATATCTCTCATCAAAAATCATCCTTCACTTCCTTTAAACCCTTACCTGATACTAATGTTACCCTTCCTAATGGAGTTCTGGTGAATATTGTTGGAATAGGAAACATTAGTCTGGGTAGTCACATAGTGTTAACTGATGTCTTGTACATACCACAGTTTAAGTTCAACCTCCTTAGTGTTAGTTGCATAACCAAGAAAATGCACTGCCGTATTTGGTTTGACGAATTTTCTTGTGGTATTCAGGATCCTACACAGGACTTAATGATTGGGATGGGTAGAGAAGTTGCAAATCTTTATTTCCTGGATATAGAGTCGGTTTCTTCACAAGGTAATGTGTCTTCTTTCAAAAACCTCGTTGGGTCTGTTGTTAGTATGGAAATGTGGCATAAAAGGTTAGGTCATCCATCTCATTCTAAACTTGAAATCATGAAACCTTTGTTGTCTTTACCAAAACATTTGAATAAAAATGATCATCATTGTCGTGTTTGTCACCTTTCCAAACAAAAACACTTACCTTTCCCTTCCAGTAATACTAGAAGCACTGAACCTTTTGATCTTGTTCACATAGACGTTTGGGGACCTTTCTCAATACCTACTCATGAGGGTTTTAGGTACTTCTTGACAATTGTAGATGACTTTTCTCGGGCAACTTGGGTCTATCTCTTAAAGTCTAAGTCTGATGTTCTTACCGTTTTCCCTACCTTTGTCACTATGGTAGAAACCCAATTTGATAGAAAGCTTAAGAAAGTTAGATCTGACAATGCACCAGAACTCAACTTCACCTCTTTCTTTCTCTCTAAAGGCATTCTATCTTTTCATTCTTGCCCTGAAACTCCCCAACAAAATTCTGTAGTGGAACGAAAACACCAACATATCCTTAATGTTGCTAGATCCCTTCATTTTCAATCTCATATTCCTCTTTCTTATTGGGGTGACTGTGTTCTAACAGCTGTTCACCTCATTAACCGCTTACCTTCTCCTGTTACTGATCATAAAAGCCCTTTTGAACTCATCACTAACAAATTACCCGATTATTCTTCTCTTAAAGCTTTTGGTTGCTTATGCTATGTATCTACTTCACCCAAGGGCAGGCACAAATTCGATCCTAGAGCTCGTGCTTGTGTTCTTTTAGGTTATCCTACAAGGGTTAAAGGATACAAGCTTCTTGATCTTCAAACCAATTCTATTTCTGTCTCTCGTCATGTGACATTTCATGAGGATCTATTTCCTTTTGTTGGAGTTGAACTAGATTCAGAATATCATAATTTCTTTCCTGATCTAACTTCCTCAACTTCCAACATAGATCCTTCTCCTCCTGTGATTTCAACAAATTCTGATGCAGAACATTCTTCTTCTGCATCATTCCCGGAGGTTTTGCCCACTGCAATTCCTTCTTCTGATGTTTCTGATTCAATGGATCAAACATCTCACAGGAGAACAAAAACACCTGCTTATCTTAAAGACTACTACTGCAATGCAGCAGGGTCATCCACCATTCATGAAATTTCTTCCTTCTTGGATTATGCCAAGCTGTCTCCTTTATATCTCTCTTTTCTCGTGTCCATTGATAAGATCAAAGAACCCTCAACCTATGCTGAGGCAAAGCGTCTTCTTGTTTGGGATGATCCTATGGATGCTGAAATTGCTGCTTTGGAGGATACTGAGACTTGGACGATCTGTACCTTACCTCCAGACAAAACACCAATTGGTTGTCGATGGGTTTTCAAGGTTAAATTTCATGCAGATGGTTTTGTTGAGCGTTACAAAGCTCGTCTTGTGGCTAAGGGGTATACTCAGCAGGAGGGAGTAGATTACCATGATACTTTCTCTCCTGTGGTGAAGCTTACAACGGTCAAACTCATTCTTTCTCTCTCTGCTATCCATGGTTTTTCCCTGCATCAACTTGATATATCAAACGCCTTTCTTAATGGGGACTTGGATGAAGAAATCTACATGAAGTTGCCTCCTGGATATTCTGATAGAAAGGGGGACAAACTACCTCCTAATGCAGTTTGTAAGCTCCGCAAATCCCTATATGGCTTAAAGCAGGCTTCACGTCAATGGTTCTTGAAGTTTTCTACAACTTTAAAGACTTTGGGTTTCACTCAGACTTCATCTGATCATACATGCTTTCTCAAGACGAATGCTGGTCTTTTTCTCTGTGTTATTGTTTACGTGGACGACATCATTATATCCAGTAACAATGATACAGAGGTTGATCAGCTGAAGACTCAGCTCAAGTCCTTCTTCAAACTACGTGACCTTGGTCCTATGAAGTACTTTCTTGGTCTCGAAATAGCCCGTTCTTCTGATGGAATTCATCTTTGTCAACGTAAATATGCTCTGGATTTGCTTGATGAGACTGGTTTACTTGGCTGCAAACCATCCTCTGTTCCTATGGACCCGTCTATCAAGTACTCTTTAGAAACTGGTGGCGAACTTGTTGATGCAGCAGCTTATCGACGCTTGATAGGTCGTCTTATGTATCTGCAGATAACTAGACCAGACATCACTTTTGCGGTTAATAAACTTAGCCAATATTCTTCTGCTCCGAGAGAGAGTCATCATCTTGGGGTCTTGAAGATTTTGCATTATATCAAGGGCACAATTGGTCAGGGTCTTTTCTACTCTTCCAAAGCAGAGATGCAGATACAGGCGTTTGCTGATGCTGACTGGGGGTCTTGCAAAGACACACGTCGTTCAACTTCTGGGTTTTGTGTCTTTCTTGGCTCTTCACTTATCTCGTGGAAGTCTAAAAAGCAACAAGTTGTCTCGAAGAGTTCTGCTGAAGCAGAGTACCGGAGTCTCTCAGTGGTTTCTGATGAGCTTTTTTGGCTCACTAACTTTCTCCGAGAACTCCGTTTCTCTCTTGTTAAACCTTCCTTGCTGTTCTGTGATAATACTGCCGCGATTCACATTGCACACAATGCAGTATTCCATGAACGGACGAAGAACTTGGAGATTGATTGTCACAGTGTTAGAGAAAGGATGCTTGCAGGTTACTTCAAGTTATTACATGTGCGTACAGACCTGCAACTGGCTGATCCTTTCACAAAACCACTCTATCCGGCCCCGTTTCGACGTTTATATGGCAAGATGGGTCTGCTTAACATCTTTGTCCCATCTTGAGGGGGACTATTAGTGTATATAGAGTACCGGTTTAGTGTAACTGATTAGTTAACCGGTTTACCATTATTTTGTGATGTATATAAAGAATTCCTTGTACATTGTTTATGATTAATGAGAATATCAATGTTTACTCATAATTAACGTTAATGATTTGTTAAGTTTGCAATTTGTTTGCCCACCTGATGAGTAAACCATAAGCTAAGAGCAACACATTTTTACTTGTGAAGTTATTTTTGATAAATCTTTATATCAAAACCTATTTAGATAATATTATATCCAGCATTTAATATTGAGAAATTGAAACATATAGCTTTTAGTTCTGTAAATATTTGCAAAATTGATTATGTTAGATGATACCTTAATATCTTACTATGTAAAACCTTGGAATAGATCTACCATAGTCCCATCAACACAATTTGCAACTTGTAGTCTACAACAGCCAATAAAAAGCTAATCGTGGAGATTCATGTATTTGATAAGAGACAAAATATAAAAAAATGCACATGAAGCAATTACCATGTCTTTTATATATGCATGTCATGTGTGTAATAACTAAATAACGTAAAGCTTTAAAAGAGGAAACTAATAACACACGTACCTAGCTCTAAGCCTAACTAATAACGGTACGTAGTTAAAAAACAGGTCATGCATGTGGAGTAGGAATATAATAATTATGATTCACTTCCTCACAATGAGGATCGGTGGTCCTATAGTATCTTGCCATATGGAGGAAATAATGGAGCTCGTTTTTGTTTAAACCTATATCGCCATTTTTTTTTGTCGGGATATCTGTTATCCTATATGGAATACTTTGAACATCCCTCTAGTTAAGAACCATGCAAAAATAAGCATTCGCTTTAAACTGAAAAAGTATTCGTTGTGATGGACCGGGTGCACTCCTGGACCAGATGTAGAGTCAGACCGGATACTCATGCTGGAGGCTAGACGTTCAACTAGAACCAAACGTTTGTCACCAAATGTCCAATTTCTCGCTTAGTATAAAATTATCCGCTTTGGGCCCAGATCCTCACGAATTTATTTTTGGATCATTACTGTCAAAAGATCTCATACTAAGTGAAATTGAAATAACTATATATATTAGATTTCATTCTGTCTAATATCCGAATAATATCCGAAGTGCGATTTGAATTGCATTTTTATTTATTCTGATAGTATTCACTTTGAATTGTAGTATTATGTTAATTGATTAAACATATATATTAGATTATTTACCCAAAACATATATTAGTTATTTATTTTTCGCACTGATGATTTCATATTAGTCAAACTCTTCGAGCTTTTCAATATCCGGTCATCAGATAAAAAAGTAAAAATGGACTCGAGAAACGGTAACTTACCAGACAACACATGTTGAAGTTCACCGACCAAAGAACGAACAATGTTATTAGATTATTGTGACCGGAGATAAAAAAGAAAAATTAATATCCCGATGAAGCAACTATTGATTTTATTTCATTTCAGGTCAGGTGGGATCATAATAAAATAAATACAATTTTCCCCAACAAATGTGACACTGTCTGTAACGAACCACGTGTGGAAAATGACAAATTGCCAGCGTTGCTTATACTATTTGATTCCAATCTTTAAGGATTCGTATCACTTTCCTCGTTTTTCTTTTCATATTTAATGTGTTAGTTATTAATCTTAATAATGTTTTGATTCCCTAATCAGCCACACACTTATAACAAGAAGACAAAACAGTCTGAAAAATTAGTTGAACTGTAATATTCAATTTGGAAATTAACTCATGTTATTAAAACTTACAAATTAATATTTTTATACGAGGGTTGATCACAAAAAAAAGTACGAGGGTTAATTATAAATCAGGTTATTAATTCTAATGAATATTACTCACACCTAAAACAATGATTAGGAATTTAATATTTGGCAAATCCTTTAACCAATAATTAAGGTGTGATGAATATTCAACTATTTAATGACTACATAACACATTTCGTATATTTTAAGGTTTAGATCGTTAAAATGACAATTTGCTTTTAACACTAGCTTAAATTTATATTTATAAATCATGATTTGCTAAGCTTTCTAATTGAAAACCAATTGATTATGAACAAATTACTCTGTATTTCTTGTATACTAATATTTTGTACTGTAGCTCTTATTCAGACGTGATATTTTCAACATAAATCTTTCAAAATTGTTTCAATCAAGAGCAGTGGTCTACCTAGTTGGCAATTTATTCATAGACCAGATCCGGCGAATATTTTACTTGAGCCAAATACTATAGGCCATGTTTGAATATTGTTTTCTTAAGGAAACACGTGATTAGTTTTTACATCACATGAGTTTATTTTGTTTAAAATACCCTTAGGGCCATATACCAAAGGCTTGAGTATGTTGGGCTTAATATTTACTTAGGTCCATCCGTTACTGCTTCACCATTTGGGTATCCGGCTCAGTTTAGGTTGGATCTTCAACATTTTGAGCCCAAATATAAGCCTAATATGATGAACCCCTCTGGGCCAAAATATGACGGGATAAGCCTTTTTTTTTGTCAAACGGGATATCTAAGTCTAATAGTATTAATTTGTTGTTATAGCATTTATCTTATAGGCCAAATAATCAAGGTCCACAATCTATATTATTTAATTTTGTTTTAGGGTTTCAGAATTTCTACTATAAATACTTCTGTTTACCAAGGATGCATCCCCACCTCCTCTTCCCCCAAAACAGATCTGAGAAAACTTTATTATAACTCCTTGAAATCAATCACTAAAAGAAGTTCCTCTTCAGATTTGTCTCTCCAAATTCATAAGGTATGTGTATATCTCAATCATATCTATTTCAAGTATTTCAGTAGATAGAACTGATATTCATAAATTTCTAAGAATCTTAACATGTTTTCTATACAACTAAACCATATTTACATATGTTTTGTATAGTTTAGAATCTAGGTTACTTTTGATCTTAATATTTTTCTAAGATTAATCATGAACATTCATCTTCATTGTATAGTGAAGATGCATAATTCTTCTAGAATCATATAAAAACTTACCACTATTTACGGAATAGTTTATTGATGAGTAACTTTTCGAGAAGTAATTCTTGATATTGTGCAAATAGAACTAAAATATGATCTTCACGGATCAAGAGATCAAATAGTCGAGGTCTCCTGACCGAGACGATCAAGATCTACTAACTAAGATAGTAGATATTTATTGGCTTAAACATTCAGTTAGTCGAGGTTTACTGACCGAGACAGTCGATATCTATTGGCCGAGACACTCGGTCAGTCGAGATCTACTGGCCGAAGCAGTCGAGGTATACTAGCCAACACAGTCTATATCTACAGGCCGGGACACTCGGCCAGTCGAGGTCTAATGACTGAGGCAGTCAAAGTTTACTGACCGAGGCATTCAAGGTCTATTGGTCAAGGCAGTCGAGATCTACTGGCCGAGGCATTTGAGGTCTACTGGCCGAGATAGTCGATGTCTAATGGCCGATATCGAGGTATACTGGCCGAAACAGTCAAAATTTAGGCAGGCCAGACAATTGTAGTCTACTGGTTGAGGCAGTCAAGCAAAAATATAATAAGATAGACGACGACAAAATAGAAAATATTGTTAATAAGTTTTAACTATACCTATTAGTTATTGCTGCGTATAAAATCTATAATTACACAACATCTTTGACAACTTTTTTTTAGAAGAAAATAAAATCTAATCGTTTTGAATCTAATCTTTTGAAATAACGAGGCAAAAAAAAAATGATAGAGGGTGGTTATGGATTTCATCTTTTGTCTCCGTGTTTTTCGATGTTTGTCGTTATAAATAATAACTGACAGTTTTCATCTTTTCTGTTTCCAAGAGGCACATCGCTGCGAATGATTCACAAAACTAAGGTTGATCTCGAGCGTATTCTTCGGATTAGATCCATTAGGTTGATGTAATTATCCCTTACTATCGAATATGTTGTTCTGTTTGATTTGATCCATTGCTTAAAACTTCGATTTTAGATTTGGCTCTGTTTTGAGGAATATATTACTCTTTGAATACTATTTTAGACTATTTTGTTTCAATCTGATTAAAAAATATGTATTAAACATTTCAATCTCCTTTATTTAAGGATCGGCTCTGATTCTGTCTGTTCTATGTTGGTTTTTATTGTTTATTTTTAGTATTTTTTTTTTTGTTGGTATTGTGAATGATGAAACATTGATGGTTTTTTTTTTTTCCAGAAAACTTGCGTAAACAAACCGTTAAATCAGTTGTTAGGAGTCTGAACTCTGTTGTGTATTGTTTCTCTGTGACAGGAATAAAACATACGCTTTTGTTAATTTCAGTAATGTACGGCGGAAGAAGGGTATCACTGCAAGATATCAAAATGGTAACATCATAGTTGCCTTTTTTTATTTTTTCGTTTACTTCAAGAGTACAAAGATTATATATTGCCTTTTCCTAACTGGTCTGCTTTAGTGTGTTTCTCAGGTTAATGTTTCTCTGGAAAGAGAAGATAAAGGCACCAAAAACAACCTTTATAAAGAATGTTATTATACTGGAGGCTCAAGTGAATATCTGAGTTGTCTAAATCCTGATAAGGTGAGACTTTTGCATCCGTATCCACTTGTTGGACATGAATTTTGAAAATTATTTAACTGGTTTGCTTATCTTCAGAAACCACTTCATGATGTGCTGGGTTTCAAAAGAGAGGTAAATGGTATCATCATGGACATTGCACTTCAATGGTATGTCCCATGTCCTACTATTTTAATGTTGGTGTATGTATCTTTTCCTATTGATCTTATGTTATTACCTTGTTGTTTTTTTCAGGTACGTTGATGGATATTCAGACACAATGCTAGGATATGCTAATGGAATCCGCACCAATGATGGTGGAACACATATAGATGGTGTGAAATCTTCAATAACAAGAACTATTAACAACTTTGCGAAAAAGTCAGAGGTTGTCAAGGTATAACATCAGTCACATCACTAACAACAACTCTGGTTCTCCGTTTTGAACGTTCCTGGCCATCATTAGCTAATGTTAATATATTTCGCTGGCGATTTCTTCAGGGCGAGGATATTACCTTCCGTGGGGAGCATGTTAGGGAAGGACTAACTTGCGTTGTTTCAGTTATTGTTCCAAATCCTGAGTTTGAAGGTCAAACACAGGTATGCATGCTCATAAGTCCTTGTGATTTTCTTCTTTGGCAATAATATTCTGTTAAGCAGGCAGTAATATTTTACGTCTTTCTTCGTTTTTGCCTAATATTTTGTCTGTAACCATCTGAAAGACGAGATTAGGGAATCCATATATCAGGGAAATTGTTGACCAATCAGTCCAGATGTACTTAACGGAGTATTTTAAATTGCATCAAGATGTACTTGAGAGCATTATCTCCAAATCTTTTAACGCTTACAAGGTATGCCTATTGATACTACTGTATCTTCAGTTACACAATGCATATGAAGACATCCACAGTTCTATATTATTATTGTTGCTTTCTCTCTCTAGACTGCATTGGCTCTCAAGAAGGCAAGAGATTTGATTAGATCAAATAGTGTATCAATGCCTTGCACCATTCATGAGATAATGACCATAGACTCTTCTGAAAAAACTGGTATGTATTAGCCTTCTTGAGATTTTTTGTAGCAGCTCTTTATGTGATGAATTGTTATATCCCTGGTTCGAGTGACCGCAGAGACGAAACTAATATTATATGTTGTTGTTTCGGGTTTGGGGTGATTAAGAGATTCGGACCCGAACCTCTTGGTATTCAAAAAAACAAATATATACTACCACATGGGTTGACCAAGTGGTAGAAACCTGGGATAAGGCCAGAAATGCGGATAATCCGTTGTTAACCCCACGGTTGTAAACACCAATCACTGGGTCTATGGCCTAGTGCTTTACTTGTGGTGAGCTTGTAGGAAACCCCTTGTTGGGATCCTACACACCACCACATTGCTTTATAGCAAACACTAACCAGACACTCTCAGTAAAAATCTTAATAAAACTTTATCTTCTTGAATATAATCTCATAGATTCAGAGTGAGAGGTAGACTAAAGAAATAAGATAGCTTTAATTGAACTCTTTTCCGATGCATCCAGAGAATTTAATAGGTAGAGGAGATATTTCTGGTGGCGCTACAAAACATGGTCCTAACTCTTTTGACAGGCGTTTCCAAGTAAGACATTCTTTCATTACAGTATTACATATGGGCAATAAGACCGCTATGTCTTCAAGCAAACTCCTGATGGATGCTTGAGAATAGCTAGATTTTGAAATTTAGTGGTATTATTTCTTTTATTTACAAGGGGATTTTCCCCCTTGTTTAAATATAGTCGGGACAACTCGTGAGAGTTTGTCCAAAAGACATGAAAAGATGGATGAAACAAAACGTTGGTGACTCCTTATGAGCATATGCCAATGCCAAAGCTTCGTCTCTTCACCAGCCAAAAAGACCTTGTCTCGGTGGCTCTGATGGTTATCTCTATCTCTTTCCAGAGCAAAAGGACCCGGGAACAGCCTTGGAGTGATGGTGCAGTTTTTACAGTTCATGGAAAGTCTTCAGAGAATACTAGTGACTCTAGCTTTGAGAAGAAACGCAAAAAAGTTGAATCCTATGTTCAATCCTCACATCCCTGCTTTTCTTCACGAAAAGCTGCTGCTGCAGACCCACCAAACCGTAAAGATGTTAGCGTCAAGACTTTGAAAGGTGTTGCCCCTGGTTCAGAAAAAAACAGAGCAGTTATCCCAGTAGGTTCTGTTTTCCAGGCTGAGATTCCTATTTGGATTGCACCTACCAAGAAGGGCAAATTCTATGGTAGTCCCGGCGATTCCGACACTCTTAGGTGGCTTGGAACTGGTGTGTGGCCAACATATAGCCTAAAGAAGAAAGAACATTACAAAAAAGTTGGTGAAGGAAGAAAGGACACTTGTTCTTGTGCTTCTCCAGGATCAAACAATTGCATAAAACAACACATTGGAGAAGCAAGGGAGCTTCTAGAAAAAGATATAGGGCGTGCTTTCTATACTTGGAAATTTGATCAAATGGGTGAAGAAGTTGGATCAAAAACATGGATGGCCAAAGAAGAGCAAAAGTTTAAAGCTCTTGTGAAAGGCAATCCTTTGTCAAGTAAGAAAGGCTTTTGGAACTTTGCTTCCAAGGCTTTACCAAGGAAAAGTAAGAAGGATCTCACTAGTTACTATTACAATGTTTTCCTCATCAGACGTATGAGATTGCTTGCTAATTCTCCTGCTGACCAGATTGATAGTGATGATGACCAAAATGATAACTTCTTAGCTGGATGAAAATGGTCCTTTTCCTAGTAAGCTCTTTGGTCATAGGATCCTTGTGGGGCCAAAACACCAATCCATGTGTTTTCTTTTCTTCTCAAAAACCAATACATGTTTGTTTTCTTCTTCATGAACCTTTGAGAGTTTGAATATTTCAAGTTTGGATCTTTGAGAATATTAGGGCTTAGTCTTTCTAATTTGTATACCTTTGTTCATTGCAAAACTTGAAATTCCAGCTCAACATCTTTGTTAGCTACCTAGGTCCATGTTGTATTGAGATGGATACATATAGGGCTACCGTAAAATACGGAACCCAAAATCCAAACCGAATCCGAACTGAAAAATCGGACTCGTTATTCAATCCAAAATGTTAAAGTATTTGAACGGATTTTGTAGAGTGGTACAAAACATATCCGAATTCGAAGTGTTATTGATCAAACCGAAGGGATAATCCAAAAAAATCTAGAATTAATAGTCAATTCAATGTTATGTTATCTCTCTCTCTCACTCAATTCAATGTTTATAAGTGATATAATATATAAAATATTGAGATGGATACAATAGGCCTAGGCATAAAATCTTAAATCTGAAACCCAAACCGAAAACCCAACCTGTTATCTAATTCGAAATGTAAAAGTAGTCCGACGGATCTTGCAAGGTTATACAAAACATATATGAACATAATGTGTTATTATCAATCCGAACGGATAACCCAAAAAAGTCTTGAATTAATAGCCAATTCAATGTTTATATTGATATATATTTTTTATAATAAAAATATTTGTTTTCATGTTTGATTTAATATTTTATTATTATTTTATCAGTTTGATGTGTGTTGGATTAGTTTTATTCAGTTTAAGTATTTTTATGTTTTGTTTTTAAGTTTTATCTTTTACATACCGATACGCTTTAGGTTTTAAGGTGCAAGACAAATTTGAACAAAACCTTGATACAGAAATAGAAACAAAGAAAAAGGTTTATAGATACAAATATAGCATATAAATTCAATAAAATATATAATAATTTTATAGACTAAAGTTCTTTGGTAAGTGTTGTAGAATTTTAGTTTATAGAATTATTATAAAGTTTTATCAAAGATTTATGTTATATCCTTATCTATAAAAACAAAAATTTCATCCACTGTCTGTCTCTCCATATCTGTTTATGTATCTATCTCAATGCAACATGAGCCTAGGTAGCTAATAACTATGCTGTAATGTATGCTATACCTCGAAATGACACATAGTTTTTATCAAACCAAACCTATATTTAAAGTTATAGTAACCAATCTTTGTTATAAACTCTCCTTAACTAGTTATTTCTCTCCGTGGTTCAGTTTTTTATCATCTCTATTTTTTATAAATTTTCAAATTACACGTTAGTGGTCGGATGGTAGTAATGTGTTCCAGCGTCGCCAAACGAGCTAAATTTCAATTCGTTTACACTCAGATATCCTTAACGTGTGGTCATTAATGATTTAATATTCTTTCGCCGGGAAGCGATTTATCGCTTTTTGTATAAATCTTCAATCTGTTGGTGAGTAGAGAGATAAGGTTAACGCTGACGATAGTAGGTATAGATAGGATATAACCTTCACTTTTATCTTTTACTATCAAACCACGCAAGACGACAATATCAGTCATTTATTTACCCCATACAGAAACATGAAGTCATTAAAATGGGTGGTTAAAAATCAATAACAATGTCAGAGGAGGACGAGAAGCAAATGAAATTCACAAAGGAGAAAGAACATAATATAGACATTTTATAAAGAAAACAAAATACCGAGTCCACTCTATTTACATACGTTAATTACAAAATGTAGAGCATCAGAGATAAAGTATTATGAAACTCATAAGAAATTGATACACAAATATTGTATAACATTCAGAGCCGGTTTTAGAAATTTAGTGGCTGGAAATAAAAAATTAAAAAAGAAACCACTTTTTAAAGGAAAAAGACAGAAAAAACTGTTCGAACTGGGTTGGTATGACTGAAGACAGCCGCACTAAACCACTAGACTAAAGGGGATTTTAATCTCTTTACGGCCGAATTTTGTTCATAAATAAAACGGCCAGAAACAATCACTTCTTCCGCATGGTCTAAAGACCGACACTGATAACATTTAATAATTTGGAACAACAATGGATGTGATAACATTTTTTCAGGTATAAAACATAGAGGTTTTCGTTTATTTATATTAACAATGATTGTGATGTAAAAAAATTATAATTTTCTAATCCCAATACTGTTAGTTTTATTTATCACATCTATAAATTTTAGAAATATTATTTAACTTTATATTTTGATAATTATATACCTAACAAAATTTTCTCTTAATTAAATAGAATCTAATTTAACATATTTTAGCCAAAATAAAAAGATCAATTTTTTTCCCAAATTTTAATTTTAAATAAAAATTGTTTATTTTATCTGAATTTTTACATATAATTAGCGTAAAGTTAATAATATAACAAAATGATATATTTAAAAATTAATTAATTTTTAAATATAATTTTGTTTTAAAACTTTTATTTATGCACATGGTGTAAGAAAACATCTAGTATAACACAAAACACAAAACCAAAATGCTTTTATCTTTTTGGTAACAAGGAATGTTTGGGCATTAAGTCCAAATAATCTCAGGCCAGGGAGATAGCACTTTCTTAGACGAATACATAATATAAATCTTTTTTCCTCTTTACTCCATTTATGGAATAATCCAATTTTTTTTTCTTCATTTCATTTTCTATTCTATTTTACAGTAAATTATGGAGTGGGTTTGGAGATGCTCTAAGACGTAATAGCACCTACGCCTATGCCTAAACTAATTCGTCTACCGCGTTTGGTGGTAAAAATCTTCTCTAATCATTTTTAGTATCTGACAATGGATGTATCTCACACTAGGAGAGGCAAAAGTGCATCTGCAGCTGAAGAAACAATTTTGTGGTTTGTAGAAAAGAAGAAGAGAAGGAGATGAGGAGAAAAAAATCGTTGATGATTGTGATACCGATTGTACTGATAGATGTGGAGAATTTTGGTTTTAGTGGTAGATATTTAAGTAGCATTAGTTTTTATTGTATCATTGATTTGCACTTATGTTGCCTAGTAGTATGATATTGAGCAAGCATGAATCGAGTATCAATTCGGTTAGTTTAATTTTCTTTACTTATCCTCTACCAACTCAGAAATATGATGATGACCTTTACATTATTAAGTATATAATAACTTCGTTTGGTACATACAAACACCACACATATAGTATAAAGAAACTTTAGATTGAGCTACAATATAGTCATTCAATCTCTCTCGGTAATATGTATATTAAAAGCCACTAATAGATACACAAGGGAAGCTTGACGACACACTGAATTTTTCCTTTCTTTGCCTTAGAAACACATTTCACAGATCCAGCAGCAGCAGAGTGCAAAGAGACTGCATAGGAAGAAGCAAACAAAGAACGCATACACAGTTAGTCTTGGAGAAACGGAAACAGAGAGTCTTTGATCTGTTTACTGGTTGAGTTCTTAAAGTTTTCCATGCAGATGATGATCAGTACAATAAAGCCAAAGAGAAATAGATTTTACCATCCTTCAATGAAGCCTCTGTCTCCTTTCTGCTTTGTCTTGAAGGGCTTCTTCTTCTTCATGTCTTGTCCCGGTTGTTCAGAGACTTCTTCTACAACTGGATATCCTGTCTACAGAGGTAAGTACAACATATCTTCTACTTTTTGCTTCCTGAACGAACAGAAAAAAAAAAAACCTGACCTGGAGGAAGATGTTGATCTTGTGCGGTTCCCATGTCCTTCTGCATCTTTTTCTTACAGAAGAAGCTCTTCTCTTTGTGTTGGCTCTTTCAGTTCACAGTGGAAACACACGATTGTGATAGAGTGATTCGGGAATATGATTCTTGGTTTGATTAGGAGGATAATACATTTTGTTGTGAGTATACTTCTCTTTATATAAGCTGTGATTTACTAAAGCTATTGCATGGAGGTAGTGGCAGGTGAAATATTCTTTTGTATTTTTGCTGACTTTCGGTTTATTCGTTTATTATCTTTCACACTTGTTAAATGTTTTTGGCTTGCCCTTGTCCCATCTTGTTGAATTTTTGGTCTAAACATACTTTAATTTGGATGGCTCAAATGTTGACACAACCAAAACCCCCTCTCTGCAAAGTTTCTTAAGATGAAGAATCTGCTTTTCCTTTTTAAAACTACGAAAATACAATACTGAATATGACATGTTATTTGATTGAAGAGAAAGGCCCAAAAAGGTTTAATAATAGTCGAAAAGGCCCGTCTTAGGCCGCTCTCGCAAACGTTCAATGTAACATGATGTGTACATATACTAGAAGCAATGTGGTGGTGATTCTGCCTACTGCATTATTTGTGGACAGTGTCACTGAACTAAGAAAACTCAAAACTGACAAGTGGCTAGGCCACATTTGCTATATATTTCTAGAAGATTGTAGACAAATCAGACAGTTTCTACAGTTTGGATACTATGATTATGTCATCTTCAAGTGTGAGTTTGCTGCAGCTCATCAAATATGAGACATGAAGTGTCCCAGAGTTCCTTAGCAAGTCTTGGATCATGAGAAACCGCTGAGGATTCAATGGTCCTCCCGTTTCCTCCAAAGAAATATTTGCCTGACACTTCCTGTAAAATTGTTCATCAACAGATCATAAATAGAGCTCATCATCAACCACATAAGAGTTGATAAAAGAATTTGAAACAGCATGGCTTACAGGTGGGGCTAAAGCAGCATCAATGACAGATTCAGCTGCATCCTCTGAGGACTGCATGAGTCTAAGAATCTTGAGACTGCAAAACGCCAAGACTTGTATATATGAAGGAAGCTCATGCATTATGTTTGTTTTTACTGCTCCTGGATCTACAGCTCTGCACCAGAAGAGAAGACAATATCCTAAGAGCCATGATCCCAAATCTTACAAGATTGGCAAGAAAATCATTCAGATAAGAGTGCGTACGCAACAGAGATATGATGTGAATCATCTGTGAGGTGAAGCTGTCTATGAAGCTCGTATGAGAAGAGTAAAAGGCATACTATTTCACAAAAAAGAAGCAGCTATATAAGCATCATCATCATCATGATATAAAGGAAAAAATAATCTATGCTTGTCACTGTAAGAGGATTAACTTACATTTGGAATACTGATAGATCTTAGCACTAGGATATTGCTTTGATTCCGAAGAGTACACTCCCGTAACAGAATCCTTGTCAAACCTCGCAGAAAAAACTACAGACAAAAATATACATCAGATATCTTACTCTCATAGTAGGATAAAAAAACAATTAGGTAGATTGTGAGAAGATGATCACCAGAACGGTGTGTAAAAGATGTCACATTCACGACTCGTGAAGGCACAGGACTGTTTCTCAGAAGCGGTAAAAGAAGTTTTGTCAAAGAGAATGCACCAATGTAATTTGTAGCCATCATCCTGAGAAATATGGAAACAGATAGTTTCAAAACTAGAGAGTTCCAATATTGTGAAATTATAGTGAAAACGTTACCTGTCAAAGCCTTCAACGGTTGGTCGGCTCGATGTAGCCAGTATTCCAGCATTGTTGACCAACAGTTGGATAGAAGAATGTAAATCTGATTCTAAAAGCCATTGTTCTAGAGAGTTTCTGAACTTCAAAACCGATTGAAAAGAAGACATGTCAACTTCAAAAGCTTTGAGTTGAGCATCTACGTTCTGTTTCTTGATTTCAGCCAACGTCTGCCAACAGAAAGTGGAAACACATGGATTCTTGCATCACGAAAAAAAATGAGAGGGGAAGAGCTTGAAAATCAAAGGGACCGTAGAAAACCTTAGATAGTAAATGAGAGGACCGTCCAACTACAAATAAAAAAAAATCAAGAAAGATTAACACAATAAAGAAGGAGACCTTTACTGATGCATTGCCTCGTATTAATAAATAACCATCTATTCCATAAGAAATGTATTGAACAATGCAAAGAAAATTTTCAACAAGTTATCCTCTGTTAAGGCATTGCTTCATATTAATAAAAATCTATTCCATAAGAAATGTATTGAACAATGCAAAGAAAATTTTCAACAAGTTATCCTCTGCTAAGGCATTGCTTCATATTAATAAAAATCTATTCCATAAGAAATGTATTGAACAATGCAAAGAAAATTTTCAACAAGTTATCCTCTGCTAAGGCATTGCTTCATATTAATAAAAATCTATTCCATAAGAAATGTATTGGACAATTCACTTTGGATTAGCATCACAGAACAAAACAATCTTGCTTGAAAGTGAAAGCAACAGTTTTAGTACCAAGAACGACGTAGAACCCCTTCCTTGAAAGAGCAAAGGCGGTGGCCTTACCAAGACCCGAAGTAGCCTGCAAAATGAAGTCGACACCAGACAATAGTAACTAAGACTAATGTAGTCAATACATTACATCACACAGTATTAGTCTCAATGTTACATGGGAGAAGAGAAAATGACTTACACCAGTGATAACACAAATAGGTCTGTGTGAAGAAGTGTTGATGGAGGAAGAAGAAAAGGAAGTTGATTTTGAGCCAAAGATGCTTCTTTTAAGCAATTGAAAGTAAGAATAGATGAGAGCAAAGTTCCAAAACAGAGCCATCCTCAAGAAATCAGAGGAGCAGATAAAATGCAAAGCCTCCTTCAGCTTTTCCATTTCCATCATCAAAAATTACAAACAGTTGAAAACTTAGAGATGAAAAACCTGTTTCTGGATTCAAAGGTTCAGCCTTTATCGGAAAAAAAAAAAAGAAAGCCTGGAGGCTGGAGCCTAACTTTTGAGGAAGAGAGACGATTTTCTAGCAAATACAGAATACCACAGGGACTAAACATAAAAAAGTTTGGATATATATAAGCTTCGTTAAATTACATTACAAATCCGAAACTTTTCTCTTTGTTCAAAACTCACCTAAACTTTGGCCTCTGGTTATGAATGTGGTAAAAACAAAACATGTGTACAGACTTGTCAATGGATGAACAAAAGTTACATAAGTAATATTTAATTTCTTTTCTCTTACAAACAAAAAATAAAAGAAGATTTTCTATGTTCTCCAAAAAACTCTGACAAGCTTGTGTTTCAGACGATTGCCCAGAACTTCTTTCTGCAAAACAGAACAGTTTCTGTCTTCTTGTTTTTGTCTTGAAGCTCATGTGTCTCAACTTCCCAGAGGAACTTAGGAGCCAACTCTTGTACTTTTGAGATGACCGTTCCCTCGTCTCTTATAATGATGAATCCCTGCAAACACCAAACGAGACATGACTTATGTGATAGAATTAGATGAATTATGATTCATAGTTTGTGACACCAAGAAGAGTATGTAAAATACCTGAGGGCGTATGATGCGGTCCATCTCAACCATGATGTCCTCTAGTAAACAACCTTCACCGTGGTTTTGATAGTGAGACAAGAGCTTATCCGCGTGTAGCAGATCATATGTGCGGGGATATGTTGAGAATGGCTCACACCTAAACAACATAGCGAATATCAGCAATTGGTGGTAACGCAAAATGATTGAAAGTGGATCAAACTTAAGCTTACCAATCATGGTATACACCGGTTAAGCCCCTCTGGTAAATTCCTGATAAGGTATCGTTCATGGTAGCAGGCACAACGTTCATAACCCAAACGGGGTATGAGTGCATAGCAGCAGCAAATCCACCAATGAAAGCGTTTGTGTCCATCACATTCCTCACTTCAGTCTTGTTAACTTTCATCAACTCCCAGTAGCGGTTCACTTGTTCTCTCCAGAAGTTTGTGTCCATTGTGAACTCATCTTCGCTAATGCCTAGTGAAAGTTTTTCCCAAGTGAATATAAGGAAGCAGACAGAAACATAATGAGTTTGAATAAAAGAAATGTACCTAGTTTTCCTAGACTTGCTGGATATGAAGACAGACGTTCAGGTAAAGAAGAGGATCTCTGTGGTGTGTTCTCACTAATGTCCACACAGTCTCTAAGAGGAACTTTCCATGAAGCTTTTGAAACATCTTGTGGATCACATATAGTTATAAGCTCAAGCTCTGCGTTCTTCCTAAGGCAAGCCTCGTCATCTTCTTTAACCCATATTGCAGTCTGTACCTTCCGGGAAATGAGCTTCCAACACATTGCGGTTGTTAGATTAACCAACTTATCCCAAATCACAGGGAAGTCTTTATCCTTTCTGTAAGCAGGTGGTGCTGAGTAAACAAAGTATCCATTGGGTCGGAGAAGACGATTAACCTCTTTAATCAAAACACCATCTGCAGAATCAAGCGCACAATCATTAACACAGAACCAAGAAAGACACTGTCAAGACCAGCACAAGAGACATACCATTTTCATGCCAATCAACACGACATCTTGAGCAATGAACCATATCAAAGGAAGCTGCAGGATATGGCATTTGTTTAGTGGCAATGGCAGAGATCATTGCGCCAATCCCTCTCTCCAACGCAAACTGGATTTGGTTCTCATGACCGTCTTTAGGAGCAAAGGACATCGTCTGAATACCTAAAGGAAGTAGATAAGCAGCAAAGCTAGCAACTCCACATCCAACATCAAGTACTTGTTCAACCCCAGCTGAACGCAAGTCACCTGTTTCATTAGTCGTCATGTTTCCTAACCTGAAAGTTACATAAACAAATACAACCTTATAGGAGAATGCATTACTGGTAAGTTCTTAAAGGCATTATAAGCTAAGAAACCAGTGTTCTAAACAATAATCCTCTATAAAGCTCCTAACGATTTTAAGAAGATTGAACCAAACCTTTGGATGTATTCAGGAGCTCCATGTTTGAAATGAGTACCACCACCAGGGAACCACCATAACTCCCCTTGTTCATGCACCCAATTTTGCCCACCTTTAACTTCAGCAAGATGAGTATGATTCACATTGCTTCTCCACACATAGTCTCTGCTCGTAGGCCAACGTATAGGTATCTTATAATCTTTGGGAGGAGGAACCAGACAGAAGAGACGCTGCTCAAGTGGAGGACAGTGTCTCTCAAGCTCTTCTCTTCTAGAAAGATTCAAACTTGGGAGAAGCTGTTGGATGTAAGTAACATTGTGACAAGGGATGTACTCATTAAACTCCAATGGACACACATTCACACCTCTTTGTGGGATCACAAGAGGAGTTTTCCGGTAAGTGAGTTCTATTCTGTTGATGAAATCTGATGGATCTGCAACCATTAGGGGTTTGGATTAAAATTTAGTTACAAAAGCTAAAGAATTAACCTAAGGGATGAGGATCAAATAAAGAGAGAGCCAACCAGATGGGGAAGGAGAAGATGGAGACGAGGAAATGGAAGAAGCTTGGGGGATGTAAATAGGGGCGTTGTTGCCGAAGATGTAGCCAGCGAAGAATGATCCAACGACAAGGACGAGAGCTACCATTGCGGTTTGTCCCGATCTGGCTGAACCAAACACATAGCCACCACTTCCCATGGCGGCTTTGAGAAATCGATCTCACGCTCTTTCTTCTTCTCCTAGTCTCGCTCGTTCGTTGATTATACTTTGCTTAGAGGAATTATCATGTGAATCTCTCTCTCTCTATCAGTGTGACTGAAACCCAAGCAAAGCTTTTCTCTCAAACTTGAAGAAAAAAGACAGACAAAAGATAAACTAAAAAACGATCCATTTTTTTTATTGCTTATTCTGTCGGTAACCCATGTCACAGGCACGTGACACATTATAACTCTTCGACTCTTTCAATAGATTGTCCCCCAAAACTTCTGTATTTACGCAAATTAACCCATATAGTTTCATAATTGTCCTACAAAGTCCTCATGATACAGTGATTGAACACATATCAAGCAATAGCTCAGCTTAATGCAGGTGACTTCCGAATAAAAATATAAGAACACCCCCATCAATGAATCTGGAGAGGAGACTTAGAACTTTTATATTTTTAACTTTTTTTGTTTGATTTTTTTTTCTAAAAAACTAGACCAATCACGGGTCGCCACGTATCGTGGAGCCCGTGGAACAGTTGTGATACAAGTTCATCACGGTGAACTTCTATGTACAGTTCATGATTTTACCCTTATTATATTAATTTTTTTCTTGGAAAATGAGTGAACCCCTCCAATAAACCTTTGATGGGGTGCTCTAAATATATGCATAACATTTTTCTTTTGTTTTGATGATCTGACTGTTTTGTTATATAAAATTGAACAAAAAATTCAGAAAAATGTGTTATATGACTTTAAGGAAAAAAGTATTCAAACTTAATTTACAAAAAAAAAAGTATTCAAACTTTCTTCCTATTCTACCAACATTTCAAAGTCAACGTGTGCTGTTCTTCTAATTTTAAGGAGCAAATCCGTACGAAGTAAGAAACACGTCGTTAAATATACATTTTAGGTCCATTTCCTTAGTTGACAAAAAATAATGTTCCATTTCCTTCTCTCTTTATAAACTTGTTCAAGATTACCTGTGATGATTATACTAGTAGACGACACTATATATTTAGTGAAAAAAAACTAAATAAAAAATAAATAAACGCGACTATTTATTTTTCTTTTTTAGGGGCGAATTTACATATTTCAATTCCACAAATGAATAAGTGAAATTTCAAACAAATAATCAATGCAAACATACACAACAAGCACCTTAAGGTTTATACTATTTACAAAGCATTAAAACCACTTTGGAAACTCTCCAAGAATCTCTTCACTCCACTCAATATCAGTCTAAGCATCTATTACACTACCAAACATCGGTTCGTGTAAACTTGAATTTTCTGAAGAAACGTTAACCAAAACCGGGTCCTTATGTCCTTCTTCGTCATCATTATCATCTTCATGTTCTGATACAGAGCTATTATCCATCTCCCTCTCATGTATATCAAGCAGCTGTACACTCTCCGGTAGCTCATTACTCTGATTCCCAACAGGCATTCCCAAGTTCTCTCTTCTAACAACATTCAACACAAAGCCATTACTCGTTCTCTCAGGCTGCAGAAGATCACCTTCAGTAACCGTTATGCTTGAACCGTTTGTCCCAAGGATGCTGCTAGTTTCCCTCTTGTCAGACTCGCTTTCAAATTGAGCAGCCATGGATCTAGATCTTGGACTAAAGCTTGGACTAATAGGACCAGAAACCGCTGGAGAGTTAGGGCTGCTAGTAAACCCTCTGGTCAACGCAATGTCCACATCAAGACCATGAACAAAGTCAGTGAACCTATTAGCAGAAGCTGTTCTCATCAAAGGTCCACCAGTCCTCGTCCAAGAACTCAACTCCACGCTCTCTGTTTCGCTGTCACTTACATTCCTAGACGCGTGGAGATTATTAGTATTATTGTCAGCAACGAGGTCATCTAGTGAGCCAGTTGAGTTCTCTCTAGCAAGAACGTTCCAAGATGGGATTCTTCTGGAAGCATTGAATCTTGTTGTTGAAGCTAATCCGTGATGAGACGATGAAGCTGCTCTCTCTGCGCTTCTCTTGAGCCTACGCATATGGTTGAGAATGGCTACACACTCGTCAAGCGCAAGCTCGATCCCACAGTTTGCTTTAATGGCTGAAAGCTTCTCCCAAGTGCATCTTCTTCCTTGGTTAGCTGCCTTTTGTAGCTCCACATGCGTAGGGTTTTGTATAATCTTAGAGTACTGCACAAGACACACAACACAATAAGAATCTAGCAAGTCTAAACAAAGTTCAACATATGAGGTTAAGGATAAGAACCTGAGCAAGAGTAGCTGGCATCACAACTGTTACATCACCTTCCCACTCCTGAGCAAACAGCTTTGCGAGTCCACCGAGAGGAAAGCCAAGCTCTAACACCTGGTTGCATCTATGTTTCACCTCCATCTCCACTAGATGTGCAAGCTAAAAGGCAAGAAGTAGAGAGGTTATAATCAAGGGAACGAATAAAACAGAGTTAACGATGCGACATGTACATACCTTTGCTGCGAATCTACCACCATAAGCTCGAACTATATCCTTTAAACGCAGTAACGGAGCAATGTGAGGATTAGCTTGACTCACAATAAAATGATTAACATTAAACAACTCCTTAAGCTGCATCATCGGCAAATCAACTTCCAAACTCCCATCTCTCCACCTACGTGTAGATGGTTTAGTACCTTCTTCTGGATCCAAATTAAAAGGTGGATGATACGGCACAATATCTCCACTTCTATCTTTAGCCATTAGCTCCTGAGCTTCAAAGAGACCAGGAAAAGCACAAGAAGCAGTCACTGCGCTCCATATAACCACGTGAGGGGAAGTCAAATAGTTAAGACACCGAGGCGGTTCGTGCTTTCTTGGTGAGCAAACGGTGATCCCAAGTATCCTTCCCGTTAGATCATAAGCCTCTTGGAACGTGAGGTTGCATGTGAGGTTCCTAAGCATGCATTGGAGCTGTCGGATATCGTGTAGAGCTCCTTGTGTCATGACCCTTTTCACGATTGTGAAAACGCTTCCAAGCTGATCAAAGAACTGTAGAGAATGCAAAGAGTTCTCGAAGAAACTCTGTAGCTCTGGCCAAGATCTTGAAGCTACAACTGAACAGATTATGGAGCCAACGCTTGAGCCAGCGATGATCCGAGGTAAGAGCTTATGCTCAACCAAAGTCCTAACCACACCAACATGAAACGCACCTAGAGAAGCCCCACCGCTTAAAAGCAAAGCCGTTCTACCAAAAGCATGACGTGTCTCATGCATAAAAGAAAGCTTCTCTTCCAAAGAAAGCTCTTCCAACGAGTCAGAGTTACAAACCATTCTCAACTGAGTAGAGACCTCGTCTATATACTCTTTGATATGTCTAGGAACCTGAAGTCTACCTTTATGAAGCTCCGAGTTACACATGTTCCCTAGATTCCTCACGAGATCAGCTCTCATACAGAACATAATATCTCTAAGGGAACCTTCTTGACGACGATGACGAAGCTCCTGAAGCTTGTTCTTAACCAACTCTTCATCATAAAGATCAGATTCATTCATCTTCGGAGTCTCTTTATCCAACATCTTAGCAGCGTGAGCCCATTCCTCGTAAGTCAAAGCCGTGCGCATCATGTTCCTCCAGAACTTCCTCCTGTACGCCATCTCCGCCTTCATCTTCACATTCGTGTAACGTTTCAGCACGAAGGCGATGATTGTGACGACAGCTAAGATCCCTTGATGGTTCCGGGGATGGAACCAGGATACAAAGGGTGAAATGGCGAGCTTGAATGTGAGGAACCAATGGAGTAAGAAGCGAAAGAGATCACGTCTGAGCTGAATCATTGATTTGCAGAAGAGGACTCTGAAGGCGATGGTTCGGCCAATGATTGATGTTGGTCCGATTGAGAAGGGATCAACATTGGCCTCGTTACTTATATCCATTGGAGATGATGTATGTGTTTAACTGTAAAGCCATAAAAAAAAAACAGAAACTTTGAGTATCATATGTTTGTGTATAGAAACAGAGTTTGTGTAGCGAAACAGAGTTTGTGTATAGAAACAGAGTTTGTGAAGATCTATTCTTAGAATCTGAAACCAAGTCAGCATTTTTAATTTATGTTTTCCCCAAATTTGACTATAAAAATCGAAATTAACGAAAAGAAATTGATTTTTACGAAGAAAGTATGATCCTTTTTGCGATTTTAACCTGAAACAAGAGCTGAAATTGCCGATGAAAACAGAGATCAGGAGCTCAAATATTCAAATCAAAAGCCCAGGAATCAAAACAGAAACTTTGAATCGAGAAACCCATAAAAATAAGGAAATTTACCTGAGCGTGGGTCAGAGAACGAAACAGAGGAGCAAAGAAGAGACGTGAAGCAGAGAACTTTACTTTGGGGGAAAAGAGGTAAATAAATCATAAATGGTGGAATTTAAAAATAATTAAAAAAAGGGGAAGAAGATTGCATTGGGAATCGCGACGAGATAAGAGAGGGCGATGATAATGGTGACGCGGACGAAGGACTCGGCCGATCACGACGGCTTCTTTTTTTTCTTTTTTCTTTCTTTTCTGCACTTTTTTGGATAAACGTGTGAGAGAAGAGAGAACAGACAAACAAAAAAGTCGTTGGATAAGATCTTACGCAACTCGCCACGTGGTTCGTGAAACAGCGAGGTGTGTATGTTAAAATAGCGTGTAGTTTCAACGATAAACGACAGACTGTTATTTCCTCCTCCAAACGCTGCGTTTTAGACCAGAATACTGACACCAAGACATATATACACATGGGTATAGTGGCAACAAGCAAATGCTAATTTCTACCATATAACAATGTGCAAATTATTTGATCGTATCAGAATACTGTTCTCTCTGCGCAATCTCTTAATGTAAATGGTTTTTTTTTCGTATTAGAGTAGAAAGCACGAACTAGTTAGAACAAAGAGTAACACAAAATATAAAATCATAATCAGTGGATTCCATAAAAATTTAAAGATTCAATCTTTAAAATATTTAAATAAAGACTGTTTCTTAACGAATACTTACACTTGCAGGTATCTACGATACGTGGCGACTCACAATTAATTAATATTTCTTTTTTAAATCAGAAAAAATAGAAAAATAATTAAAAAATTAAAATATAGTTTTCAAGGACTAGAACAGGGTCATTGGAGATACTCTAAAGAAAATTAAGAAGAATATACTTTGAAAAACTGTGCCGGAAATTTACTTTTTCAAAACTTGGAAAAACTAACATTTTGTTAATGAAAAAGAGAAGTCATAAATTTGCGTCCAGTCATATTCTCTTGTTTTAATTTTATTCTTTAACCTCTGTGTTGCATTTTCAAAATAATAAATTTACCAGAAGAAATCTTATAAATACATACATTCTAAAGAAGCTGAGGAGCCATAGATAGCTAGTTAAACCAAACACGATCATGGCGTTTAGTATCAACCACATAAGGCTTCTTCTTCTTGTTGCAACAATACTCGTGATGGTGGTCGCTTCCGTAGACGGAGAAGCTCTCCCGGATGATTCTATGGTGAAGCAAGCTTCAGCAAAAAGAGATATGATTTGGAAAGAAGTGTTTCACGATGGTTATGGTGATTGGAGCCCGACTCCAAAAGTTCGACGAGGTAATCCAGCACCAATTCTTCTAGATATTACACAGCCACCACCTTAATCGATGGTCTTAAGGGATAAGCAATTTCGAGATTATTGATTTCTTTGTTAACGATCATTCTCAACTTTTGTTCGGAATAGTTAATAGGGTTTCTTGATACGTTGTGGTGTTTTACGTTTTCATGTTGTCTATATATGATAGACTATTTAAGAACTTCGGTATAACCAGATTATTTGGTGCATGTTTTATGTATGGTTTGAAATGATGATAAAATAAAATATTAGTACCACATATCCAGCTTTAGCATTAATTCGTTTCTTAACTTAGTGTTCTTCTCACTTCCAAGTGGTTAATCCTTTCGACTTGCATCGATGAATATAGTTTATAATTTTATCAATGTCGATGCCATGCATATGGACAAATTGTATAATCAACACGAGAGAAAGATTCAATTTGTTGATAGTTTGATGTTATTTAACTTTTCACCATGTTGGTTAATCTGTAAAAAAAACTTAGAGACATAACTCTCATATATATTATGAACATGTTCCTTTTTTAAAAAAATTTTACGTACATGTTCTAATATAAGTACTGGAATATATAACAAGAAAAAGCTAACTCGTAGAATATATATTGATCTATTGTATGCTAAAGCAACATGCATTTTTAAATAAAAAGTATCAGCAGAGTGTGAGTATCTGAATAAAGCATGGAGAGTATTAAATCTAAGAAATACTATGCTTTTGTAATAAACGTGTATATTAACATGTCAAAATAGTTGTGAGGCTAAAAATAAGAATATACTTAATGTTATTTATAACACGTCAAAATTGTTATGTTTTTTTGTTCAAGTCATAATAGTTATGTTTTTCTTTTTAATTACTTACTAGTGTTAAACGACCAAGTTATGTTATTGTTACTCCGCCGTTGATACTTGATAGTGTCGTGAATTAATCATAACTGAAAGTTAGAAACAATCGGCCGATCGGTGATCTCGGCGGAGAGATTAAAGTCACATGGTATAGGTGTCAAGAAACACATGTTTCACAGGGTCCCACTTTTACGCGGTCTTGTCTATTTATTTTTTATTCATCAGATTAGATCTCAGTACCTTTCTTGGACCTGGTTACTTTATCATATAAAATGATGGCAAGGAAAAGGTTGGAAGTTAGAGCCTTTGGAACTTTGGAAACTATTTTTAAAGCGAAACACGGCAGTGATTATGAAATTCGTTACTATTCACTGTATCCCCTCAAGTCTCAGTAATTTCATGTATACATTTAGCCAACTACGTGTGTTTCTGTCTCACAACATCGCTTAATTAAAATATGAATAATTATGGAACGAACAACCACATTCATTGTCCAATTAATATTCTGCATCAATTATTTCTCTCAATAAACAAACAAGTTAATGAAGACAGACAGATATTTTGTGCATCGTGTTGTTTTTGCCTATTGCATTAATGTTTTTTTTTTCAGTTTGTTAGTCAGTGAAAGCTCTTTCTTCTCTAATTTAAATCAACACAAAAAACTGATGTGCAACGCCCTAATGTGTATTTAAGACCCAGATGTTTACTTAGTAATTGAAAAAAAACTCTTAAAATGTTACAGAATACATTGATTTCTTCAATTAATTAATTATTAAGAAATTGTTTTATACTTTTGTTATAAAGTTAGATATTATTTAAGTCCTTTATTAAAAAGGTTATATATTATAATATCATTTTAGTTTTATGCTCACAAATAAAAATAATAATTAATTTTATATATTTTTTATATAAAACCATAATTACCTATAAATATAATCATATTAAAACCATAGAAATAAATTATAATATAAATTAATAAATTTTGTATTGAAATTTGAAAACGGTATTTATTTTGTAACAGAAAACTCTTTCTACAACATCTTATATATTAAAACAGAAGTCGTAACTTTGAATCATGTGTGATTTTTTTAAAAAATGGACTATTCCTTAGAAGAACTATCAAAATTATCAAATGTTACATAATTTAATGATAATATCTTTGAATATCTTCATCTTTCTATTCAAAATACAAATAAAATAAATCTAACAAAATATCTTAAGAATCTTTTTAAATTGTATTTCTGTAAATCAATGAATTTAAATTCTAATTATTATAAAAAATCATTAAAAATTATTCGCATCTTTATAAATGAATTTAAAATTATCGAAAATTTTTTTAATTATATTTTAATGAGAATAATAATATAAATTGTTGAAATTTTGAAAATAATTATTTACAAAATTTAAATAGATTATGTTAGAAACAAATACTGAAATTATATTTCAAATATAAAAAACTATTATATATTTATCTATCTATACTATTAAAATAATTCATGAGTTATTTCATGTGTAATTGTTTTTATTTGGACCATTCTTTAAAAATATATCATTTTTTTACATAATTTAACTATAATATCTGCCCATATATTTATATTTTATTTTAAATACAAATGTTTTTATTTAAGAAATTAAATTTTATCTAGATAGCACTATATATTCCTAAAATCTAAGGAAAAAACTATATACTAGAGTTTGATCTACACAGATTTTTTATTTTATAAAACTTTGCTATTATTATAAAAAAAAATATGATTTACATTTAATGTTATATTTTATACATTTAATGTTATATGTTAATGATAATTTATATTTTCATGTTGTGCTTAAAATGATATTTTAACTTCTATCACCTTAATATTTTTCGAGATTTTACAAGTAACTATATTGTTATCTATTGATAATTTTTTATAAACTATAAATAAAAAGAAAAGCCGCACGGTTGTGCGGGTCGAGATCTAGTATAATATTAAATGCAATTGAGTACTATTTAGCAACAAAACTGATAAATATGGAGGTTTTAATTTGTAAGTTTCATATAAACCAGTTATGCTTTAGTTGACAAAAAAAAAACTAGTTATGCAATTTAGTAAAAAAAACATTTCTGTACTATTGTCCAAAAAAAAAACATTTCTGTACTATAAAAGAGTTTGACTTGGTTGGGTTTCACATATATATTTACTTTCCGTCTGTCACGTAAGAAAGCGAAATAACATTTATCAACAACACAGAAGAAAGAAGAAGACGGTGGAATAATAAAATTCAATTTCGACGACTCTCATCAATCAATCATCTCCCAAGAGTGTTCCAACACGAATGAAACAATTAAAAAAAACATTTAAAAAAAAAAAAGTTATGATCTTTGACGAGCAGAGAGAACCATACCAATGTGAATTCTGATCATCTCTCCTTGACGACTCCACCAAAAGAAAAAAAAAACAGAGAGATTTCCGCTAAAAGAATCAAATAAAGCTCGAGACTTTACACGACAAGAGAATAATGTCGAATCCGATGCTGTCGGAGAAATGGGAGAGTTCAAGTAAAACCAGCAGAAGAGAGCTTAAAAGGAGAGAGAGGAAGATGTGGAAGAAGCCCATCAGAATTTCCCGATTGCCCAGTTTCACTTCCGATCAGATTCCGGTCATCTTCTCCGGCTACACTGCTGAGTCAGAAGATTCATCTTCTTCCGAGATGTCTGATGATTCCATCAACTCTACTAAATCATCAGACGATGACAACAAGGAGGAGGAGGTTGACCAGGCAAGTCTCACAACTACTCTGTTTTCATTGTTTATAAGCTCTGTTCTTGTCGGAATCAAAGAGATCAGTACATGTAATAGTTAGAATCTGAGATCTGTAATATTTTTTATAGGTTGAGGAAAGTTCAAAATCGGTGAGTAGTGGCGTGAAAGTTGTTCTTAGGAGACAGTCAACGAGTAAAGGACATAGACTGATGAAGATGAGATCTATGAAGCGTGTTACTTCACATTCGAGGAGGAAGAAGAGTCTTGATTTGATTTCCAGGGAGGACTTAGGAGGGTTGTTAGAGCCTCATTACTTGAGACCAACAAGCTCTTCAGCTTCCAAGAATGTGGAAAACATTCAGAAGAATCTCCAAGCGGCTAGGTTGAAGAGAATGACGAGTTTGAGACACAAAAGGTTGCTGAAAGCTACTTGTTCTTCAGCTATGAAAGGTTCTCCTTCTGCTAAGAAGAGTGATGATGTGTGCAAGTATAAGTATTGTTCTCTGCACGGTCAGCCTCATACCCACGCTGCGGATGATAAAAATGTTCATGTTCCGTCTTTGAAGCGGTTTATGTCGATGAGGAGGAAGTTTGTGAAGAGGCAGAAGAGTGTGAACCGGCGTTTGGGGATGTTAAAACGGACTTTGAGTAGAAAGAGTCCTTTAGGCTTTCGTGTTGTGACTGATCAAGAATCAGAGCAGGTGGCTGATGGAGAAATTAATCAAGAGGTTTTTGAAGAAGAGGTTTCTAGCTGGGAGAACTGTGAAAGTGATTCAGAATTGAATGGAAGATCTACTGAGACTGTTGATGATAATGTGGATGGAGGAATGGATTCTATGGAGACTGTTGCATCAGCTGGAAGAGAATGTGTTGTTCAGGAAACTAAACCGGAAGTTATGGATGATTCAGATAGCAGAATTGAGATAGATATGAAGGAAACTTTGACGGGTCTGGATCATGATGATGTGAAAGTGAAGAGTGAAGAAACAAGAGATGGTTCTTCTGGTGAACTGCGAGAAGAGGATGGAAAGAAAACTGCAGATATATGGAATGATGAAGAGTCTAAACCGAAGAATGTGGATGATTTTGATGGAAACATGACAGGTCTTGATTATTATAATGGGAAGAATGAGGGAACTAAAACTGACGAAACTCTGGAAGATGATGAGGAAGTTAGTAGAGAAGAAGATGAAAAGAATACCGAAGATGTATGGAATGATACGGTTACTCTTGTGAAGCAAGCTTTTGATGAGATACTTGCTGAAATCACTGATCATGACTCGTCTGATGATTCATCTGTTACTAAGAACAATACTTTAGAGGGTGAATTGGCGAAAGAATATGATGATGATTCAAGTGGCTCGGATGTGCAGCCTGTTGAAGAAAGGGACACACATTTGACTGTAATTGTCTCTACGTCTAATATGGGAGAAGAATCTGGTCATAAGAGAGGTGCCAAGAAGTGGAGTTACTTGAAAAGAGTAATCCTTCTCAAGAGGTTTCTCAAGGCGTTGGATCAAAAAGAGAGGCGCAAGTGTTCTTATGCTGAAGAGAATGAAACAATAATGAGGTTGAGAAGAGAGTTAGTTGGAGAGAGGAAGAATGCCGAGGAATGGATGCTTGATCATGCTCTTAGGCAAGTCATTACAACACTTGCTCCACCGCAGAAAAGGAAAGTGAAACATCTTGTCAAAGCTTTTGAATCTTTGATTGGTGGTCTTGGAAGTCCTGGAAGAGAAGAGAAGGAACCAGTGAACTTGCAAACTATCTTGAGAGAGAGTAATGACACTACTGATCTACCTGAAGTTTTATCAGGAAAGGAACTTGAAGAAACAAAGTTAACTAGAGAAGCTTCATCATCTCTGTCTCTTGGTATGAAATCTGATGAAGTTTTGGAATCAGTAGCAGATTCAAGTTCTAGTCATCAACCTGCTGTGGAGGAAGAATTAGATGTGTTGGCTTCAGGTTCACCTATAGAAGAAAAAGAAGAGAAAGCAGGAGATTCTGAAAAGAAAAGCCTGTCTACATGGAGGAACCTTATACAGAAACACATGGTTTCGGGAGACAATAACGAGAAAAAGGTTGATGAAGCTGAGCAAGATTACAGGTGGTCCTATGGAACTAATCAGATGAAAGGTACTGAAGATGATGGTGATGCTGCTGCAACTATTAAATCGTTTCAGGAAGCATTTGAAATGATTCTCTCGGAGATCCCTGACTCGTCATCTGATGAAGAAGAGATTGTTACGGAATCATCTAAATCTCTTAAAGAGGAGAAAGGAGAAGTTCATGTAGAGACTAAAAGAAGCTGGAACAGCCTGAGAAAGGTGATACTCTTGAAAAGATTTGTGAAAAGCTTGGAGAAAGTAAATGTTTCCAATCCAAGAAAGCTGCGGAATCTACCTGTTGATTCTGAACTGGAGGCAGAAAATGTATTACTAAGACATCGTTCAACAATGGAGGGAATAAGAACAGATGGAGAGGAATGGATGCTGGATTATGCTATGAGACAAGCTATATCAAGATTGGCTCCTATAGAGAGAAAGAAAGTAGAACTCCTTGTGCAGGCCTTTGATACAGTTCTTGATGGCAATGAGACTGTTAAACCAACCAAGACCACTGACAATGAAAAAACTACCAAAGAAGTAACACTGAGAGTAGAGGAAGACTGCAAAGACGAGCAGAGGATCAAAAATGTCTTTTCGAAATTTCAGGTACATCAAAAGAACTTGAAACAAGAAGAGGAGGTTGATACTCCTTGGAACAAAGTTGAAGCTGGCACAGAAGGAAAACTGAGAGCAGAGAAAGATACTGAAGTCAACAAAGATGAGCAGAGGATTGCAGATGTCTTTGCAAGATCTCAGGTACACCAAAAGGACTTGGAACAAGAAGAAGAGGTTGATACTCCCCGGAACAATGTTGAAGCTGCTACAGAAGGAAAACTGAGAGAAGATAAAGATTGTGAAGGCAACAAAGACGAGCAGAGGATTGCAAATGTCTTTTCAAAATTTCAGGTGAATCAAAAGGACTTGAAAGGAGAAGAGGAGGTTGATTCAACGCCGAGGAAATTCAGCAATTTACTTCCTCCTATCGGAAATGGTAAACAAAAAATCGTGGTTGAGAAAAAAGATTCAAGAATGTGGAAGCTCATCTACAAACACATGGTAACAGAGAAAGAAGAAGAAACTAGTTCTGCAAATGGTGATTCAGTAGCTTCATTTGAGGATGAAGCTGTTGATCTTCAGATTGATGCGAGAAGAAGTGGAACAGTTACACTTGTTAGAGAAGCTCTTGAGAAGATCCTCTCTGAGATCCCAGACAACTCCTCTGATGAACAATCTGTAGACAGCTCTACTGATCAAGAACTACTGGAAAGAAACTCTCAAGTAAGTGAAGACTCTATGACCTCAAAACCAAAGTCTAATGAGAAAAGAGTGAAAGGATGGAACAATGTGAAGAAAGTCATTCTTCTAAAGAGATTCGTCAGCGATTTAGGAAGACTCAACCCCAAGACGCCTCGGGGTTTGCCTTGGGAGCCTGATCCAGAAACTGAAAAGATCCGTTTGAGGCATCAGGAGATTGGAGGGAAGAGGAACTCAGAGGAATGGATGCTTGATTATGCTCTGAGACAAGCCATATCGACGTTACCACCTTCTCAGAGAAGAAAGGTCTCTCTTCTTGCACAAGCTTTCGATACTATAAGCTTACAAGATGTTGGTAGTTCTTCGAATCCCAGTTCAGCAGCAGGTTCCAGGAACATCTCTCGTCAGTCCAGCCTTTCTTCTATGACGGTGCATAGTGAAAATGAAGGTAATGCTGAGATACTAAGAGGTAAACTGAGAAAACTACAAGATGATCTCAAAGAGAGTGTGAAAGCTGATGGTGTGGCTAATGATTTGGAGGAGAAACAAGAGTGTTCGAGCTTGTGGCGGTTATTATGCAAACAGATGGAAGACAACGAGAGAAACCAAACATTGCCTGAAGAACAAGAGTCAGAGGATGACACAAATATGGATGGTGAGAAAATGGAAGTTTACAAAACCGAAGCAGTGGAGCTATTAGGAGAAGTCATAGACGGAATCTCTCTTGAAGAGAGACAAGATCAGAAGAGTGAAACTTTACAGGCATCACAAGTGAAAATTAACAGGTGGAGCAGCCTCAAAAAAGCGATGCAACTCAGGAAATTCGTCAAAGCGTTAGAGAATGTGAGGAAATTCAACCCAAGAGAGCCTCGGTTCTTGCCAGTGGAACCTGGCGTTGAAGCAGAAAAAGTGAACCTTAGGCATCAAGAAACTCAGAACAGGAGAAATGGGGACGAGTGGATGGTCGATAACTCGCTTCAAGAAGTTGTTTCCAAGCTAACGCCAGCTCGGAGAGATAAAGTTAAGTTATTGGTTCAAGCATTTGAGTCACTTTCAGCTACAGGGAACTGAGGCAAACAACAAGGTAAACAAAGTCTCATAAGACTATAATCTTTATTTGGTTTCCACATTGTCTGATCATTTCTATACAGATATTACAGCTAAGAACCAATGAAGAACATGATGTGGAAGACAAATTCAAGGAACTGAAGATAATTACAAACTTATTAATTGTCCTTGCAATAATCTCTACTCTTTTTTGTTCTTGCAATGGCAATTCATTATGTTGACATTACATGTAATGTGTGTAGAAAAGGTATGATATTGTTATTTTTCAAAGGAGTTGAATTACAAAGTTCTCCAATTTTTTTATGATTATGGGAAATGTTTGATGTGGTGCATTTATAATTTAAATTAATTGTTTTCTACATATGAAAAATGGGAAATAGAGAAAACAATTTTATTTTGGATTTAACTATTCTAATTTATTTCTTGATTGCTTGTATAGTTCACATTTCTCTGCTTCTTTATATTCTTCTTTGTTTTTTTGCTTCTTTTATTTTTTTATTTGTATTATTGGAATAGTTAGGGACATGTAAGTTAGTGATAATCGAATTTGGAGGATAGGTTTAGGCTAACTGACTTGTTCTAGTATTATTGAAATAATTAAGAAATTTTATTTTTAAAAAATATAATTCCAAATTATTTTTTCACTATAGTTCTTAGAAAACTTTCAAAACTTTGAGAAGCAAATGCATGTTACAAAATCTATGTTGCAGTGATTGCTAAACAACGTAATCTTAGATATAATATTTTAAAATTTGAACACAAAGATTTCAATGAAAAAATTAAAATTTATTAACTTAGGTACTTCTACACAACAATTTGATAGACTCACATATTTTCATTTCAGGAGGTCCTGATTTTACATCAACAGATACAACTGATTTACAACGGATGACCAATGTCACACAATATTTGTTGGAACTTCAAATAGTAGAAAGACCAATTCAGATGAATGTGAAGAAAATGTAGTTATTGATTTCATATCTATCATGTTGACATCTATTGGTTATTGGATATTAGTGTTACTAAATATGGATTATTGTTAAATGTGCTAAGTAGAAGTATTCTTTTGTTTTATTCTTAAAATTTAAAAAAACATTAAAAAATTAAGATTTGATTTTGAATTTATAGAATTTTTTTAGTTTTGTTTGGGTTTTGCTTAAATGAGCATAGCTTGTACATTAAAGTGAACATAGTTTTAAAAGTTAGTGTATCAAAATGAAAACTAAACAATTAATTGAAGTATTAAACTAAGTAACAACAAATTAGATAGCTTAACAAAATTAGTTTAAGTATTTTATGAAAAATTACTCCAGTATAATAATTATTGATTAAAATCTCTTATTTCTCTGGTAATTTCGTTTTCCATTCCCATAGCCGTCACTTTACTTGAATTGTTACGCCATATCCAATTATAAGGTAAACAAAGTCTCATAACATAATAAATTTATAATCTTAACTTAGTTATTGTTTGATAAAGTATTTTTATGAAAAAAATACTCTATTATAATAATTATGGATTAAAAACCCTCATTTCTCTGATAATTTCGTTTTCCGTGTCCATAACCATCATTTTACTTGAATTATTACACCATATCAGTTTATAGGGTAACAAAGTCTCATAACACTATAAATCTATAATCTTTACTTAGTTATTGTTTGATAATTTCTATACAGGTTTATAACAAAGAACCATGAAGAACAAGATGGATAAGACTAAATCAAAGAACTAGAAGATAACTAAAGACTTATTAATTGTCCTTGCAACAATCTCTAGTCTATTTTGTTCTTTCAAACTCAATTCATTATGTTGACACTACATGTAGTGTGAGTAGAAAAGGTGATTATAATGCTATTACACAAAGGGGTTGAATTACAAAGTTCTCTAATCTTTTATATGAAAAAGTGTTATTAAAATGTCATCTTCTTGTTTCACAAATAAAAAAGAGTCATCTTCTTACCAGATACAAATTAAATCTATATATAGATTACATTATGACAAAACAAATTTATGAATTCACATTCAGCCAACCAGCAACAACATATTATTTTGCGGCAATTTTGTCTCCATAATTGTCGCTGCTTAGTGCTTATCGTGGACTAAGTACTTTTGCCATGTATCTTTGAAGATTAATATAATTCCAATGTCGAAAAATGATCTTTTCAATTTCCAGAGTCAATTTGATAGATGTATACACGTTTATATTTATCCCCCCACAACATTCGTTTACATCTTCAAATACAAACAGCTACATACATAAGCAATTATTCATTGATAAATCATGAATATTCTTTTTATTTGATTAAATGATACATTCACATCTAAAATAACTGTTTAAAATATGTATGAAAAATGGTAAATCAGTCTATTAAAAATCTAATTTATTTTGCGTTATCTATTAAAATTACCATTTGTTTTTTATGCGTTTCCTTATTCGTTTTCAATATTTTTTTTAATATGAAAAAGAAGTCACCGTTTGCTTTGACACGTTTGGTAAATCTAAACAGTTATATATAGGGATCTTCATCAGTATAACACTTGAGCTGAATCAACAACACTAAACAAGTGCATTTAGAAAAATCACACATGTCTCTCTCTACCTCCCTCGTTGTTACACGTGTCTTCTCCTCCCCCACCGCCGTGAAACAAAACCTCCTGAAACGCAAACGCGAAGACAAGATCACTCGAGATAAACCAATACCTATGGCTAAAGAACACGACGATACTTCTCCATCGTGGGAGGTTCTAAACGCTATTAGCTTTTACATGGACCCGGAGACTCTAGCCATCGCCTCTTGCGTCTCAACCACGTGGCTAAAGTGTTTCTCCTCCGAGAATCTATGGAAATCTATCATGACCGCACGGTCCTCGCAACGCTCTTCTCCATACGAGATCGCCTTGGAACACACGGAAGCCATCGTCTCGTACAAACACTTTGTCTCCGCCGTTGAGAGAGACGCGAAACGTCGACGTAAAGGTCAGCTCGAGGAAGCCGTCAAGATACCACTCTCTGATCTCAGCTTCTTCGTCCACGTGTCAACTAAAACAAAGAATGCTTCGGTTTATAAAAAAGGTAAAGAACTCGTGTTTGGTTCTAACGACAAGTTTCAGATAGAAGTTGATGTAAGCAAGGCTGGTATCACTATCGGTGAGGATGACGTGAGAATGACGTGGCAAGTTATGTACAAGGGGAAGTTTGTAACGGTGGCGGATGCTACTAGATCGTTGGACACGAAGTATGGGTGGTTCGTTGACAAGCTTGAGTATATGGATAACCGGAAGCTTGTAGGCGACGTTAAGACGAGTTTTGATGGTGATGTTCTTGAGAAGATTGGGTTTGGGATAGTGGATTCGGATGGTTGGGGATCTCTGTTGGTTGATGGGTTTTTGAGATATCTTCAGCGGTTTTTGTTGGAATAATAATATAATAGAGTGTCGCTGGGATAGATCAGTATAAGTCTCAAGTAGATGGTTTAGCAAGTTGTTTTAATGTTGTTGTAGTCCCATAATGTTAATGAAAGTCAGTAAACTATAATTTTCTCTTACTTTTAAGAAAGGTTTATATATCTCATGAAGCACAGAAGTCAGTATTCATTAGGTTTTTCAAATGCTGTGAAGAAGCTGCACAACTACTACAAAGGTCCACTTCCATAAATGGTAGAAAGTGATCCGATCCATGTGTATATTCTTTTATCCAAAACAAAAGCTTTTACAAAATTATAGTTCCAAGAATTAGACTGACACACACACACAAAAAGATGGAGTAGAATACTATCCAGATCTGTGTAAGAATACGTCATCAAAACTAGACGCTATGCGAAGGACACGTGTACTATAACAAGCTACGGAGACGCCACATCACACGGGCGTGTCTTCTCATCCAAACAAAAAGAGTTTTATTTCCACTTTCCCAGAAATAAAAGAAGGAAAAAAGAAAACAGAACCAAGAGAGAAGATTTATTTGCTCTTCTTCTTCTGTGTATTGTTTTTACAGGGTAAGTGATCTGTAACACTCTCATGCCCAGCTTGTTCTTATTTTTGTTTTATGTCAGAAAATAATTCTGCTGTTCTAATCTTGATTTCTTAGATTAGGGTTTACTTGAATCTTCGTGCAGTTCCCAGATTCTCAGACAGTTGAACCACATGAATCATCAAATTGACTCAGTTGTCTCCAATGGTACGACTCCTCCTACTACTTCGCTTACTCATTGCTCTGTATATGAAGTTTGTTTGTTGTTTACGATACTGACATAATATAAATTTGTTCAAACATTTTAGTATATGAACGCTTGTAGCTTTTTGATTTAAGATTACATAGCGTTGCGTTCATTATATTTGGTTTGTAACAAGTCTTTAGTTCGCTTATGTAATAGGCTATTCAAATAAGTTACGACTTCTCGTGTAGCCTGGAGTTATACAGCATAGTCTAATCATTCCGATATATATAATAGGTGCAGGTAAGGTAAAAGAGCCGAGGGTAATATCTCCGGGAGGATCAAAAACCGAAGAGAAGCAAAGTCAGGGTGCTACTTATCAGACTCATGACATGGATCAAGTTGGTAGAGAGAAGCCTCACGGAGATGTGAACATGGAAGCTTCCATATCAGCAGAAGATGTGATAAGAGCTGGAGGTTTTGGTGCTAAAGACGACATTGGAAGCTTCCTTCCCGTGGCAAGTGATTCCACTGACTTTGAAGAATCACTCCGCTCTGCACGTGACTACGAAGAAGCTCAACCGGCTGTTCAAAGACCTGGTCTTGGCTGGCCTAAAGAATAGAATCTTTCTCAGTGATTTGCTTGTTTCTAGTTCTTGTTATGTCGATGGCAAAGTTGGATTAATTCAAATTAAGAGAACTCTCTTGTTCTTGCTCTGCTTTTGCCAAAACGTTTTCATGGATTTTTCTACTTTTTTTATTTGATAAGGTTAAGTAGTCGGTGAGATCCAATACACTTTTTCATAAATAAAATATTTTTATCTACGCGAGAAATTATATAAGTATTACAAGTCGGACGAACTACTTTTATATGTAATAGTCAATACTGCTTATAGATCATGATTATCATAATGTGACAATAACAGACCATTAGCTGTTGATATGAGTGGGAAGAACTAGAGACACCAATGAGAGAAAGAAGATGGAATCATATTTTTACATATTCAATAAGTGGCTCAAGTTGATGACACTTCACAAAATTGCTTCTTTAGGTCATATATCAATCCAATGTCCATCTTGTTTCTAACTTTTATGAACGAGAAACTTGCATTTCTTTATTATAGATGAATTTAATGCTTTTTTTTTTGTAAATATTAAAATATTATTTGATCTATTTCAAAGTGGCTAATCATAACTTAGCACTCGGCTACTTGGATATTATTTGATTGCCCTTTTATTGGTGTCCACCATTCACTATTATTATTTTTTCGTCGCATGCAATTTGCTAATTTGGAAGGTGGTAGAGTATATATGTTGGTGAAAGAGAGAGGCTTAAAATATAATTCAGGATTCACTTATCATATAGATAAATAATCCTAATTAAGTTAATCAAAAAATCAAATAGCCGATTTGACCACCCAATTTAAAAGCATAAAGATTCGTTAAGATAAATGACAAGAAACACACTAAGCTACTGATGTATTGGTTTAACTTAAAAATGATGTAAAATATTAGAATTATACAAATAATAAAATTATAAGATCACTTTGCAAAAAGGTTAACCATTTTAATATTCTTATATTTAACTTTCTAACTATTCAATAACATAATAGCCTTTTAGGGGTAAAACTTAACATAATAGCTTCATGAATATTTTGGAAAATATATATCTTTGACGAGCAAGCATGCACTATTCCACCATGTGTCATCTGTGATGTAATATACAGAAAACTTTTAGTATTTCTAGAAAGTTAATATAATTCTCAAAGGGTTTTAGATCAGATAAAACTATCATAGTTTTTGTTTCTTTGACAAAAAAAATACGATAAAATGTTGCTTACAATATTTTCAAGGACGTGTTATTAATTTAGCACGGACAAATAAATATTTTCGTTCATGAAACTTGTAGAAACCCGTCATCTTGATGAATCAAGAGAAACAAAGGAACCTAATTTTTCCCTTAATAAAAGAAGCAATTGAATAAATAAACACTTTTTATGTTTGATTAAAAAAAAAACGAATAAACAATATCCCCACTTGTCTCTTCAGATCACCAATATCGAATACTACTTACCCCTATTTATATCTGCACATCATAGACTTACACTCTCTTATCACAGAGCTTGGCACTTTCTATATGGGGAAAGAGATAAACAACGGAACAGTCTTCCTAGTTCTGTTCTTACCTGTAATGGTTTTTCACAAGATTCAGCCAAGTATGTTTTTTCATGTTACATATACGTCTTATGTCTGATACTCTTCTGTCATGTATAATATTTTGGATTAAGTTTCTTGGTAGATTAGAGTTTCTTCTGATCTAATTGTGTTTCAGGTACAATCTCGTCATGATCCCCTGAAGTATATACCAGAGAAGTTCTTTGGAGGAATATACAGGAGAACTCTCTGTCTCTCTCCAAAGGTTCGAGAAGATGACAAAAAACTAAGGCATGAGAGCATAAATTTCGTAATTTTTCCCGATCATCACCCTCCAAGCGTTTTGTGTAATATACAAGAACTGAAAACCATAAACAAAAGTTGTAGATTTAGAATTCCATCATTGAAACTTTCAGAAACTTTTAGTATATACTTATTTATCTGTAATCTGCATCATTTAAAATTTTAAAGTGACAAAGACACCGAGAAACGTTTAAAACAAAACATCACTATGATTCTAAACTCCCACACGCTCACTATATAGTTAATAACCGAAACCTATGTTGATTCTTTCCCCCGCAAAAATATTTTATCAACAGAGACTCTCTGTCTGATTCAGAAGGATTCAGAAGGATTCAGAAGGATTCAGTCCAGCCCCAACCATTGCCATTGGAATGTTGCTGAAACCCAACTCTGCTTCTCCCTCTCCCATTTCTCCATCGACAATCATCCACTTGCTCTCCTTCACGTGGCACTGCTCCTCTCTTTCTCCACTCTCTCCTCTCTCTTCCCTGATGATGATGATCACTACAGTTCCAGTTCCCATCCTTCTTGTAGTTGAAGCTGTTTCTGTTCCTATAGTCCCAAGATTCTGTTCTAAAGCTATTGTTGTTGTTCTTGTTCTCATGACCCCAACCTACAGGTTTCTCCTTTCTTCCCCAAGAATCCTCATTCCATCCATCACAACGCTGCTCATCCCATGAGTTCTCCTGTTTACCAACATTCTCCTCGTTAACCCCCTCCGCGTTACCCCATCCCGTTCCCCACCCTTGTCCACTATACTCCTGTCCAGACAAAAACAAAGCATCAAGAATCACCACATGCTCTTCTTCTCTTCCCGGGTCTAGACCACGCTCAAGGTCAAGAACCAGCTCATTGTCAACTTGAGCATCCCAGTCAACATCATCAATGTAGACATCAGGATCATGCAAAGGCAAGTCACAAGAAACTCCGTTGATCTCTGCCCAGTACTGAGACTTAGCCTTGTTGAATGCGTCTTCTCCAGCTGAATCATCCCATTGGACTACTCTCTCGTATAGATGCATAAACCGCTTAGCTTCTAGAACTTTTGACCATGGAACTGAACCGACCTTAGCACAGAATTCCTTCTCCCAAGCTGGAACAGACTGTTTGAAGTTAGCTGCAGAACCACACACAAGAAACAGAGAGTTAAAAACTCTGTTCTCTCCACAAAAAAAAAATTAACTTTTTTAAAGCTAATCAAAGTTTGACCATTTAACTGTTCATAAACTACTGTTCATTGTAATGAATCTTGTTCACATTCATGAATTAGGACTTAAAGACAAAGACCAAACCTTTACAAAACCTAACAGAGATGAAGTCAATTATGGTTTGAGATTCTCTAATTTCACTAACATTAAGTACATATAAAACGAGATTGATGAACAAACACAAACCCTAATCAAGAAATATGAGGAGAGTAATCACTATTTCGGAAATTAAAGATGAATATATAAAAAAAAAAAAAAGAGAACAGAGAGAGAATTGAAAACAGAGCAAGGTCATACCAAGAGGCGGCTTTTGTGATTGCGTCATCGTCCTTCGTTGTTGATTATAAACGTTATTGTTGTTGTTGTTGTTGTTGTTGTTTCTGGGCTTTTGTCTTCTCCAATTGCTCATTATGACCCGACAAAGATCGAATTTTTTCACAAGAATGCAGTAGAGAGAGAGAGAAAGGTGTGTTTTTTTTTTTTTGGGTTCTGAGTTTTACGGAAGACGAAACAGAGAGAGAGAGATTATAAAGAAGAGAAGGAGGGTGGAATGATCTCAATCAAACCCCTGATTAATATGAACGAAGATCAAAATCTTTAAGACTTGTCAAGCAAATTTCTTTTTCTCTTCTTTGAATTTTTCAGGTGATTTGTTTTCTTTTCTTTAATGTTTTATTTATTTCCTTTTCGTCGGAATAATAAATGACTTTCCTTTTCTGAACCGGAATCTTGATGCGTCTTTCTTCATTCTAGTTGCTTCTATTAATAAAAATCTTTATTATTTTTTTATAACGAAATACTTCTATTAACATGAGTATTATTAAAAAGTATGAATGTTGACAAAAAAAAAAATTAAAAGTTTGAATGGGAGGTGTAACAAAAAAGAAAGTAGTTCCTCTACCAACGTGCGGCATCTACCTAGTTTGTGTCATACAAGAAAAAAAATAACAAAAAGTGTATGATTATTTTTTAAACAAAGAACTGATCAACAAATGATTCAAATAATAGCGGATGTAGTTCACTTTGTGAAGTAAAACCAATAACAACCGCTGACAAGAAAAAAACCAATAACAACTAGAGACACTTCATCTTTAGAATGGTGGAAATGGTTCTCTTTTTGTAATGGAATAATTTATAAAATTTTGTATTACTTATTACTTTACTAGTATATTAAATTTTATCTTGTATAAGTTTATCATTGCTTTAAAAATATTTTTAAAAACATTATTAATTATATATACTTGAAGCTAAATATTTGTAATGTGTTAAATATATATTAAGAATTATTATATTTATGTTGATATTCTTATACAAAACATTCAAATAGTTTTACTATTGTAACATAATATCATTTCACTAAAACTAACAATTGATTTAAATCATCCAGAATTAGAAATATTTAATTTTAAATGTCAAAATAGTTATACATATGTTTGGATTAAATTTTATTTTGAATAAAAATTATATTATTGAATCTATAAATTATTTATTACCAATATCTCAATATTATTAATTTATAAAAAAAATTACTGTATATATACAGAGCTAAACTAACCGGGATATTAGTAACAAAATTACCTAACCAAACCGAATGGGTGACTACACAATTTGGGCTTTAGTATTTTTCTCTTCTCTCCAAAATGAGCTAAACCGAAACTGAATCAAGCCTTTCTGAATCCCGGTTAAGGCGAAAGCTGAGTCCGGTTCAAAACGGCCGTTTGTTTGGATTCGGACCCGGATCCGGATCTGGAAGCGAGTCCGGGTCCTTTTATACATGTTGACATCATGTCGAAACCTCCACCATCATGTCACTGCGTAGTAGTTGATGCGTTTTACAACCTTTCTTCTTCTCCACAATACGTCTTCCTCCTCAGGTCTCTCTCTCACTCTCACTATTCGGAATCCTTTGGGATTAGGGTTTCGACGATTCCACTCTGCCTTTTGTTGGGTAAACGAAAAAAATAGATTCTTTTTGTAAATTTGCATGCCGATTGTGATAATATCGCAAATTTGTAGATTTGTTGAGTTTCTTTCTCCAGTTTTTAACTGGTGATTTACTGAGATCCAGACTCTAGGGTTTGTGAAAATTGATTTAGGGTTTTTGGAATCATTGATGTTACCTGTTCTTTTGATCTGTGTTTATTGTTTGTGTTTCCTCTTTACTGATTATCAAAGAACCAGTTTTTTCTGCAATGTCTTGTTCTGTCAGGGTGAAAAGGATGGCATCTAATCAAAGTGTTCACGAGGTTTTCAACAGCTTCGATACTTTATCTGAGATTCTCCTCCTCTTACCACCTGAGGAAACTTACAAGCTGATTCTAGTATCAAAGCGTTGGCTTCAGATCATCTCCAGCCCTTTCTTCCGTCACGCTTACCTCACCAAATGGAAACCAAGCTTCCACCTCATCGGTTTCTTCATCTGCAACACCTCCTACGTCGGCAAAAAACACGTGGAACGTGTCCGTCGCCCTCGCTCTGAATCCTCCATGCCTCTCCTCTCAACGAGTAGTTTAGGTGATGAGTTTGAAAACTGTGGTGTTTTGAAGAAGCTTGGTTATTACATTGACTCATCGAACGGTGTTCTTCTCTGTGGGAGACATCCGAAAGCTTACTATCTGTGGGATCCCACGACTAAGAAGCAGCATAAGATCCCGCGGCATAGGGTTCATTTCGAAGAGGTGGTGATGTCTTTGATCACTGAGGATTGTCCTGTTCAGGGTTTTAGCTACAAGGTGGTACGTGGGGAGTGTGTTTCTTATGCAGCTCAGAGTAGTAAGGTGAGAGTAGAGACTTATTCTTCTAAAACCACCACGTGGAGCTACTCTGAGCTGACTTGTCATGAGGTGATATCTCTAACTCCGTGGACTGCAGGGAGAGTGATCAAAGGTGTGGTTTATTGGTATGCTACAGGAGGTAAAGTTGCTATCTACGACACAAACGATGAGGAGAAAAGGATTAATGTGATTAAGCTTCCCAAGACGTTCAACTATGATGAACAGGTTTTGGGAGAATCATCTGATGGGTGTTTGCAATATGGATGGAGCAATAAGTCTGTGATGGAGATATGGAAGCTGGAGAAGAAGGTGAGCGATGTGCTTGAGTGGACCATTCAGTTTAAGCTGAATTTCAAGGCTATGTGGAGGATGAATCCTGTGGAATCTGCAAGGTTTAGCACGAGGACTAAAGAAACGCAGCTGCTTGCGTTCTTTAACCAGAACTCGGATACGGTTTTCATCAGATGTGACTCGCAGATCTTCGTGTGTGACACAAAGACTCAAAGGGTTGAAGAAGTTCATTACCAAGGACGAGGGTCTTCGTTCGTTTGGGATTACTGCAAAGTCTTACCTTACTTTCAGCTATCTTGGCCTTCTTCTTCTTCTTCTCTGTTGGAAGAAGGAAACATGTGAAGATCGAAACTGTGATGTCTCTTTCCGCTGTGAGTAGCTTATGGTAATAATCAGTTAGTGTGTATGCCTCTAATATCATTTTGGTGTTATGGCCATTCAGGCCATTGGATTATGGTTTGTTTACATTAAGTGGCTTTTATGGGGTTTTTTTATTGTTTGACCATTGATGAACCTCTCATGGCCATTGGAATTACGGTTTGGCTATTGAAAGATTGTTCCTTTTGTAATGACCAAGTTTTGCGTTTTGAATTTACGTTTCGTGATAGACTCGGTTTGAAGAAATATGTGTTATATTTCATTTTACTTTTAGATTTAGAAAAATTTAAAGTATATATGATCTTGAAATTTTAAAATAATTTAAATGGGTTATCCAAACTTGAACAATATCCGAATAAAGTTGAAATCTTTGACTTTGAAAATCTGAAATCCAAATAGATCCAAACAAATTCGTTTGCCCACTCCTAATCAATAATAAGCATGAAATTACAAAAATAAACTATGACAACACAAAATACAAATGGCAAAATCTTTGACAACACAAAATACAAATTGCAAAAAAAAAAAAAAAAAAGAAGTTTATACTAATTTAGAAAAACTTAAAAAGAAAGAAGATTAAAATAATGATAATAATTTTTGATTGATTCAATAGATATATACAAAACATCATCTTAATATTTTTTTTAAAAAAAATCTATAAAATAAAGTTAGATAATGATTATCATTAGGTAATATCAAAACACTATACTACAGTAGAACCTCTATAAATTAATACTCGATAAATTAATATACACTAAATATCTCTATAAAATAATATAGTTTTATAGTCCCAAATTGAGTTTTCGGTTTGATTAGTATATCGATAAATTAATATCTCTCTAAATTAATAAAAAATAAAATTTTGGAGTAGTCCCAACATTATTAATTTATAGAGGTTTCACTGTATTTCTAACATAGCATATCAAACAAAAACATTGGGATCATCACATACAGTATAACCTCTTTAAGTTACTAATCTATAAATTAATATAATTTTATAGTCCCAAATTGAATTTTTGGTTCAGTTAATATCTCGATAAATTAATAATCTCTATAAATTAATAAATTTTTTAGTTTTGGTGTAGTCCCAACATTATTAATTTATAGAGGTTTCACTGTATTTCATTTTTTATTTTGATAATTTTTATTATACTAATTAATTAATTTATAAAATAATTAAAATTATCTACAATTATGAAAACTATGACAAATAACCAAAACCATTAAAAACATGACAAGTAAGCAAAGTTATCTAAAATCATGGAGAGTATGACACATAATCAAATTTACCTAAAATTATGCAGAATGTGATAATCATCAAATTTACATAATAATATAGATTTTTGAAAATAAATAATTAAAGTATTAATTTGAATAGAATACAAAATTATTCGCTTGTCCTGCATGTCACCTGCATATTTTGGCGGGATGAATGCAGGTTCATTTTTACTTAGCAGGTTATGCATGTTAAATTTTTGAATTAAAAAATGATTCAATCCGCGACGATTCCACAACATGCATAATAATGTTTGATCATTAAAGACTGGGCCGGAATTTAAAAATATAAAGAAAAAGATGGTAAGAGAAGAAGGCTAGTTATCCTATAAAAGAGAGATTCTAAATATTTATATATCTTATTTTTCATATATACAAATCTTACTCAACTATTTTATCTTAACAATATTCCAACACAATTACCCATTAATATAAAACTAAACATATTATCATGTAATATATTTATTATATAACATGAATAAATAGACACAAAACATCATAATTTGTGAAAAATCACTACATATATATATATATATATATATTTGTGTAAGTGATTAACAAAAGTGTTTATAAGTAAGAGATGATCTTATTTATCTTTGATTCTTTTTAATCGAGTTAAAGTTCTTAAAAATGAATATCCATATGCTCTTCAATATAAATATCAAATTGTTTGAAAATAATAGTCAAAATTTTTGATATTAATTGGATAGTATTAACGTATATAATTTATTTTATCAAAAAGTAAGAAAAGTAAAAAAAATTAAGGATCAATTTACAATTGGAAAGTTCAGTTTAAAAAATTGAAACAATAAACATTTTGGTTTCAAATTTGAAGCAACATTATTCATTGTTTAATTGAAAGTAAGAAATTAAGCACTTTTGAAGCAAAATTTTCTTCAAAACAAAGCAAATTTGCTTCAAAATGAATTAAAAAGTGAAATATAAAAGACTATTGGAGATGGATTTAATTTCATGCACTATATATGATGCATTATTCATGTAGAAATTTTGTGCATCTTCTTCCATCGATATATGATGTAAAATATTAATTAATTTTGACTCTGGTTTAAAAAGTTGTAGATCTGTCACTGATCATAATAATATAGTGCAAAGAAGGAACATCGAGAGCAAGGAGAAACATGGACTCTATGAGGAGTCGGTTAGCTAAATCCTTGGATAGTATTATCGAAGTCCATGAATGCGAAGAAACCCCTTTCCTGTTGCTTTTCATCAAGGTGAAAGGGTGGATGGAGAAGTTTTCCCTTGAGATCATTTGTTTTAGCTATTAGAAATTCCATATTCTCCTCGTTTGTTGTTAGAGTCGCTTTGTAAGGTTACTGTTAATTTTTTCTAATCTATTATGTTACACAAAGATCGCAATGTGTTCCACACGAATACAACAAAAAGAATAAGATTTAATTATTTCAGAAAGTTTCAATTGAATTAACTTATCTGAAATTATTTTGATATTATTGAGATTTTATTTTTATAACTAATTATTAACCTTTATATAGAGATCAAATCATTGCAATTACAAGAGATACAACTCTTCATACAAAAGACACAACATGGAAAATTGCATATAGAACAAAGTTTTGATATAACAAATCCTAAATCAGTTTGAACTTTGAATTTATAGTCCATATCATGTGTACATTGGCTGTTAAGTTTCAAAAACAAAAGTCTGGTTGATTCAAGTGATTTTGGTCACCCACTAGAGATAATATCATAAGTTGGATTAATGGGTCACTGGGTGATTATGGCTAGCTTGGGGAGAATGTCCACATTCTTTGAAAATGTAATGAAAATTGTGTTCTTCTAATTATAAAAGAATAATAAAGATAATATTTATAAATGCCATGTTGTGATCTAAGAAACAGATCATGCAATCTTAGGTACAGATAATCCTTTATGATCTCATTATTGGTACATTAATTTTTTATTTAAGTTTTTATTTTTGCTTTCAACCTTTTTTCCCTTTTTAATTTGGAAAAGAGCTAAGCTTGGCTTTGATCATGATGAGTTTTCCCTGTTTTATTCTTTTTAAGATTGTGTTGAGAAAAACCATCTTCAAGTGAAACTTATATTTTGAGATTATATGATCATATTAATAAGTACTAACATAGGATTATACACAGCATGGATTTTATAAGAGATTATAGATATCTTTAATTCTTTACCTGACTGATTGATGATAATTTATTTGAATATACGAACTTTGTAACTATCTTTCTCATTGAAATTAATGAAAATAAACAGTAATGGATTTTGATTAAAAGGTGTTAAAAGAGTGGTGGGACTGTATAACAACTCAAAAGGATCGTTGTACTCAAAATGCATGATTTAAAAGCTAGTTGAACCTAGAGCTCGCTCTATATTCATATCACATATGAATCACATCACATGGCTCATCATTGTTTCAATGACATGATAACTAAAGTTGTAATGATCTACTCAACAACGAGTTTTAGTATATATGGACCACTATCAGCTTTAATTAATTTTCTATGCGGTAACTAGATTTGTGATAAATTGAGCTAATTATTATGGAATTTTGTAAAGTAATAGATATTCATTCCTAGTTCCTACATCTTTTGTAAAGTAATAGATGTTATACGCTACAAAATATAAAGACGAAATGTTTCTTTCATAACCTTAGAAGAAAAATGGAAGTTCAATCATAATATTTTTCTCATAAATAAAATTGTCAATATTATTTTAATGTCATTTTAGTAGATATATATAAACATTAATTCATCGTTGAAAATAAAACATCATTTTAAAATTTTCAAGAATTACCCTCAAGTACAAAGAAATCAAACCCAGATTAGTTCTTGATTTAAAGGAAAAAAAAAACTTCAAAGCTCGATATTTTTATTTTACTTTCTATATCAATGATTAAAATGTACTATCACTCATTGTTATCATTATTTTTTCTTTTCTCTTGAGGCAAAGATTATTTCACGAGTTTCATCTTATATATATGTTTCATGCGATATCATAACAATAATTAGACTAAAATATGATATGATCTAACTTTACATCTTTACATAATTTCTTGAGTTTTTGTAAGTATAGATACGTTGACAAGCCACATGTTCTTTTATCACAAGCCAAAAGTGTCAACAAATAAAGGAGAAAAAGAATTCATGAATTGCATAGTTTATTTTGCAATGAAGGTGGACCAATGTCAAGTGATTGGTTATGAAGCAAAAGGAGAGTTTGAACAAGTCAGTAATCATAGACAATGAAAGTGACAGATGGTAAAGGAGATAGAGAGGATCCTATATTTAGACATCAGTTAGAACTCATCTCTTCACAAGTGTCTGAATCTCCACATCATCACTTCTTTTCCTCTCTTCCACAAAATTTGATTCAACAGATTCCTCTCCTACATCCTATTAGAAAATCCACTGTTACATCATTGATTTTTGTGTTAACGTGAAACATACTTAGGTTGTTGTCTTCGAGTGAACTTTCATTGTAATGGCAAAGAAGAGGTCATGGTTCGGTTGGATAAAAAGACTATTCATCTGCGAGGCCAAAGCAAAATCAGAGAAGGTTTTGTTTCTTTTCTCTTGTGATACCTTTGGTCAATGCTTATGAATCTAAAATGGTTATTTTTTTTTGTTAGAAGCCAAGGAGATTGAGATGGGTGTTTAGAAGACTAAAGCTGAGACATCAGATTGCAACTCCAGTGCAAGAAACAAGGACACTGAACAAAGCAACAGAGGATCAAAGAAAACATGCCATGAACGTAGCCATTGCCACAGCAGCAGCAGCTGAGGCAGCCGTTGCAGCCGCCAAGGCAGCTGCTGAGGTTGTCCGGATGGCGGAAAACGCCTTCACGTCACAACATTTTGTCAAGAAACGAGATACTAATCTGGCAGCTATCAAGATTCAGAGTGCCTTCAGAGCTTATCTGGTTAGACACTCTCTTAGTCTCTACTGCTTGAAGGCTTATTCTCTTGCATGTGTTTTGATCTTTTGTGTATTGGTTACAAAACAGGCGAGAAAAGCGTTGCGGGCACTGAAGGCACTTGTGAGGCTTCAAGCCATTGTGCGTGGCCGAGCTGTTAGGCGAAAGGTTTCTTCAACAACAGAGAGAAAACAAGAAGTTAAGATACCAAAACGTTCGATGTGTAATGGTAAGAATGGTTGGGATAGTAGCGCTCTCACAAAAGAAGACATCAAAGCTATATGGTTGAGGAAGCAAGAAGGTGTGGTCAAACGTGAGCGTATGTTGAAATACTCTCGTTCTCATCGGGTAAGCTCACTCACTCTCTCTTGGGGTCTTTCTATAACATAGTCAGTGTCTCACTCAATAGTTTTTGCAGGAGAGAAGAAGTCCTCACATGGTTCTTGAGTCACTGTACACAAAGGACATGGGGATGAGAAGCTGTAGGCTTGAACATTTGGGTGAAATGGTTGTCCCTACAAAAGTAAAGGTTAGAAGTTTGCAGAGACAAGACTCTGGTGATGGACAAGAGTCTCCATTTTCTTTTCCAAGGAGATCTTTCAGCCGTCTTGAGCAGAGTCTGTTGGAAGATGAGAGTTGGCTCCAAAGTGGCTTCCAGCCTTACATGGGAGTGACAGAGTCTGCAAAGGAGAAGTTTAGATCGCTGAGTACACCGAGGCAACGTGTAGGGGTCATGGATACTTGATTTGATAAGAAGAAGGATGAGGAGGATAAAGTATCTCTATGGTCTTCCTTTGTCAGTGAAAATAGTAAGATGAGAAGCAGCTCCAAGAAGTTGGCTCTGGCTACAAATCAACATTTGTTGTTAAAATCTTGAACGTTCATGACATTTTCTATGGTTTTTGTCTTTTCTTTTCTTTTGTTTGGTCTCACATCTCATATGCTCTTTATAGATATATTCTTTGAGGGGGTTTTAGTGTGTTCATTTATGTTCTTGAGGATTTGGAAGCATGTTGTTTATCAGTCTGATTCTTTTGTTTTAAACTTTTGATTAAGAAATGAGACATGTTTAGCCTGCAGATCTTTCTGTAGGCAAAGGTGGAGCAAGAAAATGGCGAAACAGTCACAGCTTAAAAAGAACACTGATGACTATGATAATGATAATAACACTTCAAAAATAATATGGATTCTATAAACGGCGCCGTATTATGGCTGATAATATAGGACACGTCACTGAAACGTAAAAAAAGGGAACCAATCGACGGCTGTTAAATAGGACACGTCACTGAAAGGATAAAACAGAACCAATCAAAAGGTTTGATTCTTTCAGGATAAAACTAAAGAGTTTGAGACAGAGTTTGTTGAGCTTCTTCTTCGATCACTACTTTATGGAGGCTCTGCAACTTTCGAGCCGTTTGTCAGTGAATAATAGAGTTACGTGCACTCAGAATTGGACGGAGAGACGAGCAAGTAGAGCTACGTTTTGTTCTGCATTCACTGGAACCACCAATTCAGCGTCTCTCTCTGCTTCTAAGAACACCTCCTCCACGGTACTTGCCTTCAACCACTTTTTTTCTTTTTCTCTTAATTTTGGTTATGTTTTATGGTTATTTAAGTGTTGTTTGTGTTGTTGAGTTAGAGGGAGATATGGAGTTGGGTGAAGTCGAAGACGGTTGGACATGGAAGAAGTTACAGAAGGAGCCAAGTGAGAGCAGAGATGTTTGGTCAGTTGACTAGTGGGCTCGAGGCTGCTTGGACCAAACTCAAAGGAGAAGGTTCGACTCAAAACATTTTTTTTTCTTGTTTTATTGTTAAGGAGAGTATCTCTTATAAGCATTTTGGTTCATAAGCAATGTATTAGAGAGATCTAATTTTCTTGATTTTTTGGAAATGAAGTGAATTAAACAATCAATTAGAGGGCATTGTAGTATTATATTTCCACTAGCAGAAGTAGAAAGAAAGCATGAGTTTCGGTTTAAACGCTAGCTAAGGCTATTTTGGAACTTGCAGAGGTGTTGACAAAGGAGAATATAGCTGAGCCAATGAGGGATATCAGAAGAGCTCTCCTTGAAGCGGATGTGAGTTGGTGCTTGTTTTGTAGAGAAGGAGTGTGAATGTCATTTTTTAGTTCCTTACGGCTTTTTTTGTTTAACAGGTGAGCCTCCCTGTTGTTAGAAGGTTTGTTCAGTCTGTTAGTGACCAAGCCGTTGGACTAGGTGTCATTCGAGGAGTCAAACCAGACCAGCAGTTGGTCAAGGTTAATACTAGCTATTAGTCTCTTCTTAACCTTGTGCTCATTTGAGTTTTTTTTTCAATTCAACTTAAGCTTGACCTTTACGGGTTTATTGTTGTAGATTGTACATGATGAACTAGTGAAGCTGATGGGTGGAGAAGTATCTGAGCTCCAGTTTTCTAAGTCAGGTCCTACTGTTATATTGTTGGCTGGACTACAAGGAGTTGGGAAGACAACCGTTTGCGCTAAACTCGCTTGTTACCTAAAGAAGCAGGTATTATTTTCAGTGGAGACCTTTGGTGGGATTGTCACTCTTTGTCAAATTATAAGTTGAGATCATATTTTACAGGGAAAATCTTGCATGCTTATTGCTGGAGATGTGTACAGACCTGCTGCCATTGATCAACTTGTCATTTTAGGTGAACAGGTAATGTATTTTGGACTTTTGAATCATCATGTAACACTTGTAGAAGGGGATTAAGAAAATCTATATATGAAAATGTAAATGGTATTCTATTCCTTAAACACATGTTTTCTCTGATGATCTCATTTGTGGCAGGTTAGTGTACCGGTTTATACCGCAGGGACTGAAGTAAAACCTGCAGATATAGCTAAGCAAGGTCTACAAGAAGCTAAGAAGAATAATGTTGATGTAGTTATCATGGATACTGCAGGGAGGCTGCAGGTAATCTTTCTTTCTTTCTTTCTTTGCCTGTAACACAATGCCTTAGTCATGATTTGGCCTCTTTGTGACAGATAGATAAAGGGATGATGGACGAATTAAAAGACGTGAAGAAAGTTCTGAATCCCACAGAAGTGTTGCTAGTTGTTGATGCTATGACTGGACAAGAAGCTGCAGGTTCTCTGTTTTGATTTTTTTTTCTATTAAACTTGTGCATGTGTATTAGTTTTCTTGATTTCTTTAGGCTCTGATGTATACATATCATTAACTTTTAGTATTCTTCCCACAGCGTTGGTGACGACATTCAATGTAGAGATAGGAATCACAGGAGCCATATTGACAAAGCTAGACGGCGATTCAAGAGGTGGTGCTGCTTTGAGTGTCAAGGAGGTTGATTCTTCTTCTTTATTACCATTCTCTCATAACAAATCTGTTGAGATGAACCATTTTGATGGGTTAAGAACATCACTAGGTTTCTGGAAAGCCAATAAAACTGGTAGGACGTGGAGAGCGAATGGAGGATCTTGAACCCTTTTATCCCAATAGAATGGCTGGAAGAGTTTTAGGAATGGGAGATGTGCTTTCATTTGTAGAGAAGGCAGAAGAAGTTGTAAGGCACAATCAAAACTTTCTTTCTTTGTCCTTCTCTTTCTCCTTTTGCTGATGTGTATTATTCATATATAATAGATGCGTGAAGAAGATGCGGAAGATTTACAGAAGAAGATAATGAGTGCAAAGTTCGACTTCAACGATTTCCTAAAGCAGACTCGTGCTGTTGCCAAAATGGGATCCATGACACGAGTTCTTGGAATGATCCCTGGAATGGGGAAAGTGAGTCCTGCGCAGATAAGAGACGCTGAGAAGAGTCTTGTAATCATGGAAGCAATGATCGAAGCCATGACACCTGGTTTTTGTTTCTTCTTTCATCTCATTTCATTTAATACAAAACAATGTCTTATTCTCGTTTGGTTGCGTTGGACAGAGGAAAGGGAGAAGCCAGAGTTACTAGCGGAATCTCCAGAGAGAAGGAAAAGAGTTGCTAAAGATTCAGGAAAAACAGAACAACAGGTACTCACTCTCTCTCACTCAGCTTGTGTCAGATCTCAGATAAGGAAAAGATTCAGTATGGTATGTTGTTGTTTAGGTGAGCCAACTTGTGGCACAAATATTCCAAATGAGAGTGAGGATGAAGAATTTGATGGGAGTAATGGAAGGAGGATCCATTCCTGCTTTAAGCGAGCTTGAGGACTCAATGAAAGCACAACAAAAGGTTTCTTCTTCTTCATCAACTTCCACATTGTGAACAGAGAGAGTCTAATATGGGTTGTGGTGAATGAATCTTATTCAGGCTCCACCTGGAACCGCAAGGAGGAAGAAGAGAAAGGCGGACTCAAGGAAGAACTTTGTGGAGTCTGCATCAAGCAATCCAGGTCCTCGTGGCTTTGGCAACTAAAACACACCTGTTTCAGTCTTTGGGAACACTTGCTACAAACTCTAAATGATTTTGTAATATTCCAACTTCAAATTAATTTCAAATTTCTAAATGCATATAAATATAAGTCAAAACAAAATGCATAATGACATTTAATTTCACATACACGTACACTAAAAACCTTTATAAATCAATAATGTTTGGTTTTAAAATTTTATTAATTTATATAGATATTAGTTACAAAAAGAATTTTATTTATTTTTTTATTTAAAGATAACTTTATTTTAAAATAAAAAAAATATTTTAGTGTATGTACATTAATGATTATTGTTTAATATGATATTTATATTAATTATATTATATAATTTGATGTATGTAATATATATTGCATAGAATTTACAAATTATTTAATAAGACTTTTTTTTATTTTTTTTTTATTTTTGTGTGAAAATCCAAAACACAAAGTAACACCTCTATGTGAATATATGGTCTCATTAAAATTATAAATTAATAATTTATTTATATACATATTTTATTAAGTAACAATCTATTATTATATTATTTGTTTTATATTTACAATAAAATTATCTTTATACTAATTTGACAAAAAAGAAAAAATAATTTATTTGTAAGGGCAGCCCGGTAGTATCTTTGGGCTTCAAACCCACAACAACCTTCATATTGTCAACCGAATTAACCGAAATTCCAAATTGAAATATCTCCGGTTAAGGAGAATTATCACCCTCAAATTGAAATATATTCGATTCGGTTCGATTCTCTCTGTTTTTGAGTAGTAGACAAAAAATGCCATTTCTCCTCCGCCCAACTCCTCCGCCCTGTTTCCTCCTTCCTCCTCCGCCGCAGTGCCACCAACGTAGCTCCCCTCTCTTCTTCAAACTCTCAATCCGTCCATCTCCTCGCCATCCGATCTCTAAAAAATCCTCTGTTTTTCTCACCAGGGCCACTCTAAAACCCTTCGAGAATGTTAAACCCTATCTCCAATCCGAATCCAAAACCATCCTCTCCGGCTGGCTCTGCAGCTTCGTCTCCGTCTTCTCTCTCTCCCAGATCATCCCCAGGATCGGCTCCTTCACCTCCAACCTCAACGCCAACGCCTCCTCCCCTGCAAATCTCACAAACGCGGGTCTAGTCCTTTCCGCTCTGTTCTTAGCCAGAGTCGTCGCGGGGTATCTCCAGCAAGCGTATCTCTGGGAGGCTTCTCTCAACTCCGTTTACAAGATTCGCGTTTTCGCGTATCGGAGAGTGTTGGAGAGGGAGCTTGAGTTCTTCGAAGGTGGGAAGGGGATCTCGTCTGGAGATATCGCGTATCGTATCACTGCTGAAGCTTCTGAAGTTTCCGACACTATCTACGCTCTTCTCAACGTTAGTGTGTAATAATAATTAAAAAAAAAATTATTACTTTGTGAAAAAAGTTTATTCTTTTGCTGACTGTAAGCTTGACACGTGTTTGCAGACAGTTGTGCCAAGTGCTTTCCAGATATCTGCTATGGCTACACATATGGTTGTTGCAAGTCCTGTCCTTACACTAGTCTCTGCTATGGTTAGTGTGAAGCTATGTGAACAAAAATATATTATATGTTGTGTAAGAGGTCTGAATGATCGCTGGGACGAAACTAATATTAATGTTTTGGTCTTCGAGCATTTTAAGTTTTTTTTTCAAAAAAAAATGTGGAAAATATTGTCAGTTCAAGCATTTTAAGTTTTTTTTTTTCAAAAAGAATGTGGAAAATATTGTTAGTTCAAGCATTTTAAGTTTTTTCTTTGTAAGAGGTCCCTATTGATCGATGGGACGAAACTAATATGAATATTATATGTTGTGGTTTCGAGTCTGGGAGCATTTTGAGTTTTTTTTTTTTTAGAATGTGAAACATATTGTCAGTTTAAGCATTTTAAGTTTTATTCTTTGTTTTGATTTTTTTTAGGTGATTCCATCTGTTGCGCTTGTGATAGCGTTTCTTGGTGACAGGCTTCGTAAGATATCAAGAAAGGCTCAGATTGCTTCTGCTTCACTTTCGGCTTACTTGAATGAAGTATTAGTCTCTGATGATTCCTCTGTTCTTTCACTTTGAGTATTTTTTTTTTAAAAAACTAAAGTAGATGATGCTTTTATTATCTATAGGTGCTTCCTGCGATTATGTTTGTGAAGGCGAATAACGCAGAGGTTTCTGAGACTGTGAGGTTTCAGAGGTTTGCTCGTGCTGATCTATCTGAACGTTTTAAGAAGAAGAAAATGAAGTCACTTATCCCTCAGATTGTTCAAGTTATCTATCTCGGATCATTGTCCGTGTTTTGTGTTGGAGCTGTGACACTTGCTGGCTCTTCGTTAAGCTCTGGTGCGATTGTGTCCTTTATGACATCATTAGCTTTCTTGATTGAGCCTGTCCAGGTACAAATCTACTTTTGCTTAGTTTAGTAGACATCTGCTTAAAGCTTCTATACTTTAAGGAGCTGTCTTATTGGGATTTTGAATCTGAAGAATGATGCAGGATCTAGGAAAGGCTTATAATGAATTGAAACAAGGAGAGCCAGCGATAGAGCGTTTGTTTGATTTAGCCTCCTTAAAATCTAAGGTAGTTTACCAATTCAGAGGTTTTGGTCTATGTCAAAAGCTGATTTGGTTGCGTTTTGAAAACTAGGTGATAGAGAGACCTGAAGCCATTCATCTAGAAAAGGTTGCAGGGGAGGTTGAACTGTGCAATGTTTCGTTTAAATATGGAGAAGAGATGCTTCCTGTTTTAGATGGGTTGAATCTTCATATAAAAGCAGGAGAGACTATAGCCCTTGTTGGTCCATCTGGTGGAGGGAAGACGACACTGATCAAATTGCTTCTCCGCCTTTACGAACCTTCCTCTGGTACACACATGACACAACTCTTGTTTCTTTACTTGTCCCATCGTGGTCACAATGTTTCTGTTTTCACTTTTATAGGCTCTATCTATATTGACAAAAAGGACATCAAGGATATCAAACTGGAGAGTTTGAGGCAGCATGTTGGTCTGGTTTCACAGGACATTGTAAGTGCCACTCCTCAAATTATATTCTTTTTTTTTTTTGAAATTCATCCCAGCGTTGTTTACAATGAATGGTTCATCGTAGTAACTTTGCTTTTCTTTTCTTTTCCTACACATACAAGACTCTGTTTACGGGGACTGTTGCTGAAAACATTGGGTACAGAGATCTCACTACAGGAATTGACATGAAGAGAGTTGAGCATGCTGCAAAAACTGCAAATGCTGATGAGTTTATCAGAAACCTACCAGAGGGATACAACACAGGAATCGGCCCCAGGGGTTCAAGCTTAAGCGGAGGCCAGAGACAGAGGTTGGCTCCAAAACCAGTTTCATATAGTCTATCTCATCAGGTTTTAGTAATTCAGGTGCTTATAGTGTTGTTGTTAACAATGGCAAATGTGCAGACTAGCTATAGCAAGAGCGCTGTATCAGAACTCATCCATCCTGATTCTGGATGAAGCGACATCAGCATTGGATAGTATGTCGGAGTTGCTAGTCAGACAAGCTCTTGAACGAGTAATGCAAGACCATACGGTAACAACAAGCATCCCAAGCTCTTCCCTTCTAAACAAACATTTTAAGTGAATGTTTTCATTTACAGGTAATTGTGATTGCACATAGACCGGAGACAGTGATGATGGCGCAGAGGGTGTTCTTGTTGGAGAAGGGAAAGCTGAAGGAGTTAAGTCGCTCTTCTCTGTTAAGTACTCACAAGGACTCACTTTCATCAGCTGGATTTGTGATTTAAGATCTATGGGATATGATCAAGAGCAGGTAGAGATCATCTGTTCTGTATATAAAGAGAAGATACAACGTTCCTCTTTGTGTAAACTATACCATTATTGTTTAAAAATAGGATGAACATATCCCTCTTTTAGTTGTAATCGTAAGCCTTTTTGCTTTATCTTCTAGCATCGCTAGGGTACATTGTTGTAACTGAACAGATCCCTCTTTTAGTATCTGACAGTAATGATAATCAGGTCCTTCTCTTGTATGTATGAATTATAATCGATGGTTTGTGACCTTGTAAAACTGAAAACGAACTGTTGTAAATGCAGAATATGCTGCAACAGCAGTAACTACGTATAGAGGTCATACTAGAAAAGATGGACTAGTTGAAACAGCCAGTTGAAAAAGAAAAAATAAAATGATTCTTGCCAGTGTCACAGAGAAGATTCCGACAAAGCACAATCTATGAGAGTATCAGTGGGACTAAGATTTTTATAGAATTAATTTACTTTTAAAATTGTGAGATTTGTCAAATTTGGAAAAAATGGTAGATAATTTTTTATATTATGAAAATCTATGAAAATAAATTACTATAATAATTTTAAGAATCCAAAGAATATATGTAGTATTCTCCAAATTTTATTTTGTGAATTAAAAATTTAAGAATACAATTCACAATGACACTTATTTTAATAGAATCGTAAAATTATAAAAAATCTAATTTTTGATTAACAAAATTTTTTTGTATAAAATTATAAAATTAGTAACACTAATTTTTAATAAGAATGTGAGAATTTGTAACTAATAACACTAGTTTTAAATTATTTTATAATCATTAAAAATTCAATCCTCATTAACATCTTCATAACAGTTATTTCAGGTTCATTCTTATTTCCTCGCCTAAATCAAGGACTGAAAAACTACATAAAAACAACAACAATAAATGAATAATCAAATCCGACATGATCCTAAATATGATTTAAATTAATAAATTATTCTGGTGGTCGCTCCAAATCATAACTCCCTAATCAAATTTGTTCATTAAGAATAATCAGATCTACTATCATTGACAGCCTGATTAATATTGGTGTAAGGCACTGCAATCAACACAGTCTCCAAGATTTCAGTTCTATCTTCAGTGATAACAAGAATATTCTAAAAAATGAGAACATCTAAAGCCAAGAGCATCATTGATTCTATGATGAGTTTGTCAGTGTAATCTTTGGATCTCACATAAGAATCGGAGAAGAAAAAGAAAATCAAATAAATAATAATAAACCAAGGAAAAAAATAAATGTATCAATAAGCATAAACCAAAGAAAAAGTAATATACCAACACCGGCTGGTATGTATTTGATACAATATACATATTTTCAAAATTTTATGATTCGGAATCCAATTTAACAAAGATCAATGTACTGTCTAACGGTAAAATTGTTCTTGATATCATTGTATCCTATAAGCTTCTCACGTTCAGCGAAGATACTTGAAGGCCTTAGTAATTAGAGTCTTGGAATCGTAACCAAATCACTTATATGATTATCACATCAAATTCTATAGTTAAAAACTTTATTTAACACTTTTGCGTAGTTTTAAATTTAAATAACTAAACTAACAAAATAGTTATAAAATTTAGTACATTTGCAGTTAGTCTTACAGGATTAATGCATGCAAATTTTAAGAATTAAATTTTACACAAAAAAGAGATCTAACTCAAATACCATCTAGACAAGATTAGTGCAATTTTTAAAACTTAAATTTTATAACTGATTTTCTCAATATATAAAATAGTCAAGTGACTCAGTTTTTTCTATAATATACTTAAAACAGATCATTTAACTACTAAGATTAATTAAAAAATTACAACACTTAGCATAACATAAATTTGAAACAAATATAATAAACTTTTCTATTAATATGGTCGAGAGAGTATAATTAATATAGTAAGATTGATGATAATTTAACAACTTGGTGGATGCCAATAAAATTACAATAAAATTAAAATGAAAGAAACTTGTTTAGTGTAAGATTTATTTGGTCTTAATTTTAGTATGTGTTTGTAGTAATAAAATAACTCAACCGAAGATGGATCGTAACCAAAAAGTCCAATGAAAGAAATGCTGAACTTTAATTATGTTAACTTTTGTCACCCTCCCTTTAAGTGACATGCATTAACAGTTTGTAAGTTAAGAGTTTAACATGTTGAAAACTTAATTGACTTATTATTAAATATTTTAAAACAATTATTATCACTTATGCATTATTTAGAACTCTTATAATCAATTTATAAATCTTTAAACTAATTTATAAATCTTTAAACTCATTTATAAATCTGTATACATTATTTTATCAGTCTGATAACCTATTTATACTATGGTTTTGTTTCATAGTTCTTCCCAATGTTGTTTATAATGGTTTATCATATACAAAACTCTGTTTGCATGGACAGTTGCTGAAAATATTGGGTACAGAGATCTAACAACAAGAATTGAGATGAAGAGAGTTGAGCATGCTGCCAAAACTACAAATGCTGATGAATCTATCCGAAACCTACCAGAATGATACAACACATGAATAGGTCCCAGAGGTTCCAGCTTAAAGATGATTAAAACCAAGTGATTGTTTCTTTCTTTCATTAAAGAACCAAAACGAGTTTCATATAATCTTTCTCTTCAGGATTTAGTAATCCAGGTGCTTATGGTATTTGTTGTTGCTATAAAGAGAAGATACAACAACATTACTCTGTTTTGTAAATCATTCCATTATTGTATAAAAATAGGATGAACATATATGATTTTGTTGAGCTAGAAGCCTACAGAGTTTTGTATCTTTCCCTAGTAATGCCTTTTGATGATACATAGCAAAAAAAAACTTGTGACATGGTACAAGCAAATAAACAAAATATCAAATTTTGGTTTCTACACATGTAAAAGAAGAATGATTCACTGCTTCACCATGAAGGAGCTTTTACAACTGCATCCACCCACTGCTGCCGGATTTTCAGCCACCTGAACACACATCAAACATTAAAGATCAAATGAGTTTCTCGAAAACGGTTATGGCCCTCTTCTGACATGTACAAAACATTCTATCTGTTTCACAAAACACAGGCCACAACATATGATATGTTACAAACAAGAATGCTTCCACTAATGCTCTATATAAGCAAGTAATGGAAAATAAAAGAATGGAAGATGGGGGGAGTAACTAACTATCAAGATTATAAAGTCTCGAAGGCTCTTTACCACGAAAGCAGAACGGATAAGCTCCTCCACGTAATCAATCGTAGCACCTTTGACAAAGTCATATGAGACATTATCTACAACCAGTTTGACACCGTCCTTCTCAAACACCCTGACAACGGTTTAAAGAAAGCTACATCTGAGAGACATAATAAACAACCGTGTGCAACACTGGAGAAGAGAATCAATCGTGATTCTTTTACCTTGAGGGAGAGAGAGAGTACTAGTAATAATACCTGTCATCAGGATTGGTTGTGTGATCAAGCTCAAAGACATACTGGAAACCAGAACAGCCTCCAGTTTCAACACCCAAGCGAAGCAGCTTCTTCTCCGGCTCACTAGCTTGCAACTCTTTCATTCTCTGAAAGAAAGAAAAAAAAAGGACAAACTCATAAAAAGGTCAAGACAGAACAACAAGTAACGTCTCTCTTAACATTCCAAACAAGGTCTTATCAATGGAAAATGACAGAAAGTAAGTTGAGAACTCTTGAGAACAACAGATATGATAAGAACATGCGCAATAATAGCCAAACACTAGCCAGGGATTAACAAAAAAAAATTCATTTAATTCATTACTAATGAAGCAAGTTGCAGACACTTGTTCATGTTCACAGATTCAACAGAGCCACTGAATATCTTTGGAAAGCAAATTCATAAAAGGGCAAAGACAGAACAACAAGTAACGCCTGTCCTAACGTTCCAAACAAGGTTTTTATCAATGGAAATGACAGAGAGAGTTGAGATATGATGAAAGATGCGCAATCACTAGCCATGGACTAACGAAATTTCATTAATTTCATTAATAATTAAGGAAGTTACAGATTGTTCTTTTAAGATCACACACATATTCAACATAGCTAATGTATATCTTTGCAAAGAAACTTATCAACTTCATACATGATTCATATCATTTATTTAAATTCAAGTAAGTAAGGTCGCAAAAAGGATATTCCTTTTCTCCCATTTCCATTGAAAGTTGTAAACTTTATACCCGGATACAATTGTCGCTAAGATGGACAGCTTCTAGAGAAGAAGGAGACTCAGAAGAAGCTTCTTTGAGAGCAGAAGAAGAAGCGGAAGAACAATAATTAAGCACCCTATGATTTTCTCTAATTCGAGCAGAGAGATAGGGACCAAAGCGTTTCACCAGAGATCTCGACGACATCTTCTTTTCACAATCTTGAATATTCGATTTTAGAGCTTTCTCGCCATGGAAGACAAATCTGTTTCAAGCTCTCTCTGGAAAGTTTCTTCTCCGACAAAACATAAAAAAAACAGAGAAAAGGTTTGGTCACCACGCTTGTTTTTGAGAGCGTCCACGTAAATCTATTTCTTTGTTGCTCCCCCACAACTTCTAATCTTTTTCCAAATCGGCCCCATTAATTTGTTTTATCATCATTTTCGTCCTTTATATGCTCTCTTTCACCCAACTTCAATAGCATAGAATAAGACAATGAATACAAAGAGAATCATAATGCATATTATTCTCATAGTAAGAAAATGGACTTTTGTATATCCATATACATATGTACATAAGAGACGGTGGATTTGGTCACCACGCATATTCTAAGGATCTCTTGAATGCATAACATATAAACCAAGAGTACATGACCAAGCGTGCAGGTATGGTTGTGTTAGTTCTTTTTAACTTTAGAGACTTAAGAAAACCAAAGACTTCCTCTGTCTCAAACAATGTCTGTATATAGTATGTACCATGGCTTCTTTCATCCGCAGCAACTTGATGAGTATCCAAGTAAGTTATTGAGACAGTTCTGTGTTGCCGGATCAAGTGTGAGTTGCTGTCACAAGTCCCTGGAATCAAAATGCAAAGTTGAGACTGAGATTAATAGATGCACGCCATCATATAGAACTATTAGTAGTTGCAAGCCAAAGACAATGTGAAGCTGTATCTTTCTCACTTACCTGATTTCACTTTTTTTTTTAATCTGATTTTTCCACCTCTCGGAATCGTTTGTCCCATTCCTCTGCCTCATAGTCTTGTTCAATCATATCTTTATCTGTAGTATACACGATCCTCTCCTTCCCTATCACTGTATTTTGAGCCATATCCCTTGCACTTAGTAACTGCATTGCATCAGTTTTAAAAGGCGTTATTACATAGATCCCATTTGCCTATATTTATTGCAGTATACATTCTACCTAGATATATATATATATATAACCACTGGAGTGAGTGCCTACCTTACGCCGTAGAGAGATATCAGGAGATTCAAGTGCTCGTGCAAATTGTAGCCGAGCTTTGTTTCTATTCTCTATCTGGTCATTCTTTCTCTTGACTGAAAACCACCGAACCAAAGGGATGGCAAAGAATGAACCTGCATATACCTGCATAGTCGTTTGTACAAGTCAATCGAAATAGTTTGAAACCAGAAGTATCTGATAAAAAGAAGCTAAAGCACACCTGAAGCAGTGGATAAATGTTCTTAACAAATGTAAGGAACCCACTTGGTGTGACAGCCATCTCCCTGTTAACGAAGACAAAAAAAAACAAGGTTGCGTTAGAGGTGTATATATAAAATACACACAAGAGACTGTTACGTGGAGTATAATCTTAGAGAGGAGCTTACTTTAGCAAGGAGTTTAGAACAACGACACCAAAGAGATTAACCGCACCTAGGCCAATGACCAATGCTCTCTCGGATGAACTAGTTTTACTATGAAAAGAAGATACCATTAGCACCAACTGTGAACTACAAAAGCTATAAACACTTTACAGAAGCAAAACAAGGATAAGAACCTGAATTGCCATTTTTTCTCCTTGAAGAACTTGTCCATATCTGCAACAAAGTCAAACCATTTCCCCACGTATTCCTTTCTTCTACTAGATCCGGAAGCTGAGCGTTGCAGGGATGGAAACCGATACAGAATATTTCCCTAAAACAACAGAAAAATAAGTTTTAATATGAGTAACATTGGCATCATATATAAAGCAACCAAAAAGAAGTTTTGTATACCTCATCATCCAACTCAGGTTGACCATCAAACCGTAGAAGAACAGGAAGAATGTAGGATTCATCGCTCTGTAAACATCAAAAAGAAAACTTAAGAAGCAATGTCTTTTACATTATATAATACTACAACTAGAGCGAGACGTAAAGAAGAACCAGCACAAAGACAGATAGCAGCATATAGAGTTAGTTCTCATTAGCTCCTCTTTCAAGAAACAACAAGCAAGACATACCGCGGCACTCTTGGACGATGACACATCAAGGTATGGAGCAAGTTCGTCAGCTGCAACAACACCTCCTCTATCAGTTATATACCGCCCAATCTGCAAATAGGTGACAGGAGCGAGTACATCACTAGAATTTCATTATGGGATGATATATAGTTTCATATTCAAATCTCATTTTGACAAAAAGATGTTATATATAACCACCAATATTCTTATTAAACATAGACTGAAACTAAAGACTTGAATAGGTTCAAGCACATGTAGCAAAAAAAAAACATGAGTAGATTGAAGTTCTGGACATTACCATCTGCCACCTCTCTTCTTCTATTCCTTGGTTTGGGTCTCCATCTCCAAATACAAAGGAGAAAACCTACAAATAAACCATTAATTTAATTCAAAGTTACTATCACTCAGCAGCAACTGGTAAAGCACAGCATGAAAGCTTTTCAAGTTCAGTTTCATCTTACAGATTCAATGAAATTCATTTCCTTTCCTTCATCTTCTCGAGCTCGCCGCCTTCTGTAATAGTTGGGATCCCAATACCTTACATAAAAACACTAGAAAACATCACTAGGAGCTTACATTATATCAACTTATGTCTCTCTATTGGTAAGAGTAGAACCTTTTAAATTCAAGAAAATCAAATTACCAAAATAGATCGATAGGATTGATATAAAAATTGAATCCAGAATCATATCCACGCCCACGTCTTCTCTGACGATTATCATCCTCACTTTAAACCAATTCCAAAAAGGTTAGTCCACAATTCAAAACCAATGCCATTCCCCAGAATGAGTATATATAACACAAGTCAGTACCTTCTGCTTGAAATCAAGACTATAATAGTCGTGTAGACAATAACAATAGACGCAATAAGCGCAGTGCCAAATGAAACACGAGTTAAATAGTCTGCAGCACCCTGTCAGCCACAAAAAAAAACAACATAAACCTCAAATGATAAAGTAAAACCATTCAAGTTAAACTCATAACCAAAGACACTACCTTTGCCTTCTCAAGAAACGGTTCAATCTGTACCCTTAACGACTTAGTAGCTAACTTAGACCGATACTCCCTTGGGAAAACATAAAGCACATCACCTTCATCCGAAACCTAAATGAAAAAAAAAAACGTTAGCATTCTAAATTCACACATAAAGATCAAAACTTTATACCTTAAAGGAAGAAACTTTAGCATTATCAGACAACTAAAAAACAAAAAAAACACATAAAGATCAAAACTTTATCAAAACCTCAAGAAACCCATCAGTGTCAGCAGCGAGAGCTTGAAGAGCTTTCTGAGCTTCACTAACATTCAAACCAGCTCTACTCGCCACGTCACCAACAGTGACTCTCCGACCACACTCGTCCACAGCTTCCATAGCTCGTTTCCTGACATCCGTAGGTATCTTGTCGCTCTCCACCAATCCTCCCGGTCTGATTGCGTTGCTAAACTTATCAATACTCGCTGCCTTCACCACCGTGATTCCATGGCTTTTGAACTTCCGGCGACTGCTCGGGAACCTCTCCGTTAGCTTTACGGGAGATCTGAGGGGAAGTAAAGACTTTTTTGATGAGAACTCTGATTGAGTTAGCTTAGGGGAGATGAGTAAGCATGTCGAGACACAAGCCATTCTCTAATTTTTACAGCTTCTTCTTCTTTAGTTTCGAGTTTCCGCCATGGGAGATGTTTTTGTATGGTTCAAAATCGAAAAGGTTTAGGATTTTTCCAAAGGCTACGAAGTGAGAGTAGGGAAGCAGTAGATCCATAACCGATTCTAACCGGTCGGTACAACTCTAATTAATCCCGGTTATTGTTTCCTATTACTCACTCCGTTTCGAATTTATTGTCATTCTAGATAAAAAAATTTTGTTTCAAAATAAATGTTGTTTTAGAGTTTCGAAACAAAATTTATTAATTTTATATGATAATATATTTTTTATTGGCTGAAAAGTGGTTAGATGTATAGATAATTGTGTTTTTATTTTGAAAATATGTAAAATTAAATGTTTTCTTAATCTGTGTCTAAAAATCTAAAATGACAATTAAAATGGAACGGAGAGAGTATTAATTTTCACCCCCCCCCTTTTTTTTACTATTTTCACCTTATTAGTGATTTTACTGCTCATTTGTTTATAGTTTTACTATAATTTTGTTTTTACTATAATTTTTCTGCAGTAGTTATGGTGACTTTCAGATTTCTAACATGATTTATCTACGTAAATATCAGACAAGGTACTTCCTGTCTTCTTGCTACAAAGATATCTAAAACAAGATATTAAAAATGCAAAGTGCATAGAAAGAAAAAAAACTTGTCATCATTAATATATATATTGGTCATTGATAACATAGCTTCATAGCTTATTATATACAACAAAACCCCCCAAAAACTATTTTGTCATTGAAAAAACTCAAGACTGTTTTTGTATATATATCTATGATGACTATTTGTTATGGGACTAATCAGATTTCAGGTATGCTATCTAACACAGGTCAACAACCTCTATTACATTCAAGATTATCATCATCATCAGTATGCAAAATTCGTTTCTCCATAGTCTCGTACATCATCTCATGAACCGACCCTCCTTGGAGTAGCTTCTCCAGCTCTTGCTTGCTCACAACGATCTTCATTCTCATTACACTCACGTTCTTATTGGCATCATCATCAGTGTTGCTGTTGCTTTCACCAGTGTCAGATAGTAATCTCTCATCTTCTTCCACCTCAGGATCTGCAAACGTCACTCTCTTGGTCTTTTTCTTTTTCATTGTTGTAGGGACAAGATAGTAGAGACGACCAGAGAGAAGCTTAGCATCGGGAAGAAGGTGACATGTGTTGTTGGTGTCAAAGAGAGAGTGGCCAGAGAACTGCGTAAGGATGTGATGAACAGTAGTGGGTTCTCTATATTCAAGTACCTTCCCATCGTTTCTCACTATCTTTATCACTTTCTTCTCCATTACTAAACAGTTTCCCATCTTCTTTTTCTTTCTTAGTTTTCTGTTTCTGTTGTTTGCTTGGAGATTTGTGTTTGTATATTTATAGGAGTGTTTGGGTTTTCGTTAAAGTTACGTTTAGTGCCATATCATGTGGGTCCTGATTTGATTCTTCCCACTTGTTCTTTTTAATTTTTAATGGTGAGTGGGGTGGTGTGGTCGGGGACTCGGGGTGGTGCCTTTTGTTCATTTGTTCTATGTATCCTCCTCTATATGATTTTCCTTTTTTATCAAGAAATGTGAGTTTGAGTTGGTGGTTCAAGAATACAGTGCCATGGTACTTTATACGACGGCTAAGCTAGTGTGTTTAGCAATGTGATCCCAAGTTATACTGTTTGCTCAAATATCTCATGCAAGGTGTTATTTTATTTTCGAACATGATTATATATTTTTCAGAGGATATGGAAAACTAAGACTAATCTTTATATCATGTAGAATAGCTGGACTTAGTATTTGCTTGATTAATCGATATAATCAGCATGATGTTAAAACACTCTTAGATAGTAGATCTACATGTTAAAGTTTCAACTAGTGAACAATCATCAATTCATTGTATAATTTATTTTTGTAATATATTTCTATCATTTACCTCCAAACTCTAAGTAATACTAATTTTCATAGAATCAGGGATTTTTTTTTCAATTTTCGGCATGGTATATAGAATGGTTAAAGGATATCAGGTGATAATTTGTGTGTGTGTTGTGTACGGTAGAAATAAGAAGTCAAGGAGGAACTAGAAGATGCTAAGTAATTAAGTAAATGCATAGTCAATGTTAAACCATTAAATGATTAATAAGTAATGGTTGGTATATAGGAACTATGTGTGGTTCTAATCAAATTGTTCAAGGTCAACGATCGAGTAGTTCCAGTATATGTATGTCTAGCAAACATGGACAACAACTAAGAAGTTATGTCAGCATGCGGAATTTTCCCAACTGTATATATGTAAGAAAAAGGCTAAGATGCTGTAGAGAAATAAATGTAAGACAATATATATGTTCAGTGCAGTGCACTAGTTTTTCAGGCAGTGATCATTGACTTAGAAAATAGTGTGTGTCTATGGATGTCACTGTCTTTAATTGGCTATCACGCTTATCGTCCTAGGGAAGTTTTCTTCAAAAACCATAAGCAGCCACATTCAATGGCCAAATCATCATATGATCTTATTTGGTTCACTTTTGACTATTCAACACTCTTTTTACAAATCTTGTATTATTAATTATTTTGTTTTGGAAAAAAAATCTTGTTTTATTTTCATGTATATTTACCATTTAAAAAACATGTTTTGGTCATTGACTCTTTTGAAAAAAAACTAAAATAGGCTCATAGGGAATTTCTCATTATTTGATTGTTGCTGAAATTAAAGACACATCTTACATTAAATGATCTAGAACTTCTCTTTGGTAGAAATACAATCTCTGAGTCGTGTACTAAGACAAGTAATGGGAAAAATTTACTGCGCATTAAATAAATTATACAAAATGTTGAAGTCACGTACGCATGATTAGAGTATGTGATCCATTTATGAGAAAACAATGTTATTTTTTTTTCAAAAAGGAGGCGACGTAATTAAGTGGAGGTAAGGATTACTATAAATAAACATTTCACGAAGGAAAACGAGATTCCTTTTTCATTCTCTTTTGGAAACTACAGAACACTTTTTGTGATCCTGTGGACAAAACACCAAGTGACGAAGGCAAAAGGAATTTAGATTTCTCGGCTTGAGTTCCCATGCTTTTGGTCGGCTCACGTGCTACGCTCCAGCGAACCCACTTACGACACGTTGTGGTCTTCTGTTGGTAGGCACCGTCCAAAGACCTCTTTTTTGAACTGTGTTATTGCTTTTGCTTCGAGCAAGTTTATACTATTTTCTTCTTCTTCAATTCTTTAAACGAGTTCGTCCTCCAAAGGACCAAAGCTCAGAACATTCCAGTTACGTTTCTTCGCCCAAACACGCTTAGATTACTCTAAAACAAGTTTCTTGTGTACATCAAACCAAGATTTGCAGCCAGGAAATTAAAGTTTGTATAGGACGATTTTTGTTTCATTAAAACATTCCGATTGTAAGTATCTTTAAAAAGTTTCAAAAACTATAAATAATACTTCTTCATCAGTTTCAATTATATATAGTCGTAGAGAAAAAAATTATTTCAAAACAAGTATCATTATATAATTTTGATACAAAATTTATTAACCGTATATATTTTCTATTTTTTATTAGTTGAAAAGTGGTTAAATGTATATGTAACTGTATTTTATGTTGAAAATATGTAAAATTCAAATTTTTTTTAATCTATGTACAAAAATCTAAAATAACAAGTAAAATGAAACTAAGGAATATTAAAATTTCATTATTTTTTAAAATCAAAAATATCAAAAATTTAATTTTTCGGTAATTCATCATAGTTTCTAAATATTATCTCTATCTTAAACATCGTAAAATAGAAAACTATATAATACTTTTAAGAGATAATAATTTTGGATATTTGACATAGAGATGTTCTTAGAGCATCAACATTTATAAACCGGCGATGGGGTTCACAAAAGGTATTTTTTATTATTTTTTTAATATTTTTTCTGTTTTTGTTTTTCTTAAAAAAAAAAGAAATTAATCGGTCAATCGTGGATCGCCACGTGGCGTATGACCGACGTAAAAAACAATGAACCAGTTCACGCCACATAACCTTTACGACTCGAGTTCACCTGTTTTTTATTATTTTCTTATTTTCTTTTCTTGAAAAATGTGTAAACTTTCTCTATAATATTTTGATGTGGGTGCTCTTACAAACTAAATACTGTATTACAATCTCTTGAAACTATTACAACCTCAGAAGGCTTTAGGGCTCAATGTAAACCCATCTATATAGTTTGATGACAATTGAAACAATATAAATAGGCCCAAAATCAAGCCCATTTAGATCTAACCTATAACCCAAAATCAGAACTCACAGTGAGATGACTAGATGAGTGACACACAAAAATAAATTAATCAACAAAAAAAAAAATCGATGGCGGGGATACTAGTGAACAGCATCCTCCTCCCTCCTCAGCCTCCGATTCTCTTACCGGTTTCTTCATCTTCTCGAACCAGATCAATCCGAAGAACCCTAATCATGGTCAAATCTTCCTCCAAACCTTCCGAGTCACCTGCTTCACTCTCCACCAAACCTGAAGTAGTATTCACTGCTCCTCCCGGTTTCAAACCTCCGGAGCCGCAACGCTTCGCCGTTAAACCGGGAAAGCTCTTCGACGTTTTGGGTGCTGCCATCGGACTTCTTTTCCGTTTCGGCACTGGCGTCTTCGTCTCTGGGTACTCTGCTTCCTTCGTTTCCAAGGATGAGGTTTCGTCTGATCAGTATGCGTTTCGTCTCGGCGGTAAAATCATTTTTAACTTTTTTTTTTTTCTTTCAAAGGTTTCAACTTTGTGATCAATTCGCCTGAAAGCTTTGGACTTTTGAGTGTTTATATGGTAAAAAGCTAATGATGATGTGTGTAGGGATTACTGTAAAGGAAAACTCGAAGCTTGGGCCTCGTCCTGAGAAACCCATTGAGATTTACGAGTTTGAAGGGTGTGTTTATACTCTATTGTTATTGAAGTGTGTGTTTTAATCCATTTTCATTTGATACTGAATTAATGTTTCCTTTTTCTCCATTTCCGGTTTGTGAATTTAGATGTCCCTTTTGTCGCAAGGTAAACTCTCTGTTATTGTCTTTATATGTTTCACTATTAGCCTAGATTCTGTAGATTTCCTTCTACTTAAAATCTTGTGCTTGATACCATGAAAATAAATTGTTGACAAAGCTTTTCCTCTTTCGTCTGAGTCTCCTTTTACAAAATGTGTGTAGTCTACTGATGTGGAGAACTTTGTAGGTCAGGGAAATGGTTGCAGTGTTGGATCTTGACATTCTTTACTATCCTTGTCCAAGAGGGAGTCCTAATTTTCGCCCCAAGGTTAATCAGATGGGTGGCAAACAGCAGTTTCCCTACATGGTTTGTGTTTTTTCTATTTTTTTTACCCTAATGATTTTTCTATTTAAAACTCATGTCTTGTCTTGCCACATCTTTATTCAGTAAGAAGTAAGGGCTTTTTTTGGTTCTAATTATTAGGTTGATCCAAATACTGGAGTGTCCATGTATGAATCAGATGGAATCATCAAGTATCTGGCCGAGAAATATGGTCATTCCTCAATGGCTTTTGACAATATCATCTTCATTTCCATTAATATTTTATTTTCTTATCGCCATGTTTTGGTTAAACTTGTTCAGGAGACGGAACAGTTCCTCTAAGCCTGACACTTGGTCCACTAACGGTTAGATCCTTTGCGCATGTTGCCGATTATTTTCCTTTGCTTCAGGGTACATAGTAGAATTTAATATTGACTACTTCGATGTTGCAGGCTGTAACAGCTGGCTTTGCAATGATTGGTCGTATGGGAAAGGTAAGAAGAAGTTCTACTCGTTTTCTTGGCATGTACTCTCAAAACAATGCCAACGATACTTATAAAGACTAGATGTTCCTACCCAGTTGAATGTTCACTGTGGATACTATACAGTATAGGTATAAGTAAAGCAACGGTTTTGTCATTAAATGCTTGAGATTTTTACCATGCAGGGTAACTTGTACACACCAGCTAAACTACCACCTAAGCCACTCGTATTCTGGGCATATGAGGTTTTGATTACTAATCACTTTTCATCCATCTTCAGAAACCAAGATACTTATGTTTAACAAACAATCTCTCTTTATTTGAATTGATATGCAGGGTTCTCCGTTTTGCAAGCTTGTACGCGAAGTTCTTGTAGAACTGGAGTTACCACACATTCAACGCAGGTATGGTAACAACTACAACAAAAACTTCTAGGACACACTCACCATCTACTCTTCTTGTATATTTGTTCAGAACCAACTTTATAACCTCTTTTGTTTGTCTTTATCAGTTGTGCTCGTGGTAGCCCCAAGCGGCATGAATTGTTCAACAAAGCTGGTCACTTTCAGGTGGGATAGAGAATATATACTTATATATGCCTATACAGATATATACATAGAGAGAGAGAAGGTGGTGTGATATGCGTTTGTTTATGTTTTGTATGTAAAAACAGGTGCCTTACCTGGAAGATCCAAACACTGGAGTGAATATGTTTGAGAGTGCAGAGATCATAGAGTATCTGAAGCAAACTTATGCTGCTTAAGGTTACTCTAAGAGCAAATATAGATATAAATGTGTAAGTATGTATAAACAAACTTATGCTACTTAATTTAGCTGCTTTCTGTTGCAATATAAACTCAACTTAGTTATAAGTTTAGGGGTTTAACGATCAAGGAATTTACTTTTATATAAACCATATATATTGTGACTTAATCATACGATGGAAGGAACTGGATTGAATGAGGGAGATGGTGAAGAAATGGTCCTAGAGTATGATTACAATGTCCAGCAACGTTGTTACTTGCTATGGAGACGAATCAATGTTTAGTTAACTGCCTTGTAATCTGTTTGAAAATCATTAAGACTACATGAAAACGTAAAAGAGTCATTGTTTGGAGTGTAAATGTGTAATGATAATGGTTTGGTTCTGTGCCAATTTACGCTTAAAAAGAGATTTAATTTTCCTTTGCTTCCTTTAGTTTGCTTAATACATATAAGATCAAAATTAAACTATTAAAGTTAGTTTTATAGTCTATGAAAGTACAAAAGTACTCTTTAAATATGTGTATATTCAAAGAGACCAATTCAAGCAAAAATTGACCATTTGACATTTGGCAAAAAAAATAAATCTACATTCAAAATGCAACATTTCAAATCTAATGTATTTCTCTGTTTGGGTAATTATATTAATTATTATATTTGACTTTTACTGTATTTCCAAAAACAAAAATCAACCTTTCCGTGTATGTATACAAGTTTTAAGTTTATGCAGGAATCTTAAGGTGTATATAAGACTTGTTAGTTGTTGATATATGAAGGATATCTATAGCTTATATTACAAAAACATCACTTCCTAAATAATCCAATTAAAGATTCTTGTTTTCATCTTCTTCATATTCATTTTTCACTATGGCAGATCGAAAACCTAATCTCCCTATGTAAGTTTTGTATGTTTTTTCGTTTTTCTATTTCTAATCTTACAACATTAAAAAGTATGATAAGAAAATTTGTTAAACTTGATATAATAATTGTGGTTAAAATATTTGATATAAATTATTTTTAAAATTTATGCACATGGTTAGAGTTTAGAAATATATGCTTTAATGTTTTCATAAAATATAAGTTTTTCATATATAAATAACCTAAATTTTACATCATTATCTTATTTAATTAATGTCATATCTTTAATTTAATCAACAAAAGTTTCAAAACAAACATATACATAGATGTAATATTACATTGTGATTATTAATACGCTAAATGACAAACAATTTTCCTTTGTGTTAATTAATCTCTTCATTAGGGTGGAGAATGATTGGTCGAGACTTCTTCCTGATCTTTTGCATTTGGTAATGTGTCGTCTCCTTGTGAAAGATATCATTCGTGCTTCTACGGTCTGTAAGGCCTGGTATGTTTCTTTTCGGATGAAAGATCGACATCCATGGTTTATGAAATATTCTTTATCACCAAGAAACACAGGGCCTTGTGAATTGCATGATCCCATGCAGAGGATGTCATACCTCATATATTTCCCAGAGATAATAGGCATGTCGGTTCATCATGCAAAAGATGGTTGGCTGCTTATGTACAAAAAGCTCTCATCTGAGTTATTCTTCTTCAACCCGCTTACTAAGAAGCGTATAAATCTACCTAGTTGTGAATGTTATAACGAATCTGCGGCTTTCACATGTGCACCTACGTCTGAAAGTTGTTTGGTTTTTGGTATGGCACACATCCACAATTATAACGTTGGAATCAACACTCTTAAGCTTGGAGAAACCAAATGGGACACTACTTGTTCCATGAGTTTTGAACGTAATTTAAGTTCTAACAACAAAATTATCTTCTTGGAAGGTCTTTTTTATTGTCTTTTTGGATTAGATTGGATATCAGTTTTTGATCCATCTAAACGAACCATGGAAGGTTACTGCATAAAATATGATAGAAGCCTCGGACAAGGTTCAACTGGAACGTACTTTGTAGAGATAAAAGGAGATATATTCCTCATAAAAACATTTACTGATGAGAAGCTACGATTGTTTAGATTAAATCAAGATAGAGCAGGTTGGAGTTGGGAAGAGAAGGACAAAATAGATGAAGCGTCAACGATCTTTGGGGCTTCTTGCGTATCTGAATGTAGATCAGACCTTCCAAAGTGTTTGAGAAGCAAGCTACTCTTATCCGATGCACCTCACCCGATGATCAATACTTATTATTTTGATGGAGGAAGGTATGTCACAAACGATTCAGAAATTCCATTTTGGGATAGAGCTGCCAAGTATCAATGTGTTTGGATTGAACCTCCCAAACAATGCTTAGATTTTATTTGAGTCAAGCATTTGACAAAAAAATTAGTTCTGCAAAACAATTTATGTTCTTGTTGTGGATTTATTGTTTAAGTTTGTTTTGTTTTTATTTCAATAATATATTCCAGTTTATATGAATACCCCTTTTGTTAAATATATAAAAAAAAACGCAAAACAATAATTTACTATATATTGTTACAACCGGTTATCCGAAATCATAATTAATTTTTTTTTTAATGGAAATACATATAGTATGCCTAATAAAGTAGATATATGATATATCTATCTATGGTTATATCATCTAGCATTGACTAAAATATATTTCAAGGAAAAAAAATATATATATATATATTTCTAGATTCAAAAAAATAAATACTCTTTGATTAACTAATGAGACTATGGAGTAAATTGTACATCCAAAAATAGCATGAGGCTTAGGTAAGCTGACCAACAAGCATGACTAATAAATAAGAGACTAAAGAGAAGAAAAACATATCTTGTAGTATGTTGAATTTTGCTATCTTATTTGTATTATCTACTCTCCAAATGAGTAAATCCTAACTCATAATAAATATTAACTCCTATAGACTGAAAGTAAAACTTTGGTTTAGTTCAGACCCGGCTAAAATTAATGAACCAATAAAGAAAAGTAGCGAACCGAGTCCTGGTCTATGACCGAGTCACACCCCTATAAAATCTGAAGATAACACATTTGTTCTCACTTCTCTGGAAACTTAGGGTTTTTGAATCTCAGCTTATCGCCGCTAAGCTCTCTCGCCAACCATCGTACACAGGTTTGTTCATCGTATGCTTCTCATACTTGTATTGATTGCAATCTCTTGAAGTAGATTCGTTGGCTAAATTGTCTTTTGTCATGTCTCTTGGATCTGTAATTAGAATTCTGCTATGCTTGTTAGTTAAAATGGAACCTTAGATTCGCTTCTTAATCTGCTTTGTAATATAAAATGATTGTGTAACTGTTTCATGAAGAATACAGTTTAATCAAATTGAATTTAAAATATTGGCAAAATTATTTATGATTTATGAATGTGGATTAGATTTATACTTCAATTGATTTCCTGTAAAGTTGATTTGCGTTACAGGAAACAAAGTAAAAATAAAAAAACAAATGTACTGATTACTTCTGGTTTTGTATGTATTCATGTAAGTGATTTTTTTTTCTGTGTTTGTATATTGAAACAGGATGGATTCTCAGATTAAACACGCCGTGGTGGTGAAAGTGATGGGGCGAACTGGGTCAAGGGGTCAGGTGACTCAGGTTCGAGTCAAGTTCACAGACTCTGATCGTTTCATTATGAGAAACGTTAAGGGACCCGTGAGAGAAGGTGACATCCTCACCTTGCTCGAGTCTGAGAGAGAAGCCAGGAGACTTCGTTGATGCGTCTTTTTTACTTCTTACTCCTTCCACAAGTTTGAAACAAAACAAATGTCTTTTTTTGCCTTCTGTGACTGGATTAGTAGTGTTCATTGTGACTTGGTTTGTTGCTTTAAGACAGTTACTGGTTTGATATGTTTACTTCGTATTCAAAGCCTCTTCTTATCTGTTTGTCTCAAACTTTAGTATATCATCCAGACAGCAAGTATTTTCTTACATCTTTGGTTATGTTCCTAACACGTTTTAAAGGCATTGTGTATTTCATTTTGTGGCTCTTAACATTAGATTTGTGAGGATTACAGAAACGTCTTTTGCTAGTTATTAAGATGCAACTTCAAAAATCATTGCAGGAGTTAACAGCAAGAGCCTGCAGACTCTGTAGCTTGCTAAGCTAATTGTTACATTGTCTACTTGTCTTATTGATTTTCTTTTTGAAATATTTTTGTTTTTTAATCTCTGATGTGATGATCTAAATAAGCTTATATAAGTCATTCACTTTGCTTTGTGCCTTATTCTGATCAATTACCCAAAGTGAGTTAAATTCTCAATCAAGATTTGCCTCTTTGAGAAAAATATATATTGATTATTGTTTAGAATCTCTACTAAAAAGTCGCTCATAATATCACATTATATTGCATAAGGACTTTCTGTTTAGTAATGCAATCTACAGATTTTGTAGATTCCACAAGACTTGTATTCTATGGTATGGTTATGAACTTATGATTATGTTTGTGGAACCTTTGTAAGGTTATAGAATTACATCATACATTACATACCTATCATACAATACAATCTCCTATTATGGGAGTCGTTTATTATATATTTTTGAACGGCATAGGAGTCGTTTTTAAGAATCAGTTCTTCATGTAAACTCTTGGTGTAAATGATTTTCGATATAATAAGTTTTTCATTGATGTTTCTTTTGAAGAATCGATGCGTTGTCGTTCCACGAGTGAGGAGTCCCAAATCTTGCGAGCTATATTTTTCTTTAACCACTGGGTTGTTACTTTTTAATATGCCTTTGTACGACCTATGTGATTAATGGTATTTAAATTCATAGTAGTTACCATTTTTGTTTGTAATCAGGTTTATTCGTAATATAACAGGACAAATAAATCCCATCTTACGACAGTGAAATGACCTTTGGGCAATAATTTTTTATCCGTAGTTGTAATAGAATCAAGTACGATAAGAATGTCAATATAACAATTTCTTAATCTTTGCTGGTTAAAATATTCTAGCGATATTATTTTAGTCATGGACGTGTAAAAGGACCTCGAGTTAATTATTCAGCGAGATATATGAAGTCTTGAATGTTTGGCTTTCTCATATGAAAGATATATATGCATTTGATCGAAACTTTTATGCACGTTGTGTCATTTTTTTTTAGCTTTCGATCTTAAGATGATGCGTAAATGACTTAAGCTACGTAATAGCTCTTCTATTGATTTGCTTGTAGTTGTAGACATCGAACTTCTGCTCGTGAACATTACGTATTGTATCATTGTACAGAATAAAGATTGCATTTAACACAAACAAGTAATCTCTACACTAAACACATTAACACATGAACTTAGAAATTTTATATGTAATCAGTCTCTAGCTGCAGAAACTTTTAAGTCTATATATGTACTGAAATCTAAAAATAAACTATTTGGAATCTCTTTCCACATCCATTCAGCTCGTGAAATGAGAAAGAAAAGGGACAATGATTGGGAAAAGGGATCAAATACGTACTTTTAAAATTATGTTTACTTTAAAATAATGTAATTATATATTTCTGCTATATAAACTGGACATTTTAGTTAAGTGTAGGTGTCTAGACATTATATAACACATTTCAGCATTATGATATACATATGAGTATGATAATTAAGGCATTAGTGAAATAAGTCATATTAGCTAATCTATAATACTCGTTTCATCTTATTGTAAATTGGACCATATTAGTCAATCAATCTAATAAATCATATTAATTAATGCAATTATTTAACTACATTAAATATGTTGCTATTGAAATATATTTATATTACATTTTGTTATTAGAGTATCTCCAATGTTAGTCTACTTTTGTTTCTAAACACAATTATAAAGTAGTTATAATGTCACATAAATGGTACACTAAATATTACATCAAATATAACAGGATAAACCGTATTATTCCAAATATACAAACACTGCTTATTTATTCTATTTTCAGAGTGATTTTTTTCCTTTAGTAAATTTTCTAATTTTTAAATGTTTTTGTCTTCTACCTGACATAATTCTATAGTGTAATTTTTACATTTAAATACTATGTTTAGCATATCGTTTTTAATTATGTGTTGTAATAAAATTTAAATTTTAAACTAATCAATTAGCTGTATAAATAGTGTAACTGTGGTGGTATATTGTTATAAAATAAATCAAAGTAAAATCTAATTATTTGAAATTTTTTGGTTTGTATAATAAATAGAAAATATACTTAGATATTCCCTTCTATATTAGAAGATAAAAATAACTATTGGATCAAAACCCACTTTTATTTATAGATGGTCATATCTCTTTAAATAGTTATAATTATGAATTTATGATCATAATATTTATTTTAGTAAAAATATTACTTTAATAACCAAAAAAAATCAATGACTCATCAGTTCTCACTAATTTTTTTCCTACTATGAAAGATATATAATTAGGAGGAGATGACTATTGGTTTTTTAGATTTGTCCGAATCTTACAACCACGATAGATAGAGAAACCTTAGCCCCTAACAGTTCTCTCTCTTCAACTTAGAAAAGCCCTATAAATAGATGTCTTGGTTTCCTTTGGTATCCCACACCACCACAATTATCTCTCTTTCCCTAAGCTCACTTTAATTAAAACCCAGTTATTTAGAAAGAGAAAAGGAACCTTTACAAAATAAAATTTGGAGAATATGGGAGCTAGAGTGATAGAGCCATTGAGAGTGGGAGGAGTGATCGGAGATGTTCTTGATAATTTCACTCCAACAATTGAAATGAACGTGAGTTACAACAAGAAGCAAGTCTCCAATGGCTATGAGCTTCTCCCTTCAGCTGTCTCCTCCAAGCCTAGGGTTGAGATACGTGATGGTGATCTCAGATCTTTCTTCACCCTGGTATGTTTAAATTATTTTAAATCATCAATAATATTTGATATTGCTGGTTGTTTAGTCCTCATATATTGTGCCAAAACATAACTATCACTCTCTTTCATCTTAGAAGTCATTTATTTTCTGACTCCATGAAGAAAAAGAGAGAGTTTGATCAATAAATTGTACCTTTCTGTAAATACTAAATAGTATGATGCTGTTATGTACTTTTATCACTTTTTTTTTTCATTGATGGTAAAAGCAACTGATTTGCAAACAGGTGATGATAGACCCTGATGTTCCAGGTCCTAGTGACCCCTTTCTAAAAGAACACCTGCATTGGTACGTTCAAGTTTTTCTTGTCGTTTCATATTTGGTCCATATCTCGGTCATATGTATTTCATTTGAATTATTAATAAACCTCTCCACATTAATTTTGTATAAACTTTAGTTGAGTTGGTCAAAGTCTCTTTTATCACAGCACTAAGTAGTTGCATGTAAATGTGTTTCAACAGGCTCGTCATGAACATCCCCGGT